CTCCCCATCCCCCCACACGCACCATCTCTCCTCCTCCTTCATCCACCACCACCACCCCCTTCTACCTCGCAACGGATTAGCTCCTTGCCTCTCTCATGCCTCCTTCCGCTCTTGCTACCCAGCATTGTGTTTGTCGTGATCGGTTCTCCTGCTATCCTCCATCTCTCTTGCAGCTACTTCCCCACCTCTCTTGTTCTCCCGTGTGAATCTCTCGGCCATGGAGGAGTCTGTGAGCGACTTTGGATGGGAGCAGGAGTGGGAGCGAGAGAGGAGGAAGGTCAAGGACAGGATACAAGAGTGCATTGAAACCCGGGAGACCGACCTCTTCCTCTACAACGAGAGGCTCGTCAACTTGCCGACGAGCGTCTGTAGTTGCAGGCACATCACCTCGATCAACCTGGCGTTCAACCAGCTCAAGGCCCTCCCCGAGAGCATGACGAGCCTTGCGAGTCTCCTTGCCGTCAACCTGGCAAGGAACAGCTTCTCGAGCTTCCCAGATGTTCTCTGCCACATGACACGGCTGGAGAGGCTGCAGATGCAAGAGAATGAGCTGCAGCTGATCCCGACCTCCATCGGTTACCTAGTCAACCTGAGGGTCCTCGCTCTCCACCACAACAAGCTCTCCTACCTGCCGCCGAGCATCAGCAACCTCCTCCGACTCCAGACCCTCGAGCTGCACGCCAACCAGTTTCGCAGCATCTCCCCCTCACTCGGCGCGCTCTCACCCGTGCCCAAGGTTCGAGTTCTGCCATGTTTGCTGCTAGGTGATTGTGCGCACTAGCATGGATACCGAGGAATGAGAGGAAGTCTGACCAAGATTACATATCATGACAATCCTCTTGAACGGTACGAGCGATGATGATGATGATGGCGAATGTTTGCTGGAGAGAGGAAGGGCATGACTCTCTACCTCAGTGAGCTCCTCATGGCAAGAGACGGGCAGCAATTTCTCGACCTCCTCCAACGGCGATACGTGGAAGGGTTCTCAGGTGGCGATGCTTCCTCCTCCTCTTTCTCCACTCTCTCCTCCCTCCTCCCTCATCCCTCATCCCTCCTCCCTCCTCCCCCCTCCCCCCTCCTTTCTCCCTCCTTCCTCCTCTTTCTCCACTCTCTCCTCCCTCCTCCCTCTTAACTCAGAGTACTTCAGGTGGGGGAGGAGGCGAATGAAGTCCTGTATTGAAACCATATCCCCCCTGCTCTCCTCCTCCTCCTCTTCCTCAACTCAGAGTACATCAGGTGGGGAGGAGGCGAATGAAGTCGAGCTCGATGCGCTTGCAAGGCACGTGAAGGGATGGCCTGTTCTGTTGAGACTGATCGTGAAGTTCAGACGTTCAGCGCATGAAGAAGGGTCTGCGGCAGCAGCGGCTGATTCCTTTCCTGTCTCGTTCCCTCCTCTCCTCCATCTCGTCGATCGCCTAAGAGATTTGGACGAGGCGAAGGTAATTCGTTCTTCCAGCTACCATGCCGGTTCTTGACTTGCACCGACAGAGTCTGCTGAGAAAAGTCATCGTGGACCTCGATGTAAGGAAACGATGATGGCGCTGAAGGAAACTGGAAGCATTGAAAATGGAGAAATTGACGCTGATGGTGGTGATTGTGATGATGGATGTGATGCCGATGGTGATGGTGATGGTGATGGTGATGGTGATGGTGATGGTGATGAAAAGGATTGTGAAGGTTCTGGTGGCGACTAGCAAGTTTCAATTCATTCATCAACTGACAACACGACGCACAGCAAGAAGTGCTCAAACGCACTCGGGCCGAGGTCGAGCTGAAGAAGGCAGATCTCCCGTCAATCTCCTGGAAATGTGACGAACTTGGCTCGCAGATGAAGCAGGAGAGGTATCACGATGATGACTACCAGCTGAGAGATGAGCTGTCGAGATTGAGGGCGACGGTCGCTGAGCTCAAGCTTGAGGTGCCAAGTCAAACTCAATCCTTGGACATGCTTTGTGACGATCACCAGCTGCAGGCAGAGCGAAGCAAGAAGCGAGTCGAGCACGTGGCCGTGTCGAGAAGACAGTCCATCGAGACACTGGCTGATAGACAGTGGCAGCGGAGTCCGGGTGAGCCTCTCGGTTCTCTGCAGTTTGCGGCATCTAATGGCGTCTCAAGAGGTCAGTCTCGCTGACTCGCGGCACGAGAGCGACGAAGAGAGCATGGCTGCATCCTACATGTCTCCGAGCAAGCGGCGGGAAATGATCAAGTCCAGCCATGCATGGGAGGTTGATGAGCTCGCGCTCTCCAGCTGTCTGACATCCGAACTTGTCAGGGTGTCCCGTTGGAGAAACTGCTGCCTGTAAGGAACCGCCAGTCCGAGCAGCGCATCATGGTGAAATATGCTGGTGACCGATAAGACACTCAACTGCATTGCAGAGAGACTTCGGCTCGAACGTGACCGCCCTCGGACGCTAGCTGATGTACCTGAAATCTTATCATCAACTTGTCAACAAACTTGTGAAAATAATAAAATTTATTGAAACAGCGATGAATTGGCGAGGAAAAGCGTCTCAGTCTGCCTCAGTAGTAGTCGAAGCCGAAGAAGCAGCGCTATCATGTTCATCCTTGTGACAACCATTGAAGTTGCTGAAGCCATCGACAAATCTCACTGAATTATCAACATTATTACCCCCTACATTTGATCCTCCGATAAAACTTAACAGAGGCCCACTGGCCTTTCCCAGCATGCCTGATAAAGCTCCCAATGAATTTGACTTTGAAATGTTTAGATGTTTTGAGTGTCTGGTACCATTTACAACACGGCAATGGTTAATGTTGTTGCTGTTGGCTGCTGGTCTTGAGTTGTCAGACTTTTTGGCCAGAAATGAATCATTTCCCAGAATATTCCAATTACAGTTAATTCGTTTTTTGTCCCGTCTCCATTCCGCGGAGTTCTGCCAATCCCTCAACATTGCACTTAACCTATCCTCCCTGTGACCATTACTGGAGTGTGAGATGTCCAAGTCCGCATTATGTCTGGATCTCTTTGAACCCACTGAATCATCCCATTCATCCCCAGTGCGGTGTGCATCGTACGCGTTAGATGTGCACCTATCAAAAATCACTCTGCCACCCCGACCTATCCTTGCTCGTCCACGGTAAATCAACGATTCCCTGAACAAATGAGGTGAGATACATCATCGTTACACAGAGAGACTAACCTGTCCGGTGTTGAGCTTGTACAGAATTTTGCATCCTTGGTAATTGGAAGAACCGATGTTCCAGCACTGTCCCCATCTTCATCCCAAGATTTCATCAAGTGCTGGAAGCATCTTCTCAATTGCTCTGCTTTTTCCGCAGATACAATAGGTTCTTCGAGTTTTAGAACTTCTTCTTCAGCATTTGCGGATCCTGCAACTTGCCTAGATGGAACTTGCCTTGGCCTTGCAGCCTGAGGTACATGACTCCTATTTCCATCTTCTTCCAATCCTTCAGGTTTCTTCTGTGCAGTAGCTCTCTTTAGTTTCTCCCTTTGCAACTCTTTGAAGAAGCTGTCATGTTCCGAAATAATACTTGTAGGAACATCCTTGATATCCTTTGCAAACTGCAAGCAAAATTCTATGCGAAGCAACATCTTTTTGATCCTTTCTCTCCATACCACTCTTTCCAGTATTTCCTTTGCCCTATTGAAACAGTCACGAAATCGTCAACAGAGATCAATTGTCCAAACTGACCTTCTGAAATCTGCTTGCAGGCCTTTGAGCTTCTTGTGAGCATCCTTGTCGTTCTTGCGAGTACGACGAATCCTTTTCTCTTCCTTCTCTCGTGGTCGAAAAGTAGAATGTGGAGACATATCACTGATAGGAGTGGGTGGCTGAAACCTGCGAATCAAAGCCCTTCCCGTCTTGCTACGCTTTTTGACCCAATAATCGAATACTTGTGTAACCTGCTTTCCACCACCCAACTTATAGGTCTCGAGCACAGACATTTCACACATTTTCCCCTGAAAACAACATTAGACCAGTAACTCAGTACATAATGGATGTACCAGTTTAAAGGATTCTTTCTCTAGACGATCTACAATTTGCTCAAACTTCTCTTCCTTTAGAGTTACTTTCATGGCTGGCAATGTTTTGGTAACGAATTCTATGTCTTCGTCATCCATTTCATATTCAACCACATCATCAAGCTCTTTTTCCGACGGAGCTACAAAACATGTGAGTAAAGCAAAGATAAGTTCTGAAAATGACTAACCTTTATATCTCAAATAATGACTTGGACGAACAAAGTCTTTGGCGACATGTTTGTCATAGTCATCAATAACGATTATCGGTGGGACTGGAATATTCGCTTTCTTTGATTCCTTATCATATTGCTCATTTAATATTCTTAAGGTTTCCATGTCCTGCAGCAAATCCGGTCAGCAAAATCTAACATAATCCACATGCATCAAGTAAAAAAGTACCTCATCTCCGACATCGTTCATATCCAACAAAGATTCGGGTTCCAATGCCTCCTTCTTGGGCACAAGAACTCCATCTTCGTTGACTTCGAGATCTCTCTGTGATTTGACCACCGGCATTGGTCGAGAGAAATCGATCGGCCTAGGCCGAAAGGCACGGTTTGACATTCTCGGCGCTATCTTTGCTAGTTGTTTAAACTGCGAAGAAAGAGAAAAAAAAAAGAAAAAAAACTTTGTACGATGAAAATAAATGTTTCAGATGTGCTGCTTTGTGTCACACCAACAGGTAGAGAATTTGACGAATATCACTTTCTGATAGGTCTGCACGCTATAAACAGATGCGCAAGGCTTGCGCGGCGGAAAAACTCCTCGCTTCCCCCTTGTTGCGGTAGGTTTGCTCTCGGGGCATACAAGCCCTCAAAACCATAAATTCTGCCTTAGCATCATCAAATCATGCATTCTTCATCTTGATATTGCCCTCCCAATAAATATATCCAAGCCTGTCACGGAGCAGCGTAAAATCTTCCTGCCTCCCCTGCTCTCGCAACCGCTCAGCCAGCCCTCCTAGGGGCGCCTGCTTATGGCGCTCACTCCAGGAGGGCGAGCGCGCGCAAGGCGCGCGCACGCCCTTTAAGGAAGGTTTGAGGATGAAACACAGAGGAAGAGGGGGGTTGTGGAGCGGGAAGAGAGAAGGGAAGGGGGAATGGCGCTCTTGGTAGTTGGCAGAGGAGGGGCAATGGCGGCGGCGATATGGCGCCGAGGAAACAATTTCAAGGGCTCTTGTTGAAATATCGAAATTCTATCCATATATTTCCTAGCAGTTCTCAAATATCGTCCACAAATTTGAATGGGTTACAAATTTGCCCACATTTTCAAACCACCCGCACCCTCACCCCTACCCCCCGAAGGACCAGGCAACCACCCATTGCAAAATAATGACTCTAATATTCCCGACAGGGGTGTCCCACCCTCTCGCTTCCCTTCCCCCTCTGTCAAGTAAAATATTTTTAACAACGAATGTTTCCCCATCCCCACACATATTCCGAGGGCAGTTGAAAAATCGTCTCATCATATAGTACTATATATAGAAACAAATATGAATTTTGATCTACTGCCCTCATCTCTGAGATAATAAAAGTCTATAGCTCACTGAGGTGAACTGTCTGTTCTATCAATCTTCTTTGGGCTGGTACAATTGGGCTCCTAAAATAGATCCTCTTTTGAACGAGGGGAAAAAAAATGAGCACGAGGGGAGGAAGTCTACGGGAAGCCCCAGCCGGGAAGCTGAGCAGATGGGTGGTTGAGGAAAGGAAACATGGGGGTAGTCGGAACTAGCGAAGGGGGGTGGTCTTGGGCCCGTGGAGCAGCCCTTGGATAGGGGACCGGTAGTGGAAGTTTCGTCGGATACTAGGGGTTAATTTGAACTACTTATGATGTGATAGAAAAAAATGAAAGGACATGTTGATCAGTAAATTTGAATTTTTGCGAGGGGTTTTGTACCATAAAGCTAGTGCATTCTTTTTTATTTTCCACAGGAAGTGGTAGGGGCGGGAAGACTACGAGGAAGGGCGGGGTTTCCTGGTGTTACCGCTGAGGGTCTAATAATGTTTAAAGATTAAAACACAATCAGAAACAAAATGTACTGAAAATATGAATAAGTAATAGTTTACTATCACAAGATTGAATAAGGGGTAGGGTTTCTTGTGACAATGTGAGAACATGGTGGTGAGGGTGGTGAGACACAGAAGCAGCTTTAGGACTACCCTACCAGGAAATATGGTGTTTGTACAAGCCCACCCCACTTGTCAAGGATCAGTAAAGACAACTTTGCTAATCAGCACCCCAATTTTAGTAGTGCAAAGTACCCCTAGAACTTAAATGGACCCCTAACAATGTTCCACCCCACCCTCCTAAAAAAACATTTTCTCAGCGGGCGTCCGACACGTTGGTACGGCGGGCCGCAGCCCGGCACCCGGCCCGGCCCGGCAGTGCATCGGCCGACCGACCACTAGACTCGAATGGGAGAAGGGGCTGACCGAACTGGCCAAAGGAGGGGTGGTTTATCTAGGAATCAGGTAGGGTACTCGCACGACAGTCGCAATGCGCCTGCCGGACAAGCTGTTTGAGCGGCCGCAAAGAGGTTGCCGCAGTATCAAGATGTCAAGATCTATGGAGAAGACTTGTCGGCGTGTGCTGTGCTTTTCTTCTATGCTCCTGGCTGTTCTTCATCTTAGCCCATCTCATGCGTTCAACTCTTTTGCGCCGCGTTATTTTCACTGTCCCTCGTCAGCTCCGTCGCTTTGCCAACAAATTGACGGTTTTTCTCTGCAAATCTGTACTATGAAGGCGTCCAATATGAGAAAACAGCCTCTTTCGAGTCTGATGATGAATGGTGATCCGCAATGGTATGCATTTTCGCAATACAATCTGGGCAGGTGGCAAGGCAAAGCACTTCACATCGACCCTGGGACTGGTGAATACGTAGAACCTTATATCATAAGAAACTATGTCCTCGATGTGGTAGAGGTGGAGCGAGAGACTGCAGTTGAAAGATTCATCGGTGAACAGAACGAAATGCTGAACCTCGAGCCCGTTGCGCATGAGACTACGATCCGACCTGATGATGATTTTGATGCGACCATTGACGGGTTCTATGTAAGATTTTGTGCTATCCCACATGACATTCTTGTAACCGATCTTCATTACAGTCAAGAGACATATCCATGACGTCGGTTCCAGACTATCACAACTTGGCAGGACTAGTTATCGACATGTCTATCCCAATCAATGACGATGAAAGGGTTCGATGCAACGTAATCTACGACAAACACTACGTTCTATCGAGGATCATTCTGTTCGAGGAGCGTAGGATGAAATTGCCTCAGAAAGGCCCAATTGGATTTGGCACGCAAGCGCAGAAGAAGTCAGGGGAAACCATTTCAGCGGTGAAAACCCAGAAAGCAAAAACTGAGCAGACTCGGCCGCCGTTGCAATTTCTCGACATAGTCGGCTCTTTTGCGGGCGATGCTTCCAGCAGAAGGAGTTGGAGACTTGGAGGTGGATTTCTAAACTTCAGATCTAGAGGAAGCATTCTATGGGATGGTGATTCCAGGGTTCGAAGAGAAACTGAAATGGTGGATCAACATATGAAAGCATCAAGGACAGTAGTCTGGGGAGAAATGAAAGATGAATACTCAAAGGTAATGCTCCTTCGCCATTTTGCAATGCTCCGAGATCATATGCTGATATGTACTGTTTCAAGGTGTTGGAGTTTGATGGCGGTGATAGAATGGTACTCCTTCCAAGCGGTTGTTGGGTGACAGTAAGCTTTTCCAACTCATTGCAACATAGACTCAAACTCCGCAGGTTCCTGTCATGCTGACCGACAAAGAAGGAAATACCATTGAACCCATGACGGTTTTGGACACATTGAGTGCAGAAACACAGCAGAGTGCGTATTCAAAGGTCAAATTACAATCAAACAACTCCTTTGGTAACAACCTGGTAAAGGTGCTAGATCTTGCGCTCCATGATGGACACTCATCCAAGTCAAATCCTCGAAGCAACTCGATCTTCAAGAGCTATGTATCACTCAGTATCCTTTGTCACATTGTGTCCTCACCCCATGACGCATTGCCTCTGTGAGATTTACTCAACTTCTGTCCAGACTGCGGAATTTGGTTGCAATCAAGCTGGGTCCTTCGGGCGCCGGAGAACCTGGGTATGTAATCTAGCTGATGTGAGGCATCTCCCTGACATTGTTTGAAGCGCCTCTATGGCGAAGATGGAAGAGTGAACAGTTGTGCCATTGTGAGCTTCCCATGATTTGATCACGGTTGATTGGTTGACTTCCCTCTTGATTGCAGGCTACAGAAAGCCTGGAGAAGAAGTAAAGCCCGGCCAGGAGGCTTTCAGAAATCAATGAGTTAGATCAATACTATTTGTCGTCCGCCGAGTTTTGATTGAAGTTCAACTGATCGTGCAGCCTAGAAATCCGCTACTCAGTAGCGCCGGGCCGCCGATCTTGACTCACACGGCCCAGTGAGCCTGAGTCGACTCGTGTGGCGTGACGCCGTCCGATCGGACCGGCGCCCGGGCCGCCGGGCGGCCGTTTACCGGCGCCCCGCTAACTTCAGTGGTGCGGAACTGAGCCTTGGCACACCGCCGGTACTAGTGACTAGGGTATACCATTCGTAAACACATACACGGCGTACCCGTACTAGTGACTAGTATGCAGCGCTAGTACGGTAACACCATACTGGTCTTTTTTTTCTTGGAGTGAATACTACGGTACGGTATCTGGCCCGCCGGGCCAGTGACTCACTGAGGTAGAGACTCAAAGTCGCCCAGCCGCCGCCGCAGTGAGCTGTCCTCCTATGATCGGATGAGTGGGGCCGGGCCCCCGGCCACCGGCGTCCGGGTCGGTGACGGTCCGGCCGGGCGTGGCACCTTCCGGGAGTCCGAAGCCCGAGAACTTGACGACTCGGCACTGCACTGTGACAAGCAGTTCAGTCACACTGGAACTGATAGCCAGTTTACTTCTCGGTTGCGACTACCCACCATATCAAATCAGTAAAGATGCCTCTGATTCCACCCGGTCATCAACAGAGTTCTCACCACCCCTATACCCCTACAAATCAATAGAACTGTCTGACAATAGTTCTACGATGCTTTCAAATTTCGTGATATTTTGACATAATTTGGTACTATACTGTTAATTATTCAAATTGAAGAAAATAGTTTGGGAAAATAAGTCAGAAAGATGGATCTGTTTTGAATAGACCGATCACCAAAAGATCTATTCCGCTCATACATAACTGACGGGTACTTCTGAAGGCATTGCCACCCGTCCTGATCTACTTTCAAATACCTCTACCCCCTATTATGACCTTTGCGTACTGGGTACATACCGTGTCTGATGAAGCTTCATACCCCACCCCCTGGATCTGTACCCTACCCTCCGTCCGTAAAAAGAGGTTAAGATAGAGGGGTACTGGATCCAGTTGGAGGAGTGATCGCAATGACGGGGGTGTATCAGAAGCGAAACCGCGCGAAGGGGTCACGACAATGGTGGGGCAAGAGGAAGGAGAGGGCGAGATGCATACTGACAGATGGAAGTCTGAGAGCTCCATGTTCACTCTCTTCATAACTTGTTGACCAAGTAAGCTCCCGGGTGTCTAGGAGTTGAAAGTACATCTCTTTCATCGTCGTACAAGGCACTTTGCAGATCTGACATGGTTCTGGAGAACTTCTGAGGGTCCTAACGACGAATCATGGCACGTTGATCCCAGGACCCTAGTGGACAATGAAGGGTTCAAAATCCTCGCAGTCCGGTAGTGACCAGCGGCATCGCATCGTAACTCCCGCATTGCAAGCTAACAAGGTCAAGCTGAAAGAACGAGATGCTCCCGCCCATCCCCTACAATCGTTCCTCTGTGTTGGAAGACGCCCGTCTCCTGCATCAAACCATGAAGTCGCTGCACATTTGAGGATTGACAGTAGAAACCAAGATAATCTCCCCCACATAACATCAGTCGAAACGGTATCGTGTATAATATGCAAACTTGGAAAATGTCTTTCTGATGCTTCGCCACAGGCGCAGAGAGGGAATCATTCCCATCAACTACAATCTCACCGCGAGTTCCCCGAGTTCGAGTCAAGAATCGCTTCGTTCATCGCGCAGGCGCGCGACGGTATCCCAAGCAACGTGAGGAGGTCGTTTTCTCATGAGACAAGGTATGGATCGCTGCCGAACGCGGTTTCCAACCCCGACATCACTGGTTTCGATCCTGCTGGCGTCCCGGTAGGCTCTTGTTCCTCCGGAGTCTTTTCCTGAACTTGGGCTCACAGCAGTGGACTGTCGATCCGAGGGGAAGGGCCTTGGCGGCTCCTCATCCCTTGCATGTGACTTCGTCGAAACACGCGTTGGTGTTGCACAAGATCTTACAAAAACACGAACAAGATGCCAAGAAAACAGAAGATGAGCAGGGCAATGGGCAGGGAGACGCCTTAGCGTCGCTGCAAAGACAACCTGCTAACAAACTTCCTGTTTCCACCTTCGCTAAGATCCGGTGATCCAATCAGTATCATGTCTTAATGCACTCTCAAGCATTTTGGTAGGTCTCGGTTTTCTCGAGCGTCGAGCAGTGAAGGCAAACTGGCGAACGTGCCTCCGAGGTCTTTCACTGGAAACCTCGCGGTTGGAGGCTGACGTTGGGCAGGCCAATAAAGAAAGAAGTCAAACTCAGCCCTAAGCATGCAGAGACTGTAAGTCAAACGAGCGAGTCTGATACACAGCACCTCATAACGCTTGCAACAGGATGTGAATCAACCTGCTGTCCTGACGTTGACGGCCGCTGGGAGTATAAAGGTGGATGTCAGTAAGGCCCATTCCCTCTTCTACCTCCCGTGCTTAAGGAGAATCTGCAAAGAACTCCCGTGGGTTGAGCTTGTGAATCGCCCTGCAACAAGCGCTGAGGTCTCAGTCTTCTGGCATGATCGCCTGGACGTGCCTGTCAGCAAGTTTCACATCAGCAGGCTAGCGAAGGGACAGAAGATGAACCGGTTCTTGACCATGCAGTATCACGCGCGGAAGAACACTCTAACGAAGAGGTTGAAGCGGATGCAAGAGTTGTTCCCTGAAGACTTCAACTTTCTTCCGAAATCCTGGACTTTTCCATCCGAAGTCTCAGACTTCAAGAAGAACGCAATCAAGTATGACCAGTCAGGAGAGTCCAAATATTACATCATAAAGCCCGACAACGGCAGCAAAGGGCAGGGCATACAGCTGGCTGACTACCCTAAGGTGATCCCTGCCTGGATGCAGATGTCCCGCAGCGCCATGGCCAGCGATGATGACGACGACGACAGCGACAAACAGAAGAAGTCAGAGGGGAAAGGGGAGGGCAAGCGTAACGAGATTCCCTCCAAGAGATCGGGGAGTCAACAGGAAATCAAAGGACGACAAGTCTGCACGCAGGAATACCTGGAGCCTTACTTGCTCGACGGGCACAAATTTGATCTGCGACTGTACGTGGTCCTAGTGTCTGTCAACCCTATGACAGCTTACCTGTGCCGCACGGGAATGGTGCGAAAGGCGATGGTGCCCTACGAGAAACCTTCTCCTCAGAACATAAGGCAGCTGCACATGCACCTGACCAACACGTCGTTGAACTCCAACTTTCACTTCTCTTCCGAGGATGAGGTGAGCCCGGAGTGTTGCTTGTGGTCGTCTGACAGGAGGGGTTGGTAGGAAGACAGCTCGGTGGAGTACGAGAGCGATTCGAATACAGATGATAGTGCTGAAAGCAAGGACCACAGTGCGTCTGATAACAGCGACGACGACGACGACGACGACGACGATGACGATGACGAACCGGCGGATTGCAAACGGCTGCTATCTGAAGTGTTTGAACAACTGAGATCGAAGGGGGTGGATGTGGAGGGGTTGTGGACAGAGATCAGGAGGATCGTTCAGCTCACCATGACTGCGATCCATCCGGAGATTTCTCTGAGCTACTTAACATGCTTTCAGAACACAAGTGTGAATGAAAATCTCTACACGGGAGCGTGCGCTGACAAGAAGGGGGGACAAAAGAAATCCGTGCCTAATCGATTGATTGCGTCAAAGTTCCAGAATGAATTTCTCGAGGAGCTATGGAGAGCTTCAGAAGGCCTGCTGTCACCAGCCAAGAACGTCGGGTACAACCACTGCTTTCAGATCATCGGGTTTGACATCTTTCTGGATCACACCTGTAAGCCCTACATCCTTGAGATCAATCACAACCCCTCGTTCAAGTTGCCGACTGAGCTCGACGTGGAGATCAAGAGTGTAGCCTTGGGAGGGTGTCTGGGGATAGTATGCAACTGTAACATGGCAGAGCCTTTGAGAGACAGCATCTTTCGGAGAGGTCTCATCTTCCCTAGGAAGGAGGACAAGAGCTCGGACGAAGGGGATCAACCGAAGGCTGCGTCGCCATCGGATCAGCAAATGGGTGAAGGAAAGGGAGAGATCGTTTCCTCGCGATCATGGTTCTCCTCCTTGGTGTATGAATGCGTCGGATTGCCTGCCTTGGACATACAGGTGCTCGGATCTCCTTGCTTTTGAACACTGAGACCATCGCAGGTCTTCGATCTCGCTCGGAAAGTTTTCACGGATGTTTGCACGCAAGCTGTCATAATGTCACAAGCAGAGGCGCATAAAGAGCTGGAAGACAACACGGCCAAGATCAACTTCTTCTCTGTCAGTGCAATGTCATGACAGACACGTGGTAATGTCTTCATGCTAGGGGCTCCCCAGCAAGGCTTCATCTAGGAAGAAGAAAGGCGGCAGGTAAGCAGTGTTTGCCAGTGTTGGGGAAAAGATTTTGTTGTGATCCAAACGATTGAATGCAGCGATGATGGCGGGAAATGCATGAGGAGGATAGGAAAATACATGAACTCGAGCGAACTTCGGCAACAGGACTACTTTATTCTTCAAGATCTCCTCTCTAAGATCCGATTGCCACGGGTTACTTCTCTCCGTCCTCGTCGTCTCACTCCCTACTCATCCACTTGTTTCTGTTTCAGTCCTGCGCAAATTTCACCAAGATGGAAGCCATCAAGACTGTCTTCATCGCCAAACGGACGGCGGTAGAAGGCGGCGACTGCCATGTCGATTTCACAAGCATCAAACAGGCCAGCACTGCCTTGTCCTTAGACGGGTTCTGCGATGGGTTGATGGCTCTGTCCCATCACATCACTAGGTGAGCCCTGCCTCCCTGCTAGCCGGGCTCGCCTTTACACGCCTTGAGGTCCCTTGATGACGTGGACTTCGAGGAAGTTCCTTCGCCCAAGGGATCCCATGAGGTCAGCCGAGCGCGCGAGTTGCTGAGGGTGATAACATCAACAGTTTGACTTCCCTTCATGGAAGAGCTTTCAGGATCCACAAGGTCAGAGGGGAAAGACTTCTTGAGACATCTTGTGCTGACTTCACAACAAGGTTCCATCAGTTTACCTACAGTTCTCCACCTGCTGTTGGCGAGGTTGATAACAGTCCTGTAGCTATTCTCTTTCCTTTACCATTCTCAATCCTTTTCTCTTCTTTATTCCCTCTCTCCCTCCCTTTCTCTCCCTCCTTCTCTGGTTCCTTGTACAACACGATATCGATCAGCTCACTTGTCGAGACATGCGCCCGCCCCCCTGCGTCTCATGTCTTGTGGGAGATGCTGCTTCCTTCTGTCATCATCGACAGGCCCTGGTGGTGAAGGACAAGGTCGTGAAGGGCCTCGACCTGCCTCTGCAGGGTGGAGGTCAGCACCTGCTCCTCCTTGTACTCGAACTCCAGCTCCTTCACCCTTAGCCGGAGAGCGGAGCATGATGACGTTGTTCGAGCGATCCCGTCCAGCAGAGACTTGAGCAGAGGCACCAGCATCTCCTCCGCCGCCTCGAGCCTCCTGCCGACCTCCATTGCCTCGCGCCAGCTGCTCTCTAGCTGAACTCTGTGCAGCCTGTCCTGACTCTCAAGGTGCCTGATGACCTCCTGCTGTTGGTCGAGCCGTGTGAGCTGAGAACTAAGCTCGAGCTCCATGAGGGTGACGACCTGCGTCTTGGAGGAGAGCTGGAGCCGCGCCTTGACGAGCTCCTCCTGCTGCTCGCGGGCCCTCGAGGCTCCCTGCAGAAGTTGCTCCACTACTTGTTGGACGGCTGCTGAGGAGCCTTCGAGCCTAGTCAGCTGATCCCCAGTGAGAGTGAAGGCTCGACAGTACTCCTCAAGCGTGACTCTAACCCTCTTCTCTTCTTCCAGCGCTGCACTTGTCGCCTCGGTCTCCCTATCCTTGTCAGTCAGCTGGCCCTGCAGCTGCTCCTTCAGCTGCAGCAGCGAGTCTCGCTCCTTGCACGTGCTCTCAAGCTCGGACTGGAGAGAGCACAACTCGGCCTCGAGGATCCGTATCAGGTGGTCCTTCTTGATTCTGCTCTCCTCCGCCTCCCGGACATCTTGCTGCACGTTGGCCATGAACAGCCGCGCCTCCTCGTGCCGCAGGTGCAGATCTCGCAGCTCCTGCTCGCTGCTTGACAGTAGAGCTTCCAAGGTCTTGACCCGTGCGAGGTCTGTCGAGCTCCTCGCGTGAGCCTCAGCAACTGCCTTGGACAGGCAGCCGTCAAGCCGCACGAGGATTTCATCCATTGAGTCGTAGAAGCTTTGCGGGTCATGGAGGCATATCACCAGCATCTCCTCCACGCGCTCTTGGCATGACGTTGTGACATGATCGACATCCGATGATGCCTTGCAGAGAGCCTCCAGCACGATGCCCGACTGCAGCTCAGAGTCAACCATGACCTTGACACTTCCTTGTGCCTTGATCAATGTTCGTTCAAGCACTTGAAGCTGATCGAGGAAGGACCTCGCCTTGGAGGCAAGCACAGAGTCCATGTTCCTGACATTCGTAGCCTTGCTCTCAGATTCTCTGCTTACAAATGCCAACTTCTCTTGTAGGATGTTGATCCTTTCAATACTATGATTCAGCTTTTGAACGTCGTCCAAATGCATGGCTTCATACTTGTAAATCTGGGTCTTCATATTCGCAAAGTTCTGGTTGTAATTGTTGTCATTGTCTTGAAGCTGTGATCTCAAGCCCGCAATTTCTTTGAGGATCATCTCATTCTTACTGTTCAACTTGTCAATCTCCTTAGCCTGCATATCAATCACATCGCCTTTCTCCTGCAAGGCAGCCTCCAGCTCTCGAACACATTCAGAGAGCGTCAAAGATCTTGACTGTTCACGCTGAAGCTCCATCAAAGTATTCTCAACGTGTCTGAAGACAAGCTCCAGGCCGTCAGAGGTTTGGTCGAGCTCCTGGGCAAGACAAGCGACGAGCTGTCGGTACCTCTCGTTTGCTTGCTGTGGCCATGAGTTAAGTTTGCAGTCAGACGCAGAGGGCGCGAGGGTCTGCATGCAGGTCTCAAGGGCGTTCAGAGGAAAGTCGAAGTCGAGGATCGCGCTATGCGTCTCGAGCAGCATGGCAATGGCAGCCTCCTTCTCCAGCCGCAGCTGAATCACGGTTTCACGTTGCTGTCGGCAATCATCGCGCAAGACTTCGATCTCGGTCTGCTTTGATTCGAAATGCTGGTGTGCAACGTCAGTATCCACCTTCTGATCAATCACAGATTGATGCAAGATCTGGATCTGTTGCTCAAGATGGTTGATGTATTTTTCTTTTGCTAACGCATCTGATTGAAGCAGTGAAACAGTTTCCGCTAAGTTCGATGCCTGCGAGCGGGAGTTCTTCAACTGTTCGAGTGTAACCAAGTAAGTTTCGCTTTCATGGCAAACGTCAGAGACTGTCTCCATTACGTCCAACAATTCATGGATGAAGCATCGAACTTGCTCGTGCTGAGCGTGTAGCTCCTTCTCGCTCCACCTCATTCTGTCTTTCACGTTCTCCAGTTTGGATGTGCAGGATTGTATCAAACCATTCTGCTCTCGAGCATTCGCTCGTACTAGTCGCAAGGCCATGTCAACGTCTGAATCGATCCGGCTCACTGATCCCTCTACCATGTCTTGCAGCACAGCAATGTCACGTTCCAAGTCTTGAATCAAATGAATCTCCTGTTCGCGTTGTTGGAGCTTTTCCGCTGACATCGACAGATCATGTCTGAAATACTCTTGGCCGCGGGTCAAGATTTTGATTTCTCCAAGCAACGCTTCATTCTCATCCTCCAGTAGTTTCAACTTCTCTTCGAGAATTCCTCTTTCATTCGCGAGCACCATACAGCTGCCGTGCAGAGATTGCAATTGCTCATGCATGCCCTCTATTATCCGCTCTTTGCTGATCAACTCTGTTTCGATCAGGCTGTAGGACACATCGTTCTCATCATTCTCAACGGGAGCTTCAAGATGAGTGGATTTCAACTTCATCTCATTCAAGCTCCATTCAATCTCTGTCAGAGCGCGAGTACAAGAGGCATCAAAGTCTTGCAGCCTCTCAAAGAATTCCTCGTCCGAGAATTCCAAAGGCGTTTGCGCCTCACCGTCACACATTGCCTGCCGTTGAGAAGCGATTTCCTGCAAATCGTGATGTTTCTGCGACAGGGCAGAGTAGTACGATTTCATTTCCTCCAGAGTAGCTGAAAGAAGTTGTATTTTGGTGGCTGACTCAAAGAACTTTTCTACGTATACATGATAGTCCTCGAACAAGTCACCACAAGCACTCTTCTGTGAGAACATCTCTTTCAAGATTGACTTCATCTCACTTGACATCGCCCTCAGCCCCTCGCATATCTCTTGTTGAATCCTTGATGCGATGCACCTTTCGTTCAGCAACGCCTGCTTCGACTCCTCCTCTACAATACGCAATCGTTGATTCATTTCCAAGATGATGCTTCTGAGGTATTCTATCTCCTTGTTATCATCTGCTGCCTTCTTTTCCAATGTGAAGATTTTCATTCCAAGCAGTTCCTCGGCGATCTGATAATCAGCTACTGCCTGTTCAAGGCGTTCGTTGGTCTTCTGCAACTGAGGGAGGTAAACTGTCTGCTGACGAAAGGAATCTATTGTCTTCCTCTCCCTTGCAACTTCACGCTCAATCTCTGGGATGACATCTGTCAAGCCTGAAACCAAGACTTCAAGCTTGTTGTATCCTCTTGACAACTCAAGAATGTCTGAAGTGCAAATTGAATTGGTCGAGGTAATCGTTTGATCTAAGGTTTTGCAAAGCTGCTGGCATTGATTCAGATGCAACTCAAATGTCTTCAAGCTGTCGTCATTTCGGTCAAGAATCTCTAGGCAGGGCGCCAGGACACTGTCTATCTGTGCCACTCGCTTGTCACAAGACTGGATCAAGTCTTCGTACTTTTGTATCATTGCATACCCAATATCCTCAGCATGAGAATGTTCATTCGAATTCTGATGGTGGCTGATGGATAGAGCAACTGCTTTGCTTCGAGGAGCAGGCTCGTTCACTTTGTACCAGTGTGCTGCGATTTTCTGCAAGGATGATTCTAGTAAATCAATGGATGTGGACAAAACATTGCTTGCGGTGGTAAATTCCTGAGAAGCATACTGCTCATCAACATGATTTCCTTTCGAAATGGTTGCCATGTTGACAAAGCAGTCAGTCAACAAACAAGAGAGGTTGTACTTCTTGTCACTTGAAGACTTGGCAAAGTGAAGTCGTTGAGTCCAATAGAGCAACATCGATTCTAGTTGATCTCGATTTAGGTGAAGACTTTGTTCGATGTTATAGAGCTGTAGCTCAATCTTGCAAAGAGCAACATTCACCTCACTGCCAAACTCACTCCCCAGTCTTATATCTTGTCTCTTTCCCAAAAAAGTCATTTCAAGCCAATGGAGGATATTTCCGAGAATTTCTACAGTATCCATGTCCTGGAATCCTTGATAATAATCAGTGTCTTCCTCATTTTGTAGCATCCAGTGAATCTGAAGAATCATCTGTTCGATCTTCTTGCTCGGCTCTGTCTCCAAGGGCCTGCTCATTGGAATCGGATCCTCAACGATTTCCCTGCTGGGTGCTAGGGATCGCAGTCGTTTTACTTCATTGTCAAGACTTGAGTTCTTGTCTTGGAGCTCCCGAATGACGTCATCTCGTGCTTGGATCTCAGCGCTGAGCGTCTTGAAGGACTTCCCCATCACTTCACGATTTTCCTTGTCATCCGCCAAGTTCCCCAGGGCTTCATTCACTAAAAGGCACGCACGTGTGAGCGTTGTCTCGAGCCCAAGGACAGCAGCTCCCTGGCCGTCGGCAAGATGTGATAGCTCGTCTTCAAGCGCCTGTACCTTGAGCTTCAGCGCCTGACATTCTGATCGCTCTGTCGACAGCTCATGCTCTACACCCTTGATTCTTCCTTCCATTTCGAGTGCAGTATTGCGAGCCGAGCTGTGCAAGTTTACCATCGTTGTCTCGAGCCCAAGGACAGCAGCTCCCTGGCCGTCGGCAAGATGTGATAGCTCGTCTGCAAGCGCCTGTACCTTGAGCTTCAGCGCCTGACATTCTGATCGCTCTGTCGACAGCTCATGCTCTACACCCTTGATTCTTCCTTCCATTTCGAGTGCAGTATTGCGAGCCGAGCTGTGCAAGTTTACCATCGTTGTCTCGAGCTCAAGGACAGCAGCTCCCTGGCCGTCGGCAAGATGTGATAGCTCGTCTTCAAGCGCCTGTACCTTGAGCTTCAGCGCCTGACATTCTGATCGCTCTGTCGACAGCTCATGCTCTACACCCTTGATTCTTCCTTCCATTTCGAGTGCAGTATTGCGAGCCGAGCTGTGCAAGTTTACCATCGTTGTCTCGAGCTCAAGGACAGCAGCTCCCTGGCCGTCGGCAAGATGTGATAGCTCGTCTGCAAGCGCCTGTACCTTGAGCTTCAGCGCCTGACATTCTGATCGCTCTGTCGACAGCTCATGCTCTACACTCTTGATTCTTCCTTCCATCTCTTGATTCGTAGACTCGTTTATCTCCAAGAGCTCTCTCAGTCGATGGTAAAACTCTCCCACCTGTGCTGCAATAGAGTTCAATTGAGAGCTCAGATAGAAGAGAATTGATTTCGTTTCTTCAAATTTGATCAGTTTACAGTTGCAAAATAGTCTCGACTGTTGCAAAGATTGTTCAATTCCAGTGACGATTGATTCATTCATTCTTCCAATATTGTTCATTTCATCTAAAGTAGCGTTTAGATGAAGGTTGAGTTGACTGTTTTGGCCTTCCAGCATTCTTATCGTCTCGCTATTTTCCTGTAGACGGCTATCGTAGCTCTTGATTCTTTCTGCTGCTTCCTGAATCGATTCAACTGCGCTCACATTGGACTCATAATAAGACGAATGAGCAGCTTCTCTGGTCAGTTTCAAATCGCCGTGTCGGAGGTCTGAGACTGTTAAATCTCTCAGTTCGTGGGTCATTCTCAGGAGATCTTTTTCGAGGATACTTCGCTCCATTGCATACTTTGTCAGCGTCGCGCTCGATTGTTTCTTGTCTATGATCTGCATCCAACTTTGCAGCTCATCAGCAGCTGTGAACAGTTCTCTGTAGTGTTTTTGCAATTCAGAGTTCTCAGCCTTCAATTCTTGATTTTCTCGCGAGATTCGTTGCAGACCGTCAGTAAGGTTCTGGTTGCAAGATCTCAAGTAGCTCATCTCGTCTTGTGAGATTGTTATTGATTCCTCATATGCTCCGAGCCTGATATGCGAAGACCGAATCTCTTGCCTGGTTCGCTTTAACTCTGTTGCTGATGATTCTAACATTCGAACCCTGTCTTTGAGTGCAGTCTCAAGAGCTTGTAAAGTTGATATCTCCTTGGCATCTTTTGTCATTTTTTCTTGTGACACTTGGAGTTTCTCTTTCATTCTTTCAGATTTGTTCCTTTCACTCTCAAGCTCCTTCAAAATCTGAGTATGTCGATTTTCGAGTTCTTGGTATTTTTCCTGTAGCGAAAACAAGATTTCATTTTGATGCTGAATCGCCAATTCTGCTGCTTGTTGCTGATCCTCAGTAGCGTGAAGCTTCATCATTGAAGAGTCTATCTCAGACTCAAGCATTTTTAACCTGTTATCATTCTCACACTTTGACTTCCAAAGTGAGACGAAGTTACTGCCAAAAAGATCTGTTTGCGATTCAAGGGCACACGTCACCTTGAAGAGATGATCAATGTAGCTTTCATACATTGATGACTGCAATCTGAATTCATTCATCGTCATGGTTAAACTAGATACGGCCAATGTCATGGCTTCCCTCTCTTGCAACAGATTTTGATTGTCAGCATTGAGTTTGGATGCCTTCAGCTCCGCTTCTTGGTAAAATATTCTCAAATCGTTGCATTCTGACGTTAACTGCTCTACAGCACCTTGCTCTTGCATCAAGTTTTCTTGTAATTGAAGAATTGTTGAATTGAAGTCTTGGAGTTTTTCCACATTGACAGCATTCTCAATGGTCTGAATCTCATTCGCTGTCTGTAGACTCAGTACCCTATCGTTCAATGTGTTGACCTGGTGCTCAAACGAATTTCTCCTGAGAAACAACTGTTCTGTCCCCTCTAGACAGTCTGCAAGTTTTGTTTCGACTGTAATTATGAGATTTTCAAGCGTTGTGAACATGACATTCATTGAATCCTCACAGTCTTTCGTTTCCTTGATAAAAACATGAAATTTTGTGTTCTTATCTGCAAGTCTTTGAATAGTTTCTTCAGTCATGGATTGAAATTCTGCAAGATCCTGTGAGATCAATCTGACATCGAGCAGATCGCTCAAGTTTTCATTTGCTTTCTTTCGTGCAACCATCAAAACCGACTGTAAGGAATTGTGGTCATCTTCAACTTTCTGATATCTTTGTAGAACGTCCGCATACATACTGAACAAATTCTGCAATTCTCCTTTTTGTTGCTCGTTCTCATCTTTATGAATTTCAATCAATATTTTGAGTTGATTGATGTATTCTTGTTGTGATAATTTCTCCTTTTTGAGATTTTGACACTCCTTTTGACAACAGTAGAAGTTTTGTAAGAATTTATCGATTTTCTCAAAAGAAAATTGAATTTCGTGTAAGGATTTTTCAAATGTATTGGTACAGTCAGAAATTTCATGTACAAGTTCCTGAAGTGTAGCTGTCAGCGCACTAGTCTGTTTTGTGTATGCTTCCAAACTTCCGACTCGATCCAGTAAACGTGAATTTTGTAGAAGGAGATCCTCAATATCCGATTGCATTTCCATGGATATTGATGGAATAATTTTGTCTCTGCACTCAAATATTTCTTGAACTTCTTCTTCAAGTCGAGCTTTAAATGTTTCGAATATCAGTCTGAATTCAACGTTCTCTTTTTCTAAATGATTGACCCGCTCATTCTTCTCCTTTTCCTGACGCGACATTTCACGTTCATATCTCTGATGAAGATTCTCTACGAAATGATTCAACCGATCAACAAGCTTAATTGACTCATTCGAACGTTTGAAAACATGTGAAGGCTCATTAACCTGAAATGCGTTAAAGAATCAAACACATGGAATTCAGATGAGGTACCAGAAAGGCCTGCTCCAATGCAACAATACTCTTACGTAGCTCTGATCGTTCATCCAGCATCGAAGCCCTTTCTGCTTGGAAGGATTGAACTTCATCTCGACATCTTTTCACTTCATTCTCCATCTCCTGCATTTCTAGATTGTGATGTTTCTGGGTTGAATCAAACTGGAGCAACAGTAAGAACCAGCAGGAGAAGCGCGCATCCTACCAAACTTTCATTTCTTTCATTGGCTTGCCGGTAGCCTTCCAATTGTCTTTCCAAATCCATGCAACGAGTCTGCACAGTCTGTATTTCCTCTTCAAGCTTCTTTTTCTCTGATTCTGCTGTTGCCAACGCATTGTTGACAGCTTCCAGTTGCTAATATTTTCACACATTAGAACGAACAAGATCCAAAAATGATCTCACCATATTGGAATGAATCAATTTCTGTCTTGCAACAATGAGTTCTTGCTGTGATTCTTCATTTTGATTGTCCAGAGCCTTGGTTTTTGAAGTTGTCATTAGATATCAAACCAACAATCGTCCACTGTCTCACCGTGTTTTCAAATTGAAGTGCTGCTAAACGTTCTTTGACATCCTTACATTCAGATTCTAATCGGATATTCTTCTCGAGTAAGTTCTTCAGAGATCCTTGTAATTCATCTTGAGTAAATTTGAGTTGCTTCTTTTCCACCTCAAACAAGTCGTTCATATGTGTGGCTTCCTGAAAGCATGTCAATCTCATGATATCGCATACATCGTTTTTGCCTCCAATCGTTTTGCCAATGTCAAATTCTCATTTTCAATTTTGAGGAGACTTGCTTTCAATTTCTCGTTGTCCTCCCTTGTATTAAGCATGTCGTTTTGTTCCTGAGAATGTGGTCAAGGAGAATGCCACCATCAAACCAAGTAAGATACATTCAGTTTGTGTTCTGTCCGATCATTGTTTTGTCGCCTTGTAAGTTGAACAATAAACTTGGTTCCATCGCTCTCCAGCTCCAGTTGCACGCTGGTCCCACTTCTCCCTAGGATTGCTTCTTTGATGTGGTTAAGCGGCAGGTATTTCACATCGCGTCCATCGACTCTGATCAGCCAATCTCCTTGCCTGATTCTTCCATCCATCTGTGCTGACCCTCCTGAAAACACTCGAGAGATCTGAGGATAACAATCCAACCAAGAGCTCTGGCGCGATAGCGATATCCCCACGCCCACTGTCAAAAGGGATCAACCCTCCTCAAGACTCGGCGTGAACTACAAGACTTTTACCTGCATCGCAACTTTCTGCCGGCGTCTTCACCTCAGCATTGCGGTCGAGCAAGCTCTCTTGCCACATGCTGCCACCATCGCGCTTGCGGATCGAAGCCATCGATCCGCTCGGAAGTTACAAGCGCTGTACCTACCAGTATAGGGGGTGGGGTGGGGAGGCCACCCAGGGTTTTTAGGCGAACAGGAAGGGGTGGGTGACCACGCAGGGTTTGACGGGGTGAGGGAGGTCATGGGGTGTATAAAAGAGAGGGCAAGGGTGTGCTTGGTTAAGGTACAAAAGGGGGGTAGTCGAGAAGTAAAACAAGGGGGTAGTAGAAATGAGAACAGGGTGGGTAGTTGGTCGGGGCGGAGAGCCTATTTCGGCATCGAGAATGGCGGATGAAGAGGAGATGAAGGAGGATATCCGGGAGGGAGATGGAGCGGCGATTATGATGCTGAAGAGCGAAAACAGAAGACTGAAGTTGATGCTGGACAGGAAAGAACGGGAAATGTATCTCATCATGAACTGTGAAGCGTAATCCTGACTTTGTTTGCAGCCACGACATTCAGGAAACTCTCTTTATCAGTGATCTATCCGAAGAAAGGAGTACGTGCAGGCTCTAGTATATGCTGCTTTCTAACCTGAGGTCTTTGCACATATTCTGCTTTTCTCCAGTGGTTCAGCTCTCATCTAGTGATAACCACCATCCGCAAGGCGCTGGGATCGGGGAGGTCTTACCAGTACCAAACCTTAATCCGCATGAACTGATGAGCATACCACACAGGACATTGAGGCATGGTGGCAATATCAGACTAAGATCACAAGAAATATCTGTGCTATTGCCAACAAATACAAGGAACGTTGTGTAATTCTTCAAGAGAGGGTCTCCTCACATGCCCAAGCACGGTGCAGTGCATACTTTCCTTGTATTTCCTAATGCACTTGTCACAGGTGTGATCCTGTTGATCAACGCACAAGAGAAGACTTTCAGCGAACTCTGAATCAACTCCTCATTCAAAGAAACTCCTATTTAAAAGGTGGCTGCCATAAAGGAGACTTGCGCTGAAATGCCCCATCATTTCCAGGCATGCTTGAATCAGAACAGAATAGCAAAAACTTCATTTTGAATCAATGGTTGAAGATGGCTCAGCGCAATTCTGATCCTTCTGATTCAGGCATTTGAAGAATTCAGCCATCTTTAGGACTGACAAAACCCATAGAGAAAGAACACGTCGACGATTTGAAGAACGAGATCAGTGTTTTGATGAAAACCATCTTGACATTGAACGTAAATTTGTGTCTCTTGTTTCTCCTCCCTCATGAAAGATCTCAGGAGGAATTGTTTGAGACAAGGCAGGCAAAAAAGTCATTGAACCATAATACAGACATGGTTTATTTGAAATGGCGAAAGATGAGTAATAACTGTTTTCTTGCAGTTGCTCAGGGACACGATAGAGCAAATGAGGATAAAGGAAGGACTTTTTATGGAGGAATTGAAGAGCAAAGAACAAGAGAATGCAAGACTTCGTGAGGAACTGAACGTCGAGAGTGGAAGTCTGAGAGGGATCTTGCAAAGAGGGCTTTCAGTGAGAGAACAATACAGCCCTGAGGATATTGATGTGCTATATCAAACGATCGAAGAATTCTCGTGGTGGAGAAGTGTCAGTGATGATAGTTTGATAGACGTGAAGATGAGACTTGACAATGCGGCAAGGGACCATCAATTTGAAACCGAACACTTGAAGTCTCAAATTTTGGATCTTGAAGGACAGCTTGTAAAAATTTCAGGTTTGCTTTCAAAATCTGTTCCAATGAAACTGAGACTCTCTACAACAGAAACCCTTACCAACGAACAATTGAAAATTGCGAAGCTTGAGACTTCACTCTTCGAATATGGTTTTTATAGCAATGGACATGTTGAATCAAATTACAACAGCAAGCTTGTTTCTGATCTTGAAGATAAGGTTACACTTTCTCGAACGATCCATGTGAGGGAAATAAATTTGGTTTCTGCAGGTATCTCAGCTAAAACTTGGGATGAGCAGTATCAAGAAGGGCTTTACTCACAATGACATCCAAACCGATAGTCTCAGCCTGAGGCAGGGAATGGCTTTGCAGGATCTGGAATTCGAAATTGATAAGCTCAGAAGGGTAGAAAAATTTGATGAGCTCACGTCTAACAAGCAATCTACGATTCCAGATCGTGTGTGGATGGATGAGAAAAAAGCTCATGAAAACACGAAGTGGAAACTGATTCAAGCAGAAAAATCTCTAGCTTTGTCTTCGAAGAAGATATCTGAATTGGAAAGTGCCATCGAAGAGCTCTCGGAGGCGTTCCTGGAGTGGAAAGTCAGTTCGAATATGACTATAACAAGCGACGTCTTGCAGCAAAAGGTACTTAGCCTCGAGGCCGAGAGAGACCGCCTCCTTAATCTTCACAATGATGATGTGATGAGGATCGAACGTCTGGATTCTTCATATAAACGTCTTCAGAGTGATTATTTGTCCAAGGAAAGAGAATTGAAAGGGTCTGTGGACTATCTCTCAGCTACAATTCCCGAATTTGGATCATTGAAAGCGAACAACCGCATCCAAAAACTCAAAATTCAAGAGATGTCACAATTGATCGCTACCAAGAATGAAGAGATCTCTCGTTTGCACCAGGAACTTCAAAGAGCATATACCGAAAACGCACAAACAGAGCACAAGCAACATGATTCGGTTGACTGGAGCAAAATACAGATGGTTTCTGACAAGAATGCTGAATCTGAGCTGATGATTCAAAACTTGGAAGAGAAGTTGGCGGCTTTTGCTATGGAGAACAAACATTTAACCAGCGTAGCATTCGAAAAAGAGCTGTTATATGAACAGAACAGAAAGGATCTTGAATTGAGATTGCTCTCAAGCAATGAAAGTCAAGCCTTGTTAAAAGGGGAGTTAGAAACGCTTGAAAAGAAACATGCGTCCGTGTTGAGCAGCTTGTACCTGCTCTCGAACTCATTGCAATCTACTCGCGCAAAATTCTTCAACGTACTGTCTCCCTTGGATTTTGAGATAGTGGACACAGCAGACTTCGAGAAGCTCTCGCAGGTTGTTCAAATCGAAGCCTCGGACCTTGTCTCACTCTCCCTCGACCGTGAGCGAGAGTGCAAAAATCTCCGCGCCACCAATGAAAAACTTGAACGTCTGAATTCAACTTCGAATGAGAAGTTGAGGCAGGCGAACAGCAAGATCTCAGCGCTGAGACAGGAGGTCCAAGACTTGCACCAAGAGTTTCTGTCCATCCTCAACAAGAAGAAAACTGCGCTTGAGGACAACTATCATAAGACCAAGAAAGAGCTGGAAGACACTCTCACAAAGAAATCTGAAGCTGAGGACGAGGCCACCAGACTGCAATCGGAATTGAATGAAATGGTGGAGGCCAATGAAGTGTTGAAGCAACAAGTAAGGCTTCTCGAGGACGACCTAGTGATGAAGTCCAAATCTCACCTTGAACAGCTGGAACACGAACGTCAGATGCATCAGGATGTGATAATGCAGAAACAAGAAGAGTATGAGAGGCTATCCGTTGCCTTCGACTCTCTCAATGAAATGCATGACCGAGCACTTGAGATTCAAGAAAAGACCAGAGTCTTTGCGATCAAGAAGTCACAACGTTTCTCGTTGCATCAACATCTGATCTTTTGGTTTCACTTCACTTGGAGATTGGCTCAAATCAACCACGTTAAGGACAAGATGTCGTTTTATTACAGCATGCACTATAAAGCAGGGTTTTTCAAACACTGGAAGTCACATTCCAAGTTCCTTTGCTATTCCAGGAAATTGATTGACAAGCTTGAGAGCATTCAGTTTACCTCAACGAAAGCATTTGTTTTCAAAATGTTTTGGGTTGTCACCCAACAAGAAAAGGCCAGGTATCAACTTACTTCGTCTTTTCCCGCCTGCCTTGATCTGATGCATTCGCAGGGATTCAGTGGATGCGGCAAACAACAAGGCTTCTCTGAAGGCAAGCCTAGCTTTGGAGGAGATATCCACGGCCAATCAGCACTGTGAAGCCACCAAACAGAGTCTTGCTGAGCTATCGAGTGAGTTTGCATGCTATTTTGAGGTTGCAGTGATTCCTTTTGCAGCAAGAATGAGATTCAAGCGCAAGGCACTCATAGCATACAGAGATTGGTTCGCTGAAGTCCTGCGGCAGCGGAGCCTCCGAAACATTGAGAAGCGAATAAGCAAGGGAACTTATCTCAGTCAGGTCCGAAGGTCTTTGCGAAAACTGGAAGATTACAGTTCATTCCGAGGACACCTTGAGTCGACCTTTGACATATTGGAACGGACTGTACTGAAAAGAGCCAAGACACACACTATGGAAGCGCTGAAATTGAGCACGAGGAGAATCAGGAGCATGAGGATCAAGGGCCGGACGTTGAGCGAGCGAGCAAACACGAGGATCTTATCGGAAAGCTTCTCCAACTTTATGTCAATCTTGACGGATCGACAAGTTAGCCGAAAGATCAAAGAAGCAACTTCATGCAGTGTAGAGTATCTAGTGGGGGAGAATGTAGAGTTGCAGCAGCGACTGGAGGCTGCCGAATCGTCCCTTGCGCATTCGCAAGCACAAGAGGAGAGGCTCGCAGAGAGGCTTCAAAGAATCCAGGCGTTGAAATCGCGAGCAATACAACATGGCGTCGAAACCACTCTTTCTTCACTGAAATTCAAGTATTTCAGCAATCTGCGCTTCTCCTGCCTTCGTTCTAGAATTGTCAACACTTCTGTGTCCGAGAAACAAACATACTTCCAATCTTGTTACCTGCAAACAACGCTCATCATTTGGTACCTTCAAGCAAGATACTCCCGTATGGCTCAAAAATTCTGTGAAAAGCAAGTTTCGTATCAGAGAAACCAGAAGAAATGGCGAACGTTTGAATATTTCTGCCTCCTTCTAGAGGGGAAGTCGATCCGGGACGACATGACAAAGGCTTGGATCGACACAACAGAAGAAGCAGAGAACTACAAACAAACCTCAGCTGAGATGTTTGCGCAACTTGTGGAAGTTCAAAGGCTGCTGGACGATGAGAAGTCAGCGAGAGAACTGGCAGAGCAGCAGCTGGAACACAGCTTGAGCATAGGAGAATCCTTGCAAACAAATCTGCTCGCCACCGAACAGCAGGCGTCCAGCCACCGAGAAGAAGTCGAGGAGCTGAAGATGGTGAGTCCGAGTTGCCGAGGATGATGATTGACACGAACTTTTCCCTCCACCAGAGGCAGAGCGGTTACGACGTGCGGATCCAGGAGCTGGAGCGCAAGGTGGAGGTGCAGGACGCAAGCCTTGAGTGCCTACAGGTGAGGTGGAGGGAGGCTGGCGGTTGGCTCACGAGGGCACAGGAGGAGCTGCGAGTGCAGAAGGAGGCGAAGAAGACGTTCTACGAGGAGAAGAGCGAGTTGTTGAGGGCCAAGATCGACTTGGTCAGGCGCAACTGCGAGCTACAGAAGCAGATCTCCTTCATCAAGGTGACGGACCTTGACCTGCCTCCCTCATCCCTGACGTGCTGCCAGAACGAGAACCAATTCGTCGAGCTCGAGCTCCGTCGACTGTGGGAGCAGCTGCAGGAAGCTGTAAAGGAGACGCCACACACTCACTTGCACCTGTTCCTGGATGTCATGAATGCTCTCTCCTCTCTGTGTTACTCGCCATCGCAAGGAGGGGAAAACGACCCAGCGGCGAAGCAGCTCGGCCCTACCCTTGAGCAACCTCGAGGAGGGCGTGACAGCACAGAGGCGTCGCAGGAGCAGCAAGTGGCAGACGAAGGCGAGGGGGACGCGGTAACAGCAGGATCTGAAGGAGACGATGCAACTTCAGAACACGATCGCTGGGGAGGACAAGACCTTGTCAGGCTCGTTTGAGAGAATGAATAACAATTAAAGATAAATGAGGTCAAAACGCTCGTGCAAGCGCATCCAACGCTCCTCACAACCCAGCCAACAGCTAGCTAGGTCGACGGAGACTGTGACGTCATCGCGGTGGCTGCCTGCTGCAACCACTGAGAGATGTCAGCGTTGCCGTGGAGGACGACGAACGGATGCCCGATCAACATCTCAGCGTGCGGTCTCTGCTCAGCCCTGACGGAGCGACAGCAACATCAGCGGGAGGGGAAACAAAGACGTCAGCATTACCTCTTCACGAGCATCTGCGATACAAAATCTCGAAACTCAGGAGAAAATGTCTCCGGGAGGGTGGGAGGGTCTTCATCAACGATTCTGTCCAACAGCTCAACAAGTTCCAAACGCCTCCCAGGGTCCGAGTAAGGGAAGGTTCCAGTGGCGACTTCCGCCAATGAGATGCCTAAACTCCAGATGTCGCTATTCCACACATACTGCAACCCTGATATCCTGACAAACAGCATCGTCACCCCTCTGTCCACATAGGATCAATATGAGATAAAACCTTTCTGGAGACATGTAAGTAGTAGAGCCAACCCAGGTATGGGCAGGATCAAGAGTGTTTGCCAACTGAGTCGACATACCAAAATCACATATCTTGACCTGCACGATAGTCATCAATATAACATCTCTCTTCGGTGATATGAAACCTGTCCCTTGGAATTCATGAGTAAGTTTGAGGGCTTAATATCTCTGTGAATCATTTTCCTTTCGCGATGCAAGTAGACCAGCGCGTCTAGCAACCGGCTGCTGGCGTATCCAACAACCTGCTCGCAATCAGTCTGGCAGCCAGGTGAAAACTTCAAGGGCATTCACCTCCTCCGGAAAGGCCCCCCCGAGTGTCATCATGTCTTTGAACGATTTGAGGTCCATGTACTCGCATGCTATTAGAATTGAGCTCCTTGCAGGGTAGAACGCGCATCCCAAGAACTCAGTAACGCACGGATGTTGGCATGAATACCTGACCAACGACAACATCAACCAACAAACACACCAACCAACATGAGCACTCACAAATTCTGCAACTGCTGTATCACGTTCTCCCGATCCTGCTCTCTTAGCTGCACGGGAATGGCCTTGAGCGCGATGTAGTTCCCGGTCCGTGAGTCAATGGCCCGCGTGACAGTCCCACTCGTCCCTTGACCAAAACACTTGAACGTTCCATCAGGATTCACCGGCACTTGGAAAGGCTCTATGGAAAGGATGGTCTCGCTGGTCATCGCTCCTCAAGGCTGTGGAGGCCGAGAGATCGCAGAGGAGTGGCAGGGCCCCCCTGGGCGACCCTTCTGCACAAATCCCCTGCTCTGTTAGGATCCCCCAAAACAAGACGGATGCTTCTTCGATGAAGACCTGTCAACTAAGTATAGTCAATCTTTCCAATCTGACTCTCCAGCATCGAGATGAGGCACGTTCAACACAAAACAATGGGAATCAGCTACTGATACAGAAATACGCATTCTTCCATATGGATCGGACGAGAGGAGTACTTGCTAAGTCTCCGGTCAACCATCAAAGGCAGCAACCTCATGACATGCTGTAAACATTTACGACAGGAGGAAAGTGTATGCAAACATGACGATTCAATATGAAACAAGGTGAACAGCCAAGCGAATTAGATCAGAAGGGCAGGAGGGGTTGGGGGGGGGGCAGGCAGATCAAGAGACCGCCAACACGCCTCTACCACATCAACATCACAGGACGATCTGGCCACCAAGCCACCGTTCTGTACGTTTACAACTCTCGCTCATGTAAAGACATCATTAACCTTCTCTTCTCTGCTCTGCTATCACCCTCTTTTCACAGCTTGCATACACCTTGCCTTCATCTAAGGCTTGAATTATCGGAATCCTCTCCTCCCTGCTTAGGTACCCTCCGTACCCCTCGGATCTACGAAACTCCACCTACTCCCCGCTAATCTCCACTGGAGTACTTGTCAAACCGCTGGGCCCATTAAGCAGGAATCAGTTCTGTTTCTACCTGATGCTGAACTAGAGAGGGGGCAAGCTGTTTGTCCTTTGAGGCTACTCCTTCCGTTCATTTTCTCACACCTCCTTCAGTACGGCTCTTCCTCCCATTCCTTTTTGTCATGAGTTGCCTCCATGCACCTTCACATCTTCATCACATCTTCATCACATCTTCATCACATCTTCATCATAACCGCATAACATCTCGAACTACATCTTCGTTCGCATCCTTGTCCTCATCCTCCCATCGCCATTTCCCTTCCTCTTCCATGTGCATCGCCCCTCCAATCTACCACCCCCACCATCAACCACACACCCCTTGGACCCCACCCACCTCTCTACACACATTCACTACCCCCACACTTGTCGAAAATGTTACCCCCACCCTACTCAGGAATCAGTTTTTTCTGTGAGATACCCTACTTTCATGACCCCCCCTTCTGCCTTCGACTACAACCCCCTTAATCTCCCCAAGTTTGCCAGTGAACCCCTGCCTGACCCTTTGACCCGCCACCCCTACCTCGTATAATTAAGACACCCACCCCCACTACCCGATCTCCAACTAGAAAGAAACTACCACCCCCCACCTCCTCTCTGGCCGTTTTTTGAAAATCACCCCAGAGTTCTCGACAGACATTCCGAAGGGGTAGGGTACTAATGAAATGGGTGGGTGGTGTCTCAAGATACCCCTTATTTCTCCCGGAAAGTACCCCCACCATAAATAGGTTTTATTCTCTGACAGGAGATATACACCCTAGAGAAAAAAATTTGCCACCCCCACCCGGTGAAAATCCTCGAAACCAGCTCGGGATACCAGTACCCATGCGGATACGCAATCACCCCTCATATGATAACCCTACCCACTGAATGACTGAAATTGGTGTTGTGAATGTGATGAAGGACCCTGTCATAATCAGTCATCAATACCGGTATAATGAATTACCCACCATACCATCTCGTATCGCCATTTGATCCCCTCCCCTTCCAATTTTTACTACCCCTGATTGGCAGAGGTTCATTATCCTTGTAGGAAGGTACAGCCTGTCGCCTTTCCGTACCACCCTACCCATCCAATGACCATCATCTATTCATCCTTTGAGGGGTCTAAAAAGGTTATGAGTACTGCCGAGGTCCCGGGCTGTAGCCGGTCGCCGGGCCCGGGCCCGGCGGAAAGTACGGATATCATTGCGGATACTCACGAGTACGGGGGAATACAGTTCGATTCCTACGCCCACGACCACAAGCACAAGCTCGTCTATATGGCAAACGAGGAGGAGGGAAGATGGAGCTGACGACGAAGATCTCCAGTCAGACTCTGAGGAGGAGGAAGAGGAGGAGACTTAAGAGGAGGTCGTGATCGCTGTGTCTGGCCTCTTCACTCGTAGACATGTGGTGGGCGCTAGCTCTCGAATTTGTCTTGATTGGCATCCTTTGCTGGATTGCTCTCAATCGCCTGGCCTCCCATCGAGTTCCATGGCATGTGATGACAAGCGTTTGGGGTTCTTACTTCCTCGTCCTGTCCCTTGTTGCGCTGGTGCCCATAGATGTACATCTTGTGTACGTCCAGCGATGTATGAACCTCCAGGTGTCCCAGGATGACCTGCGCGAATGCGACACAGGTTACTTCATGTCATGGAAGCTGCTCTACCCCGACATCAGTGACGAAGATTCGCTGAGAATCTCGACCGACGTGTTGAAGTTCCTGTGGTCTGCGGTGTACACGGGCTGTGCATTCAACGGGTGGATCCTGCTCACAACGCAGCAGCACTTTGTGGAGGCCCAACACTTCTCGCTCCTCCTGCGGGCCCGGCAGGCGGTCTACAACCAAGGATGCTTCTTCATGACGGTGGCAGCGATTCTCTCTGCGCTGTTCGTCATCCTTGTCATCTCGGGGGAGAACTGGAGGTACATCTTCCAGGGTCTAATGGGAGTTGGTAACTCGCTCATGCTGATGGTGGTTGCCCTTTTGCTGGGCTACGGGCTGGCTGAGTTTCCCATCAGCCTGTGGCAGGAGGCGCGGATCAACCCGAGCCTGAAGCGCTTCCGCTCTGATGCCTTCCTGCAGTATGTGAAGTTCAACAGAGTGGCGAGGCTCCTGGCCAAGAAGCTCACGGTGCTGTACAACCTGCGGAGGCTGGCCTCTACCTCCCTGCGAAACCTTGCTCCAGCCATCCTCAAGATCATCGACGAGTCTCCTATCGATGTGGCGGATGCGCTGAAGATGGACCCCGTGTACGGCCCGTCGTTCCCCGTCACAGAGGAGGACAAGGAGGCGGCGTTCTTGCTGCTGCTAGAGCAGGTTGAGCGCGAGAGGACTTACGGGCAGGCCATGACTGAGATCGACCTGTGGATTGAATCGCTGTCCTCTGCAAACCTATTGCCTTTTGGCACAGACATCCTGTCGCTGCAGGACACTCTGTATGACGCCAAGTTCCGAGTGCTCGCTGATGTGGACTATTTGGACATTGCCAGGATGCGCAAGAACACGGAAGAGGCTGCAGGTGAAGACAGGATCGCTATCATCAAGAAATCTTTAGCGCCCTTGCTAGAGCTAGAGGGTGAAGTCCTGCAGATGCTGGCTGAGGCCATTGTGAAGAGAAACGACGCTAAGATAGAGATGGACAAGAGGTTTGACGAGGACGATTTCATGGAGACGGAGAGTCAAGAAACGAATCTGAACCAGACAGCTGCATGGAGTACTGAAAGGCTCGTTGCCTTCAAGACTGAATTGCACCACTTGAATAAGCGATACCGTCGCGCAAAAAGAAAATTTGATCTTGCTGTTGTGAGCGCAATACTGTTAGAAGATGTCGTCGCAACTTATCAAGCGCTTCTCCCGTGGAAAGCGATGCAACATACTCTTTGGAATGCTTTCTTAGAGAAGGAAGAGGAGGATGCGTGGAGGGGCGTGGAATCGCCTGTGAAGAAGAGCTTTCAAGGGAGATGGGCGAGGCGGCTGGAAGTTTTGTGGTTCTTGAACAACATGTTTGTTGTCAGGTTCGTCAAAGTAGTTTCTTCGCTTCTCTGTGGGTTTTTGTCTATATGCATGCTGTGGAGCGAGCTATCTGTTGCCCCATGGATTCGAGATTATTTCTCGGAACCGCAGCAGGGATCTCTCTTGCTCCACCAAGTTTGCTGGGCATCGAAGTTGCCACCAAGTAAGTGACTAGCATGCGAGTATCTTCTCCCTTCCCCCTCTCCCTCTCCCTCTCCCTTCCCCCTCTCCCTCTCCCTTCCTCTGATCGTTGGTTCAGGCTGCCGCTCCTCCGACTCCACTCCAACTCCTCAAGATCCTTTCTCGATCGAGCCCTCGGTCCAAGTGATCATCATTTGCCACCTGTTGTACTTTATGAGGATTTGTCATTTCTCGCTGACGAGGCTGAGGCTATGGAAGGTAGTGCCGTTCAACGATTGCTCCCTCTCTCACTTTCCTGCCCTCCAGCTCTACGAGGTGATTCCCGGAGAAACAGATTCGCACAGTCTACTCGTCAACGCCTTCCTGGCTTGCCGCATAGTCCCCTCCATCACACAGAACTACCTGAACATGCTGCGTGAAGCTCATGAAGAACGAGAAGTTGGAGGCGAGGCGACAGTCTTCGAAAAGACCTTCTCGGCTATGGGAAGAGTTCCTTTTGTTGGCTCCAGTTTCGATGAGGTTTTGCCGCCGATCATGCTTGGATTCTTCATTCTCAATCTATTTTTCATCATATCTCGTCAGGTACAATCGCAGGCAGACAGAAAAATGTCTGACATGCCATGTCAGGTTTTCGGCAAGAGATTCGAGCTTTTTGCGATCCTCGACGGCGAGAGCAAATCCTTCACGGAGGAGCAGGAGAAGGAGGCGATCATCTTAATCGGAGAAGAGAGGAGGCGATATGAGAGGATATCAAACCTTGCCAACACTCAACGTCGGAGTGGTAGCGCCGTGAAGAAGAAGACTACCTTCGAAGCTGCTAACAAGACCCTCTCCAACGTCGCCGGCAAATGGCAGGACATGAAGAAACTTCTGCCGCAAGGTGCGCCTGCTCCTCCTGACCTTGTTGCCGTCATACTTGAGCAGGCGGCTTCAGCGATCAGTTCCCGCTGTCACGAGCGCTGCCGTACGAGAAGTCCCGAGCCACCACTCAGGACCTGGAGGCGGGGCCATATCCCCAGGCCACCTCAATCTTCAGCATGGTGAGCACCAGCCTTGCCCTCCCTGCCTGACGCAGCTCCCGCTCGCAGAAATTCAATCAGAGCGACAAGATTGGGAAGGCGAGTGATCAGTTCGTGAGGTTCGTGAAATCTATGAAGGTCAAGGCAAGGTGGAACATTTCAATACTCTACGCGTTCCGTTGTGACTGTAGGGCAGGTCGGTGACGGAGAGTGTGCGCGGCTATCTCTCCCGGCTCAACACTCGAGCTGGTTACTCTGTACAGATAGTTGGGTGAATGTTGCCCCCGGCTCCGCTGCTAACGCCTCGTGTAATGTTTGATATGTTGAAAGAAGGGAGAAGAGGTATTGTTGGCAGCTGCCAATTCTTCTATTATCAGTTGTAGTAAATCTTGATCATCAGAGTGGCTGTGGGTAGATGATGCCGACGAGTGTTTAAATGCACACTGTTAGGTCGATAAAGTTTCAAGGGCGGCTGATGACTATCCTGTAGAGGAATAGTTGCCAACAACCTCGAACACAGGCTTGTTGCTGGCATCTTCCTGCTCCTTGCTGTCCTTGCTCCATGCTCCCACGTTCGTGAGAAAGGACCCCAGAGTCTGATCCTCCGTGATGTATGCCGTTCGGCTCTTCCTCCAGAAATACCGACAGTCTGTTCTGTCCGAGTTGCACTCGAGCACCCAAGGATTCATTATCTTCTCCCACATGGTGAGAGTAGCGAAAACCATCCTGAGACAAATCAAACCGTCAGGCATGTAGAACATGTAGAAATTTGTCAGTGGATCAAGATTTCTTGTGTGCTTACAGTACACACGTCATCAGTTCCGACTCCACTCTAACCGGCCATCCCCTTCCCTGCTTTCAGCCTGCTCCTCCACAACGATCTGTGCCACGAGAACTGGCGGCTACTAGGCTGACAATCGACAGAACTCTCATCTCTCTATCTATTGACTGGCCACAGCTGATGTTATTCTCTATCTAATACATGCCATCATAGTCAAGATACTGAAGACGACTCAGTAACATTAAGGATGATACGGGTGATAAGGTCCATTGCGTGCGTGTGAACGCTTCAGGTTCTTTTTCTTTCAGCAAACCCATGAGATGAGTTTTCTTCTGCCTAACTCTTAGTAGTCTGTCGTCCATGAACGCTATCGCTCATGAAGTGACTCGTGAAGCCTCTGCCCGGCTGCCGCTACCCTGATGGTCTCCACCCATTATCGCAACGCTGCTATTTCCGGCAAAGGCTCACAAGTAGGTCAAGCAAACTGTAGGGCCGGTGAACGGTATCGGCGTCCGGCCGCGGGCGCGCCCCGAGCCGCCGCGCGCGGCCCGCAAGCCGGGCCGGGGGCGGCCGCTGAGCCACGGTGTCACCCGACGGTCACTCGCGGAGTCGGAGTCACGTCATGTTCGGCGGCCGGCCTCGACCTTAGTTGGTAACAAGACAGTTTTTGCTCAAGACCGAGTTTAATGCACACAAAACCGCCGCCCACTGAGAATTGAGGACGCCGCCCGGATCGTCCGGTCCGATCACCGGTCCGATCATCACTGATGGCAGATCAACGGTTCGGTCCGGCGGGGCCGACCGGCCCGGCGGGTGAGACCGTGCACCGTACTCAGGGTACGGTCACGGCAGCGTGACGGTGACCCGGCGGGGCCGCCGGCTCCCGGCAGTCCTCGACTGACTCACGGATACCCTCACGGATACCCTCACGGATACCCTCACGGGTATTGGCTTCCATGATGCAGTGCAAGGCTCGTGCAGGCATTGGGGCATGACGTGAGAAGCAGAACAGGAGAGAGATAAGGCTCCGATCCCATTGCCTTCTTCACTTAAGTTCTGCCATCCAAGGTCACCTACCGTCTGTCTAGGAACCTACGAGCAGTTGCCGTTGTTGTCACAAGTGTTCGATGTGAGTTAGCTAGGAGACTATGAAGCTTGCGCGAACCGGCTGGCTCATAAAGAGAGCTCTGGGATCCTCATTGAATCAGGCTCGATGCTTGAACAGCTTCCCAACAGACTTGAGCGGAAAATCGCTCAAACCCGAGAAGGCAGCAGAGACTTCCAGGCCAAGCACGCCAATCGACCGCGAGGCTCCGAAAAACAACAAGGCGCAAGGGATCAGAAACAGCAGGGGCACACAGTCTTTCGTGCAGAGTCACAACCTGGTCGATGGCAATGACGATGATGATGAGGTTCCGCTCGAAAAGCAACGGGTGAAGGCGGATGCGAGCTCAGCGCAGCCCCCGCGGACCCCCGTGCAAAGAAAGATTAACCTCGACAGGGCGTTTTCAGGAATCGACAAGTCAAAATACACCGACAAGCAGTTGAAGTACGTGTTGGATCAGGCGCAAGCGAGGGCGACAGACAATTCTCGGATGATTCCCTTCCAGGGCTGGTTGTGGCCAGAGTCTAACGGTCATCATCAAAAGCCGAGGGAATTCAGGGGCAGATCTTCACAAGCGTCCAAGTTCAAAGTAGACGAGAATACCACCTTTGTAAGTTACTGGTTGCCGTTGTCTGCCGCTTTCGTGTGACAGATGTTGTTGTCCAGAATACCAAGTTCTGGGATGCGGTTTTGAAATCAGTCAACCCGACAAGAGAGCTTCGCGAGATTGCTCGGGCAAGTTTGCAAGTGGGACCAGACGGCGAGTTTGTCCACCCGCACCTGGATTGGTTGGAGCAGATGATCCGGATCAAGTATTGCGATCCTTTCTCTGACAAGGCGGAGGATGAACAAGTGAGTGCCGCCCGTTGTCCAGCTGTTGTTGTCTATTGACGACTCTGTCCTGCAGATCGACTTCCTCTTGCGGTCCAAGGTGCTCATCAACCACGTGTTCCAGGTAATGGCGGCTGCTGCCCTCCTTCCTCCTCCCATTGTTGCTGACTGGCAGCAACAAGGTGGTGAAGCAGTCTCCCTGCCGCCTCCGAGTGCGGTGGGCCGCCCTGCTCCATGATATCGGGAAGCCCAGGACGGTCTCTGCTGACGCCAGCCCGATGTAGCTGCTCACGACCGTGACAGGTCTCAGTGGATCCCTCGGAAGAGAAGCTGCAGTTTCGCGATCACGAGTACGTCGGCGCGCTGATGGTGGACGAGATCCTGGCGGGCTACGGGTACCCCCCAGACTTTCGCAAGGAGGTCAGCGGAGGGTCTTGACCTGCTGCGAGGAGATGCTGATGGGGTGGGCAGGTTGCGACGCTGGTGGCTCGGTCGGGGAGGATCCGCCAGGTCGAGAAGATCAATGCCAACGCTGCGAGGAGACTCTACTCTGCCCTTGTACTTGTTCCCTCCGCTCCCTCCCCTCCTTACACAGAGTGCTTCAGGGACCTCTCTTCGACGACTTCCTTGACCTCTACCTGGCTGATTGCACAACCCTCAGTGTGAAGCGACAGGTAAGGATCTCAAGGCCGCGGCCTCTCATCTATCTTTGCGGTTTCCAATGTTTCCCTCCTCCCAAAATGCATCGATTTCCCAGACTCCTAAACGCTTCTTCTCCTTCCGTTTCCTCCTGTTCTTTCTTGTCCTGTCCTGTCCTCTTCCCCCCAAAGTAATTCAGAGAATCAGGTGGAGCACATCGACCGGGCTCATGTCATGCTGAGCAACGTTAGAAAGATCGTGCAAGAAGATCGAGTCGCCGCGCTCAAGTGGCCTCTCAACGGCTACGACGTGATGCAGATCACCGGGATCCAGGTCTTTCCCACCTGACGCCCCTGCTACCCTGACACGTGGACGACAGCCGGGGATGCACCTCGGGTCTATCCTGGCAGATGCGCGAGATGACTACCTCGCCAGGGGTCCCTACTCACACGGTATGCAGGAGGAGACGTGGGGTGTGAGTGTGTCTGGGGAGGGACGGGAGGGGAGGGGAGGGGAGGGGAGGCAGGACGCTCAGAGGCTCTTGTTGTGAAGACCCTGAACTCGCAATGCAGCGGAGGCTGCTGCTGTAGTCCAGAGGCTTTACAAGAAGGTCTCAACCAAGAGCATTCAGATGCTGCGCCAGGAGAAGAAGGAGGCGAGGTTGAAGAAAATCGATTGTGATCCTGCGCTGGAAGACCTGCACAAGATCAAGAGCCCCTCCTTCCAGGTCTACGCCTCGGACTCCTTCAGCCAGGACCGCCCTGTCTACGTCTTTCGCCTCCGCCTCCTGGAAGTCGAGGGAGGAAGTGAAGGTGCTGCGCGCATGGTGGAAGTGCCGTCGTACCTCAACCGGGAGCTCTTCCGTGACATTGCAGTGCATGAGTCTGCGGGGATTTACGAGTTTGCGCTGATCATCACGTGCGACCCTGCCGACCTCGCTGAGTTTCACTTGACCCGCCCTCTCGCAGGCACGCATTCGACTTCGACTTCGACGACGACTTCACCTTCTATCGACGGAAGAATCTCAAGGGCTGCCCTGGTAGTCGCACATGCTCGTCCTCCCCATCTCTGATGACCGTCGGAGCAGGAGCTTCAGCTGCGACGCTGTGCATTGAAGAAAAGAAAGGCAAGCTGGAGAGCTACCAGATCGCGGCAAGCCGTCGAGATGACCTAAAGGACTTCGCCATCGATCCCTCCAAGTTGGAGGATGAGTTTGACATGCTGATCCATGTGTCGGGACAGCAAGCCAAGGTAAGCCCCTCTACTGCATGAGTCGAGGAAGCGAAGAGCATGCGAGGGTGAGGGAGACTGAGCAGACGTGCAGGACTTGAACAAGCACCTCAAGGTTATCAACTATCGGAGGATCCCTGGGTGTCTTATGTCAGAGGAGGAGCTGGAGGATCTCAAGGTGGGAGAGGAGTCGCAGGAGGACGAGCGACTGAACTTGATGGCAGTGGTCCTCTGCGAACGAACCCCCACAGGAGGAGGTGCAGACTGACGACGTGACGGTAAAATAGTTTCCTCCCCCTCCTGTTCCTCTCTCCTTCTCTCTCCTCCTCTCTCCTCCCCCCCTCGAAATTTTCTCACACCCAATCTTCATTGCAGCTCGACACCCAGCAAGTCAACCTCGCCTACCCCCTGCGTACCCCCCACAAGGGCCCAGCCAGCCTCGCTACGACGCTCATCTGCCACCTCTTCGACCGAACGCGCTCCTGCATTGTCTTGGAGCTCCGGCAGGGAGGGCCCTGGTACATCCGGGTGGACCTGCTGGAAATCCGAAGACGAAAGGAGTACGAGATAGCGATCCCCCGCACCATCGCCAGCCTCGGACAAGCGCCGGATCAGTACGAAGAATCCTAAGCATCTCCTCCTCCTCCTCCTCCTCCTCCTCCTCCTCCACTTCTCCCTCCCCCTCCTCTCCTTCCGGCTATGAACGTCTTGAGCCGCTTCCTGATGACGCTGGCATGGTCGATCCTCGACCTCAGCGCCTCTGCCTTCTCCCTCGTTGTCAGTACCTGTACAGTAGAGTAAACGCGAAATTCGCCCTGCTCCTGCTCCTGCTCCTGCTCCTGCTCCTGCTCCTGCTCCTGCTCCTTCTCCTTCTCCTGCTACTACTCCTCCTGCTCTCTCTCCTCCTCACCCGCTCCTTTAGTTGTTGGCTTCCTTCTCCTCCTGGAGGACCCTGCAGGCCAGGAGGACCGGGTTCACCCTCCCCGTCCGGCACTGCGTTGTAGCCCTGGGGTCCTGATGCCAACGACGTCAGTAAGAAAGTGAAGGACAAGATGACGATGAGAGAGAAGAGGCAGAGGAAGAGGAGAGAAAGGAGGAGAAGACCGAGAAGAGGTGGAGGAGGAAGCGGAGGAAGTAGGCGGGGAGGAGAGGAGAGGAGAGAAGAGAAAGAAGATCACGGGACAGAAGTCATCCGAGATCTTCGAGGTCAACCTGGAGGTCCAGGACGACCAGGAGGCCCGCGCGGTCCTCGCCTTGCGAACATGGACTCTAGGTATGCGTCCGCAGCACGTAGATGGTCAACGTCGTGGGAGCTGAAAGGAGGGAGGTAAGCACCTCGAACTGACCACGTCTCCTTCCCCTCACATCTCAGAGATCGCGTCCTCGTCGTTGTCGAACTTTCTGTCGAAGCTCTCCTGGCTGTAAGGCACTGCATGCAACCATCGTGAACAAGGGAGTGGGGTAGAGGAGGGGCAATGCCGACCGGTGCCATCGGGGGTGTAGTAGATGTAACCGACTATGCCGTTTCTTCCAAGAAGTTTGCTTCTACCAGCCGCAGCTGACGAGAGGCAGACGAGGAGGAGCAGAAGAGATAGCCTTCCCTTCATTTCAATGGAGCATAATTATCCTCCTGAACCTGAATGGGAGGCAAAGGTCAAACACTCTGGCATTCATGTGAAGAGTTCATTGTCTTTCTCACTGTCTTCAAAAACCCCACCAGGACAAAAGAATACATGCAACACAAATCACAACTTTAATTTTACCATCGTTGAACAATCTAGCTCAACATCTTTCAGAATGAGTTCTTCCTGCTTTGCCTGATTCCTTCCTTTCCTTCCATTCCCCTTCCCCCGTTCTCCTTCGCCTCCTCTGATTCTTCTCTCCTGCCCCATTCTACCCTTTGTTCGTAATCCTCTTCCTCATCCTCATCCTCCTCTTCCTCCTCTTCCTCTGCCTTCTGCCCCTCTTCACCCTCCCTTGCGTTTCTCCTTGGCTAGCATGTCGCCTGTCCATTCGCGGCTGGATCCGCCTCAGATGTTTGTGACAAATTCCAGAAAAAAGATTGGGGCTTTAGGCTATGCTGAGAGAAGGCAGTGAAGGGAAGGAGAGGCGACTAAGAGAGGAGACAGGTGGAAGGAGAGCAGGCAGCAGACGAAAATGCGCATGAAGACATGTCGTGTGTAAGGTGAAGCTAGTTGGTATGAGCTGTAAGTTGATGCTAGTTGGTATGAGCTGTAAGGTGATGCTAGTTGGTATGAGGTGATACCATGTGAAGGAGGGCATGTCTTGACTCCGGTTGCTCCTTGACGCATGTCAGAAGAAACGAATGCAGCGCAAGAAGCAAAGAAGCGAGACGCTGCTCTGCTGCAGAGCTTCAGGCTGTTTCAGCGAGCTACCCAGGAGAACCCGAGGGACTCGCGCTCTCTCTTCGGGCTGGCGACGGTCCTCCACAGGATGGGGAAGTTGCAGTCAGCAGAGAGTTTCTACCGCAAGAGCCTTGAGATCCAGCCGGACAATGTCGAATGCCTGACGAACCTGTCGATCCTGCTCGATGATGAGGGGCGATTGGAGGAGGCGTGCTGCTGCATGGAGAGAGCTTTCACCAAGAACTCGCGCGACCTGGGAGTCCTCAGCAACTACGGACATCTGCTGTGCAAACAGAATGATTTCACCAAGGCCGAGCAAGTGTTGAAGAGGGCCCTGCGGCTCTGCCCGACGCATGTCCTCTCCCTCCACAACTATGCCTGCCTGCTGTGGAGGAAGGATCGTGACATCAGAAAGGCCGAGGAGCTTTTCGCGGCTGCCCTGCGTCTGGACCCTTCCCACGAGATTACGCGCTCAGCGCTGAGAGACATGAAGGAGGAGGAGGAGAAGCTCGAAGACGCTGCTGACTACCAGGCACGCCACCTCCTCGCTGAGATGGAGCAGGAGCAGTCCCAGGACTCGAGAGGGTTGAGGTGCAGGTGCCCGAAGCCGAGGGGGGTTAGGGTGGTGGAGATGTCGGCGAAGCTCTTGACAGTGACGTTCCTGGTGGACCCTGAGAACAAGTGCTTCCATGCATCCTCCTCCTCGCTTTTCCCAACACACTCCCAGCTGAGGGTGAACGAGCACTGCTATCCCATCCTGACGGTGCACGGGGACCTTGTCTGCTCTGTGCAGCCTCTGCCGCTGCATGCTGTCTGCGCGAGACTGGAGGTAAGCGTGAGAATCAGGTACGGGAGCAGAGCCAAGTTCAGCTCCTGGAGCGATCCCTTGACTTTCAATCGCACGGGCAAGGAGGGAGGGGAGGACGGGCAGGAGGAGGGAAGTACGGCCCCTGCCATGGCTGCTGCTCTCGACGACATTGCTAGTCTTGGCGTCCGGCAACTCGCTCAAGGCTACGATCCTCCTGCTGGATCGCTCTCCCCCTCCTCAGAGCTGACTAGACCTCGTCATGGTGTGGACGAGCTGCTTGAGAGCTCCAGAGAAAGCGGGTTCAGGGAAGCGGCGGCTGGCCGTACGATCCTCGACTCTGACAGGGCTCCACGTCTTCCTGGAATGCTGAGAACCAAGACAAAGTTCGCAGGCTTCCAGCATCCTCCGCTTGCCATGCGCTCCTGGCTGACTTCCTCCTTCGACGATGAGTGCTCTCCTCTTGCCCCTCTCGAGCAGAAAGATGTGATAAGCCCCAGCGGTGATGATGAGATCTGTGCAGGAGTTGCAGGAGGAGGAAGAAGTGAGGTCGGAGGAGGAGAAAGGGATGCGGCAGGAGGAGCGATACAACTACCGCAGGACATGGCTGAGAGCAAGGCAGCAGGGCACAGTGCCGCGGGTGGAGGGGTAGCTATGGATGCAAGGAGCGACAAAGGAGAGGACGAGTGCGTGATCTGCATGGAGAATGTGCTGTCGCATGTGATTGTGCCCTGCGGTCACCTGGCGATCTGTGAAGTTTGTTCGTTGCTGCTCGAGCAAGGCGTCATCGACAGATGCCCTGTCTGCAACGTGAAGTCTACCCCTCCTCACACGATGAAAGTCTATCGCCCATGAACTTCCCGGAAGTTCAAGTTCCAGGGTGCTCGGGTCTACCTGAATGACTCAGTGATGCAGAAACGGCGCCCCGGCGGGGCCCACTGAGTGAACTTCGCTGGCACCAGGCACGGTTCCATAGCTCCCGGAGTAAGGTCAGAGCTATTCAAGCCGGATTCGGACTTCTGTTCTCAGAACTTATCGGATTCGGAAGTTTGGCTGAGCCTCGAGGCTCAGAGACGGTCTTAGCCGATCATGAGTCACCGGGCCGTACAGAGTAAACTTGTTAACTTCTTATCCGATCATCTATCATATTATTTGCAAAAGTTTCACCGTACGGTAGCCGGGTAGCCTCCCCTCGGCAGCCGCCCGGCCTCCACGCGGCGTTGTCACCGGGACCCGCCGCCCGGCCGCCCGGGGGCCCGGACGGTATGGCGGAGTACGGTCCGATCACCGTCACGGTGCTACGGTGCTGCGGCAGTGCCAACTGAGTTAATCGGAGTCCTGCGAAACTCCACAATTTTCTAAAGTCTCTCCGACCAAAAGGCCCTTCGTTTCCCGCAAAAAATGGTTCGGATGGGGAACAAGGGGAAGAGAGGCACAATTGGAGAGATAGTGAGAGCAAGAGAGAGAGAGAGAGAGAGAGAGAGGAGAAAGAGGTTGAGGCAAGATGAAGCAAGGGGGGAAGAGAGGGGGAGGGAGGAGAGAAGGAGACGGGGAGAGAGGGAGGGAAGGAGAGGGGAGGGGGGCAGGGGGGAGGTTAGGAGACAGGGAAGCAGGAAGGGACAACAAGGAGAGGAGAGCTATTTATCAGATGGGACGAGCGGAGGGTGTTTCCTTAGTATCAATGTTCACCATAATAACAAATTCCGTACCTTTGCGATTCGAGACTGTCTTGACTTTTTTCTAGATGCCTTCTGCTGATCAGCGCCCAGTATCCAACAGCAACAAGAGGATTCTGATCATTGAAGATGGGAGATTGCTCGGCAGTGATTCGGGCTTGCACAAGTTCTTCAGGTGCAGTCACAACATCGGGAAAGAGCGAGTGTTGTACCTACACATCGACAGCAAAGGTATCGCCCCGTCTTCCTCGTCTTCTTCTGACATGGTGACGGCAGTGCTGGAAGTGAAGAGAGCGAAGAGAAACAAGTATTCTTGCTGGTTCGTCGGAGACTCGTGCATCGCTGAAGGGGACTTCTTCCTTGCTACCAGGGTCGATCCTCTTTTCTTGGCGCTCCCTTTCCTGGAAAAGGTGAGTGGCACCCAGGACACATGAGTCTCCAGTGTTTTGACCTCTGGAGCAGGCCAGGAATAAGACGGCTGAGCACGCTGGCCGTTTCTGCAGCAAAGAACAGATTTTCATTGACAACCCAGACGATGAAAGCGCGTCGATCTTGAATTCTGTCACGAAACAAGACGATCTTTCTGTTTTGTGCGATGTACAGCTCGTTGGCGATGACCAGTACTTTCGGCTCAGCGATGACAAAGTTCTGGGTTGGATGCGATCGAAAGTTTTCGCTGTTGTCGAGTATGTATACCCGGGGTTCAGTTGCAGGGATTGGCGTTGTGATGCCAAGGTTGTAGCAGACCCTTCGAAGGAAGAGTCTATGTCAGAAAAGATCAAGTTGATGGTCAGATCCTGTGAAGATATCAAGGGATCCTGACCTTCACACACAGGAACAGGCCGATGGAATCCGGTCTGAGCGCGAGCGCATGATATTTGGAATTCTGTTAGTGGGAGATTACCTCGCCGAGCAGTGGGTGCAGAGCCTGAAGGCCTCGTTTGGGGTAACAGCAGAACATCTCACAAAAACTAAGGTGAAAGGCACACGTTGCGAGATGGGGTGCATCATAGCTCACTTACTATCCAGGAAATTTCCTCTCCAGGCGATGAGAGGTATCGCACTCACAACTCGGGGCCCTCCAAGAGGGAGGCAGAACAAGGTCCTGCTCTACCGGGGAATCTCCTCTCTGGTTCCTCTGATGCTCCTGCAGCTCCCGGATCGCAGCAGAAGAAATCAAAGACAAGTTCCAAGGCGGATAAAATACCCACAAAGGGCATGCAGGTCATCCGCTTCCACGGAGTTTCTCAATCGTCGTCTTGATGCTCTTCAGCAGGCAATGACTGCATTTTTCAAGCCAACGGCCAAGGCATAGCTTACGAGCAAGATACGGAATCAAACAGCTCGATGTCGTGCGATTGATGACCCTTCCCCCCTTTCGTTTCACTGGAGTTCTGCATTGGAGTTCTGCACAGTAGTCGATTTATTCAACAGTTATGTTACAATCTTGTGCGATACACCAAAGTCCTAGATTTCATGGTATAGATGCATCACTTCGCTCAGTCTACCTCTGTTTTGTTTGCAATGAAACTCAACGAGGGCAGTTTACTTGTAGCCGCATGCTAGTAGGAGGGCTCCACAACGAAGCTTGAGGGCTCTGCTCTCCATTCAAGATCAAGCAGGACGCTTACCAGGCGAGGGTCTCAGCAGCAACACTTTTGGCTCATCGATGGTATGGAAATATCTTTCCTCTACCAGCAGCGCCGTCCATCCAACTTTGAATTGCGATGAAGTTGAATCCTTTGAGTCCTCCCTGATTAGCCCTTGGCTGTTATCTTCTGAGAACTCCTTAATGAATCGATTATCGGTCATCATTATGCGATTCAGTCTCGTGTTTTGGATCATTATCTCAATCTCGTTCTGTTCTTCAACAGCAACTGGCGTTATCATTGCACAACCCATCTTGGATTTGCCAGATTTTCACGCACAACCACTAGAGCTTTCCCGTCTCAGGGCTTCCGAGTCAACATGTTTCAGCCTCCTTTTCGTCTTCCCAGCTTCAACCAAGCTTCGGAGACAGTCTGAACACACCACGTCTTCCCCGTTTTTGAATGTTTCCTCTCTGCTCCCCTTGCTACTCACTCCCCTCAGTCCATGAAACTCTATTCACTCAACGGCCTTCCCTCTTCCTTCTTGTCTCTCTCTTCTCCCTTCAAACCGCAGCTTCGCTCCTCACCAGCGCGCAGAAGCTTTCGTCCTCGTTCCCCTTCCTTGTTTCGGAGACCGTGGGTTGAGGCCTGATTCCCCCACCCACCTTCACCGTAAGTTTCTGCACCCTCCATTAAATGTCTCTATGAAATTTCAAATGTCAAGTTAATTATTGGAATATTTGATTGAAATATTCATAAATCCACCCACCCCACATCTCCGTTGAGACCCCAATATTGGTGAAACGACGGGGTTTCTTTTTTTCTTGGTTTCCTCAACGAAGTACCCCTACCCACCACTTTTGGTAAGTACCCCACATTAAAGCCATATTTTCATTCTAATTGATGGGTTACCTCAACTCTTAAATTTGATGACAGAGGGTAGGGTACACTACCGGCCTTGGTGTTAATGCGCCTTTCTTCTTGTCCACCAACACAATACCCACCCCACCACAGTACCCACCCCAACAATCCACTACTCTACCCACCCATCTTCTCAAACTAGTGTAGCCAAGGACCCTGGTAGACGAATGAAAATAGTACCCACCCCCACATGACAAGTCGATTTGATAACCCCACCCCTAGCAGGTACTGAAATCTTTCTTTTTCGTCTGCCGCTTTACGGTTTTCCTGCAGTCGACAATCCATACAATTTGACGTGGGTGGGGTACATCGAGATTCTGGGGTGGTGAACTGGAACAGGGTCTAAAGCACTCCTATCTGTGGGGATGTTGGACTCATAATAAGGGGTACAGACAAACGGAAGGCTTATGGACACACTTAGGGAATCACCAACCATCAGCCTTTACCCTTCAGGTGCTCAAGAGGTCTCAAGGTGTTGTGTGTCACGTAACAGGCCGCGCCCTTTTACTCGGAGCGGGTTCAAAGCCCGGAGTATACCTCTTTACTCAAAGTTCAGTTAAAAATCAGCACGAGGAGAGAGATTAATAACTAGTGAAGGACTCGGCCCGGCGGCCCGGGCCCGGCGGTACCGGGACCAGCATCTGAATCTGTGATGGCAGACGAGTGCGGGTGTAGGAGGAGGTACTGAAGCTACGATGATAGCATGAACTTCATTGAACTTGTGCAGTCTTCTTCTCATTTCATCCAAACCAACTTTCATTTAAGAACCTTCATGGCACAACTACTTCTTTACCCATGGTAGCTGGGGGGGCGCATCTGTGAAGAGGATGTGGCTCGGACATCCAGGCACGAAAACCGATCGCGCAGGATCATTCAAGATGCAGAGTCTGCCCTTCTCCATACCAGTTCTCAGCATCCTCCTCGCATCGTCGTTGGTTGCCAGCTTAGACGCCGAAGAGGAGCCATACGTTTACGAGGACTTTGGACGCTGCCACTTGGTAGGAGCTTGTCGAAGGACAAGCATAGTCAACGGGACCTGGGAGGACAGCGGTATCGCGTACAAACTAGAAAGGCTATGTTTAGAGAGGGCGCAGACCTTCTTTCGATGGTGTGGAAATGAAGGGTGCGAAGCCGTCGAGGCAGTTTACCTTCCAACAGCAAGACGCCGCAGGTACCCAGAGGGTTGTGAGATTCAGGGGACGAGAACACTTCAACAAGACCAGCAGCAAGACATGCGCAAAGATGATGATGAGGTAGACCGCCATCTTGCCTCTGTTCCTTCCAAGAATGCAGACAGCAATCCTTTCAAGGCCTTCGAGGCTCTGCAGGACGAGACAATGTTGCAGGTTGCTGAGAAGAAGGTACTGCTCGTCCGCATCAACCCCTTCACTGGGTTTGCCAATAGGCTCTTCGCAATAGCCTCAAGCATGATTCTTTGTCTTGTTCTGGGGGACAGAGGGCTATTGGTTGATTGGCCGGTGGATACTACTCCAAGGAAACATCCCAACAGGGAGTTGTCGTTTATGGGAGCACTTCACGATCTCCTTGATGTTCCGCACATCCTCGATTTCAACGTTGTTGTCACCAAACACGATGGAGCGAAGTTTCACCAGGATGTCAAGTTCTGGCATTCCTTCCATGACGACGACGAAAACTTCCTCTCGTTGCTGCGCACTGAGGAGGATCTTAACCAGCACTTCCGATCACGAGTGATCCAAGTTTTCTCATCCTACGGGTACTTCTACTCTCATCTCATCCTTGACAACCCGCATCTGCGAGCCCCGCTAGAACGGATGATGGGGAGAGAGTGCTGCTTCTACCCAGTCCTCCAGTACTTGATGAAGCCCTCAAAGATAGTTGCGTTCAGACTGTGGAGAATGAATAGGAGGATGCCAAGCCATGCAAACTTTACTGGAGTTCACTTGAGAACTTTCTTGATGAACGAAGAGACTCGTTTGACTGCGCTTCGCTGTGCTCTCAACCTTTCAGAGGGGAAGGAAGACGGCCGCATCTCTATCTTCTCAGACGCTGAGAAGGGCATCCAGGAGGCGAACCGATTCTTCGAAGGGCTTCACGGGGACAGAAATGTTTCTGTCCACGTCAGCAGCGCACATGGAAGAAGTTCCTTTGATGAGGTTGGACTGCGTCTATTGGCTTTTAACCTCCAATGTTCAGGGTAACTTTTTCCTTGGCAGGTGGTTGAGGGTGTAGCTTCGCTCTTTCATCTAGCTCAGAGCGTTCGAATGGTTGGAACCACGAACTCAACGTTCTTAATCTTGGCCGCGATGTTATCGTGCAAGGTAAGACATAAGAAACACATGTGTTTTCTTACTTGTGTAGGATCCGACTGGAACTGTTCGCCTTCATCATGTTCAGAACGGAAACTGCATCGCTGTGGAATGCAAGTTGCCTCCAGCACCTGTCCGATGTGTCGAGGTCGGTGAACAGCTGTGTACACCGAAATGATCGCTGTATTCTTTTCTGGCTTTTATTCATTAGTTTGGAATTATTTAGAAATAATCTTGACATATGTGATCAAGGCACGTTTATATTCATTTCAGATCATTGCACTGAAGGAAAGTAGTCTTACAACAGCAATGGAACATGTATAATCCTTCAAGAAAGTGCAATCAAGTTCTTGTACACATTCTACAATGAAAGATGCCGAAATTTCACAGAAAGACTTCTAGGGCACCAAGGATTGATTCTCAATTGTTAGAAGTCCAATCGCTATACACAGCCGCACTCAAACTGCTCATGTACACGTCACGGTCGTTGATCTGACAGTTATCGAACATTGAGTCTTTGATCAACGGGTTCTGATTGCGACTTGGCGGCTTGACGATGGGCAAAGTATCAACATAAGCATTACAATTACTGTACACAGTTGAGCTGCGAGGGGATCCTTGAAAGATTTCTAGGATCTCTTGTCCCAACTCTTCATCTTCACACAACTTGTCTTTGGAATGATATTCCCACTGTTTCTCATTCAATGGCTGTGACTCTCTGTAAAAAAAAGATCAGATATCCCGCATGGCAGAGAGACTTTCTTAACCTTATAGGCGATCCCGCAGGTGAAATCGGTCGGATGGGAGTAGGAGAAACCAACATAGGAGCTACGATGTTCGATTGCGCCATACTGGAAGGGCTTAGGCCCAACCGCTGTTACGAAGTCGTGGGGGGTTGTGGTGCAACGTGCGCAAAAATCTTCGAGTGCACCAACAGAAGATGAATAGTCAATAACAACTTCTGGCGCTCGCTAAATTGAGAAGGGGGGTGGGCCTATTGATAGTCCATCAATGTGTCGTTTGTAGAGAACAGAAACTGAGTTCTGCTGAATTACTGTAGAGCGGGACCACAGTAGCCGACGTTTAAGTAACTGATAGCTGCAAGGGATGACGCAACAAGGCACTGAGAGGAGAAGAGGAGGGGGAGAGAGGGGAGAGGAAAGAGAGAGTGAGGGCACTCAGTGCAAGTGAGGATGCGATGAAACCGAGTAGGAGGGAAGGGGAAGGATCAGTGCAAGGAGGGCGGGAAGGGTGGGTGAGTGGAACAAGGAGGAGGGGTGGGGGGAGGAGGATGCAACGCACGCGTGAAGGGATAGGATGGGTAAATCGGGGGTGGGGTAGGAAAGAAGCAGGGGTACTGACTCCAGACATGAAAGAAACAGGGGTACCCCTCCGTCTTCAGGTCCTTATTCATCCTTCCAGATTAGCTTCTTTAAGGAATCTTTGGGGTAGGGGGGTTGCAACAGTGGTTCATTAGGTGGGGTACTGAGATTTGGTGGGGTGGTGAAATGTGAAAGAGGCAGAGTCATGGGTAGAGTGGAGGGGCTGTGTAGCTCGGGTAGGTGATCATTCCGTTGGAATAGCTTCACTGTTGGTCGTAGCTCTCCTACCACCCTGATATGACCTACACGAGCCTCTATTAGACCACTTATAGATCCGTGGGGTCCTCTATTTTCTTTTGAAACCAAGGGTAGGTGTTTCGGTTTGTTTCAATCCGGTGGGTGGGGTGGTTTTTGCATCAGCTGTCTTGGGTGCTTTAAAGGGTTCAAAATGGTTTTAGGAAGGGTGGGGTGTCATAACGAGTAGTCTATATCCGTCGGTGGATTATTAAGTAGGGTGGGGTTAAGAGGTTTATTTTAAATGGAGCACTCGTGCCACTTGATGCGGACGGGGCTACAGTAGTGGGAGGTCAGGGGGTAATGGAGGGTATAGGACCCTACCCCTTCTTTACCACATGAAAGTTAGAAATGGAGAGGGTCAAGCTATCCTGATGGCTCGGTAACCTTTTACATCGATCTTTTGATGAGTAAAATCTTATGATTGAATCACACGGACCCCTGGTAGATTCATTCAAATGGGTGCTTGTGTATCAGGGGTGGGGTAATTTCATGGAATGTTGATTGGTTGGTGGGGGTACCCACCCTTTAGAACTCGACGGCCCCTCACTGCACGAAGGACCAGCATAGAAGGTGGGGTGCTTGTTGGGTCACAACAAAGGTTGTATTAAGAAAAAGAATCATGATCCGAGGGTGGGTGGTGACTAAAATATCATCATGGTCCCACAGGAAACGAAAATGAGTTCTTTCATAGAAAAGTGTCGTACATGTGAATCTAAAAATAGACTTTTCATTCCTACAGCTACTGAGGAGTAGACCAAAGTGATTCTTTTCACATGTTTTCCTTTACTGACAGGCTGGCTGGTACCACTGCTACATGTCGCCCCCCGGATACCATGGAGGTCACAATGGTGGGTATCTCCCTATGGCCAGCTGTCCTAGGAACATGTATCCTGCTTGCTCGTATAGCAAGGGCCCTTGAATCCTCTGAAGTACCCCTTCCTCAGATAAAATTTCAGCAGATTCAACGATGGGTGGGTTATAGATATGACCGGCCACCGACCCATGAGTCTTTTGCTCCTTCGCTCGGAGGGAAACGTGGGGCTTGATGGGACGTGACTCGGACGGGCGATGTGATGACTATCTATCACATAATAGATAGAGCAGAGGATACAGACAACAATACAGACAACTTGTGTTAGTATTAGTAGTAGACTTGATTAGAGTACTAGTGTGACCTTGAGTTGAGCCTCTCTCACTCCACCGACGAGCAGCTGATATGATGTATCCCGACAAGCGATCACACGATCATTCCATGCCTGCCCATCTCAAGCCGTTGTGCTCCGGCTTGAGCAGAGAGCTCACAATCAACTTGACCATGTCCAGCAGGGTCCTTGTGACCTTCACGCAAGGTAAACAGCGCTTCCAGGGATACCAGTCTGACACCAAACTGACCTCGGCTGCGTCATTGCCGTGCAGCTGGACGTAGTACTTCAGCTTGGCCTCGGTGCCGCTTCCATGCAAGCTTGCGATACCAGGTAGGGTCTTGTGAGGTACCAGGGGTGGTGCTAGGGGCTAAAGTTAATCAGATGCGGGGGGAGACAGGGGTCTGAGATGAGAGGGGCCTTGCAAGGAGGGGTACCTAGAGGAGTAGGGGTGATGGAGGGGGCTGAAGTGATCAGGACGATCATCATCATCATCATGATAAAGATGATGATGACGACGACGTCGTCGACGACGACGACGAGATTGATGCGATCAGGAGGGACATATTCGTTGGGCAGGTAACCTTGAGTCTCGATGGATTTTTCAGAGATAAAGAACGTATCCGATCCATGGGTGACGTGGCATGTAGCAACCTCTCAGTCTCTCACCCTTGGTGCTACTAAACCCGAGCGATCGCCTGGTCTGAGGGTCAAAGGAACATTTTCCTCATCACCTCAGCTGGCAGGACCGAAAGTCAACACTCGCACAGACCTTGATTACAGGCCTTGTAGTGCAGAGAGGTCTTGCAGCGAAGAGATAATGCACCAGCTGATTGCAAGCTGACAGCTGGAAGGCACGTGACCGGGTCAGTTGAGGATGAGGGATTAGGTATTGATTGAAGAGGAGGGTATACTGTCTCGAAGTATAGCCTCCTCTTCGATGAATCCGCAATGATCAGAGATGGAATAGAGTTGATCGCCAAACAGCCTGAGACTCTCTTCCATCACTTGTTGTTTTGTCTTCTCGCGTTCTCATCTGGTTGCGCAACCGTTGTTCCATTCTTTCTCCCTCAGGTCTCTGTGAGCCATGGGCTGCAGCTCACGGGGGCATCCCACGCTGACTGAGTCGCTAGCGCATGTGTCTCCCATGTTCTGACAAGGCTGTCCTGAAGGATGTTCATGACCCTGTTGTGGGCCAGTTGGAAGGCTGGCTGCATGGCCGTACAGCTGAGTTGGACGTGTCAGCCTCCAGCACATCCTTGTCCGGGTGTCTACAGAGCAGGCTGAACTTGCGCACTGCCGATCTCCCGGATCATGGCGAGGAACAGGTCAAGGCTTTCCTGCATGTAATATCCAGTGACCTCCATGCTGATCCCAGAGTGAAGGGCTAAGTATGGTGGCGTCAGGGTGCGGGTGGGACAGCCTTCCACGCAAAAAGAAACGAAATAGAAGGACAGGTGGAGTTTGTTTGCAGATGATATGATCTATCACCAGGCTGAACGTTTTCGAGGTTCGTGCCGTGAACACGGAAAAAGCAACAGCCTTGAAACCTGGAACGATCTTACAGGGCATCAACAATATTACTGTGAGAGCTGTACATTAATGGTGGCGCTTGTATGCTCCTGGCGCACAAGGAGCTGCTCTAGAGCTACGTCATAGTATCGTTTTACTCTTCCAGAACAATCATGGAATTCCACACGCTTCACGCAAAGTTCTTAACATCAACCCGACAGCCGGGGTTGAAGAAGAAAGCCTCCGTAAGCATTGTCAAAAACGGAGCCATCTGGACCATGTTGGTCTTGTTGATCACAGATTTCCTTGTCTCTTCCATCACATCGTTCAAACTCTTGTCCTCTGCAAGGATGTTCGCCGCAAACACCGACATGAAAGGTCCCCCACGCCCTGGCTCCCCATCGAACGCTACTTGTCCGGCCTGCGTGGAATAGACAACGCAAGAGTTGACCACGTCGATCCCAGGAGCGCTGAGCTTGTCTGTTCCGACATCAAAGGACCGAGAGACAGAGGCGGAGAGCCCGTTGCTGCGACAGCAGTCGAGTACGAATACAGTTGGATTTCGTCCCTTCCTTGCAGTTCGCAAGAAAGATTGCACCTTGCTGAAGGGCAGGGCATAGCTCTGAAGATCTTCTTCCATGTCTTCGTCCGTCAAGCTGTCTGCCAGAAAGCCCTTGGGGATGAGGAAAAGTTTCCCGTTGACTTCTACCGCATGCCCGATGAAGGCGAACAAGGCGGCATCACGGTCCTCCCTCACAGAATCCCTGAAGCCCTTCACAGCCTTTACCATGTCCTCGAGCCCCAAGTTCACCTCGAACTCCACATCCCACCCCAGCTCCATCAGGGCTGACTCAAGCTTCGAGCCGTCCATGATGGCGTTGGGAAGGTCCTTGATCTGCGTGTGCTGGTACTTCTTGTTGCTGATGATCAGTGCTTTCTTTGCTCCCGCTGGAGTTGCAAGCGACAAGGCTTTAGGGATAACAAGAGACCGCACCCAGGTGGTGCAACGCTCTGCTTCCATCAGCAGCCCATGCATGGACCTGCAGATCCCCGGGTTCTCCCGCCAGCGCCAGCCTTCAGCTGGCAGGTTGGGGAGCACCTCGCTCCCATGCCTTTCCTTCCACTTGTTGAGGTCCACGCACTTGCGATGGTACGCGAGCTCCACCTTCCTAGTCGTGTGTCGGATGTTCAGTTGCGTGATCATCGATGTGTCTCGCCTGTCCCGTGCGGCGGTCCACTTGCCCGCGTAGTGCACGTGCAGGATGACGTAACCGTCCTCCCCAGCCACACGCCTGTCGATGCGATCGAGCTTCAGCCAGTACTCGCGCTCGATGGTCCAGTTAGCCTCTTTCAGCCTCCTTCCGTTGGTGAAAGGGAATTCGGAGAAGCCGATGATCTGCGGGGTTCATCATTCGGAGAAACGATTCAACAAGTCGGACCTTGACGACGTCGCGTGGCCCCTTGTCGATCTGATCCAGGAATGCCTTCACGTCGTTGGGATTGAATTGCCTCGTGCTCTCCGCTTCCGGCATCCAGTTTGCCAAGGCAAGGGCCAAGTCGTGTCGAGTCTTGTTTTCACCAGCACTTTCAGGGTTCAAACTGACATCAAAATAGTTTTCCAGTACATCCTGGGGCCTCGGATTCCCAATCACCTGGAACAAGGTCTTACAATACAAAAATGCAAGACAAGAAAGAAGAAAAGGCTTACTTTCCCTTCGTCTTGTCGTCGGATGGAGAGACTGAGCAGAGCATCGTAATATTGTCCTTGAAGCGATTTCTGAAGGTCAATAAAGTTCGGGCGCGCATGTTTGCTGGCCTTCCAGCATTCCTGCATGATTCTGTAGCATCCCCAAGGACATGTCTCAGGTTTAGAGAGCCTGTCGCCCTCCAGCACCTTAGGTCCTACAAGCGAATCGTCTGTGAAGGCCCAGTAAGGAATCTTGCCGTAGGTCCAGACCTCCCACATGGTCACCCCGAACGCCCACACATCGCTCTTCTCCGAGTACTGCCTCCTCTCGATGCTCTCCGGCGCCATCCACCGCACTGGTCGAGCCGTCGAGCCTGCCGTGCTCACGCTCCCGGCCCTGCTCTCCCCGTACCCGCGCGAGGCCATGATGGACAGCGCGTAGTCTGCGATCTTGACGCTGACAGCCAGGTGATCCTCCGGGTCCAGGCTGAACACAAGCACGTTCCTCGCCGCCAGGTCCCGATGCACGACCTCATGCAGCGACAGCTGCACCATCCCGTCGCAGATCTGCCTCGCCACCTGCAGCTGCACCAGAAGACTCATCGTCTCCTCCTTCTCGGCGTAGTTGGACAAGATCCCATCGAGAGAGCCCTTGGAAGCGAACTCAGTCACCAGGCAGTAGTCGCCGGAGCTCGGCTCGATGCTGGTGGCGAGGAGGCGAAGGAGGTTGGGGTGACGACCCAGCTGTTGGAAGATCTTCACCTCCTGCTCGAACTCTTCTCTCCTCCCAGTGGGTCCGCTGCCTTGGATTCGCTGGATCGCCACGTCAGCGCTGCTGCCATGCGGCTGCTGCCACCGAGCCCTGTAGACGAGCTTGAAGGAGCCTGAGCCGATCTGCTGCAGGTCCGTGAAGGACTCGAAGTTCCACGATGGGATTTGACCCAACTTGAAAGAAAAGGGATTCACACATCATCGAGATATAAGACATGGCATAAAGGACCTGGGAAGCAACGTCGTGCTCCTCCCTCTCTCTGCGCTGCTGCTCCTCCCTCTCCTTGCGCTGCTGCTCCTCCCTCTCCTTGCGCTGCTGCTCCTCCCTCTCCTTGCGCTGCTGCTCCTCCCTCTCCTTGCGCTGCTGCTCCTCCCTCTCCTTGCGCGAGTCGCTGCTCCCCTCCTTTCGCTCGTTGTAGATAAAGGAGATGCGGTTCCTCAGGCTCGTTCCCTCCGACGACAGCAAACTACCGATCAAGCTCTCCAAAGCGTCCTTGGCCTCCGTCCACTTCGATCGGAATTCGTCGTGATCCATGGAGAGGTCCTTGAAGCTAGCGGAATGAACAAACTCGTCCCTCTGATCTCTCAGTGACTCCACTGCTCGTTCTAAGCTCGACGAGTCCATGTAGCCAGGATTGTTCACCAGAAGAGCTGAGAGCAGCGTGATGTCCCAGCTATCGATATCGTCTTCCTTCAGCCGCTCAAGCATGGCTTTGCCCAATCTACTTCGCTGGTAGTCATTCATCCGAGAGGCTATCTCTCGCCCTGTCCTGTGGTACCAGTTCTTGCCTGTTCTCGACTTGTAACATTTTCTCAGCACCTTCACCAAGACTTCAGTTCCCAGGCCCAGCATCAGTTTCATGTAACGGCTGAAGTTGTCCTGCGGCGTGAAGGTTTCTACCGGCGGGTCGGGATCATTCTTCCAGTCTATCACCGCACCTCCTTTCGTTTCGTTCTTGAGCGAGCAGCCTTCGATGATGCAAGAGGAGGGGACGACGATCTCGAGCCCCTTCCCCTCGGCCACGATCGGTCTGAAGCACTTCTCGATCGTGCAGGTGTCCAAGCGGATTTTTTGTGCATTGAAAGGTTGATTCCAAAAGACGCGAAAAGCTGATTCATTGCAGTCTTTGATGGTTGTCTCAGATACCTTGAAGGTTCCCCCAGTAGTATGGATACCAACCTTGCAGCCTGAAATGTTCAAGTTCATAAAGTTTGCCTCACAACAATCATTGGCCGCAACACCAACCATTGCACAATTTTCTATCGTTGAATTCTTCACGATAATTTCCTCAGCGCATGAACTTAAGACGATACCGTGCCTTCCACAAGGCCCAACCTTGCAGCCGTCTACTTGAAGCCCATGACAACCAGTCTCGTTGATGCAGACTGCGGAGCCGTTGGGGCATCTGACTGCGACGTTCTTCAATGTCAAAGATCCTGATGCCAGCAACACTCCACAACAGCCACCCGAGGTAAACGACAAGTTCTTACTCAGCGATGAAAGAGCCATGATGGAGAGAGTGTCAAGAACAACTCCAGAAGCAGAGATTCTCAGAGCAGAAGACCCGACAGATACCAACTTGGGTATCCCCGAGGTAGCACCAGAGGTAGCACCAGAGGTAGCACGCTCTGCCACAATACTGCAAGGCTTGGTGATCTCTAGAGGAGCAAGAAAGTACTGAGAGATTTCAGAGTTCTGGATGATGACAGTGTCGTCAGCTTGCAGCACCTCCAGCGCTAGAGACAAGGTAGGGAACTCTACCTCAACAGAAGCTCCTGACTCTGAAGGTTTTACTTCCCCTGCCTTGGCATAATGCAGCACATCTGACCCTTCAAACAGGACCGGAACTCCTCGAGGACCTTCCTTTCCCACCTGCTTTCCTGCCCTCCACTCGCCTGTCACCGTGTCCAGCACATCCATGCCTGCAGTTTGAAGAAGGCAAGCTGATAGGGCGGGACGAGGAGGGCAGGGCTTGCAGTCGAAGGCGACCATGGCGCCATGACTGGAGGTGATGGTAGCGAAGGGAAACGACATGTCAGGATCTAGATCCATTCTTCCTATCTCGATTCCATTCCTAACAAAGTAGATCGCACTGGCCTCATTCGTCAAGCTCAGTATGCCGCATCCTATCCTGTCTCCCGCCATGGATTTTGGTCCGAAGTTAATGTGATTGGATGAAAACATGTTGTTCGTGCAATAGTGCAACTTGCCGTCGTGGCTGTGATAGCCGATAGATCCCAGCTGCTTCCCCACCATAGACCCAGCATTGAAGGCCCCACAAGAAACCCCAACAGCAATACCGAAGTTGAGGTCTGCGTCTTTCAGTAGGAACACTTCGAAGTATGGATACTCTCTACTCAAGGGATAGCTTGCTTTCACAATCCCCATTTTGTTTGCTGATTCGCCTTCAAACTTGATCTTGCCCTGATCAAACTGCACGTGCTCAACCTGCGCGAACCTTGAGTCTTGCGGTTTCGACTGAAACAATGGCGCAGGAGGAAAGGCCGGGGTTGCTTCTCTGATCCTTGAACCATTCACAGTAGCAAAACCAGAATTGTTGCCAAATCCAATCAGACATGGTTGATCAGTCCTGCCTACTGGGCTCGGGTTCCCCGGTTCAAGAAAGCGACGATTAAGCAAATAGTCCCCGACTCTGAGTTCTTCAAAAGAGCTCCCCGAGTACACAGCCATGTGCGTAATCGAAAGATACATCCCTACTACTACTGCAGAGGCAGTACCTGTACCGTCAGGCCCTTTAGTGGCTTCATACTTGCAGATCCGTGTGTCCTCAATGCCACAATTCTTTCCATCCCCAAACTCTGACCCGCTGCTCGATGCCGCGCTCGAGCTCGAGCTCGCTCCAGCGCTCGACGACGCCTGGCTGCCTCCTGATCCGAGCCCAGCTGCTCCACCGAATGCTGGCCCGGTGCTGCCCCCGAAGCCCGACAAGGTGCTGCTCGTCTGCCCGAAGCCCGACAAGGCGCTGCTCGATGCTTCAGACAATCTTGAACTTGGTTTTAAGCCACTATGTATTTCTGATTTACCGTTTTGATTCAATGACTTCAAGTTGCTTGTTCGCCGTGCTCGGATTATTTTACGTGCGTTTTTTCGAGAGCTGAATTTTGGAGTGGGGAGCGTATCACAGCTTGTAGTTGTGTAGGTTGCAGCAACTGGTTTCAGTACGATAGAAGCTTCAATAGCTGTACCTGTAGGCTGTGATAGCTCACTAGCTGTACCTGTAGCCTGCGATAGCTCACTAGCTGTATCTGTAGGCTGCGATAGCTCACTAGCTGTACATTGAGACTGTGATCCATCCCTTTGAATCTCTTCAAGTTCCGAGCGAGTGGTTGTGATCGAGTTGGCAGAACCTGGTCTGCTATTTTGACTAAGAGGTCTTGTAGGCAAGGGTTGGTCTTCTGCCTTCATCGAGCTGACGCTTTCAGCTTGATTGGACAAGGAAAATGCAGGACAAGAAACCGAAGTGCTGCTGCTGCTGCTGCCTGCGATGCTGCTGCCTGCGATGCTGCTGCCTGCGATGCTGTTGATGCCTGCGATGCTGCTGCTGCTGCTGCTTGTGATGCTGCTTGAGGAGCTGCTTGAGGACCTGCTTGTTGTTGTGGTTCTGCTTGTCATGCCGCTGCTTGTGCTGCTGATGGATTTGGTGCTGCTAACGATACTATTGGTGCTGAAGGTGGTTCTGAAAGACATGTATTCAGGGAAGAGCTTGCATCCAGATTCCACTTCATAAAAGTCTGAAGCTGATAAAAAGTCTTGAAATCCGAACGACGTGATTGATCGGATGACCATTGCTTGGAGAGCACTGTCGGCTCGTTCAGGTCCATTGTAATTCTCACTGAGGGCTGCTCCATCAGATGTACTGTACATGCTCTTACAGCTCTTATATGAACAACGTAGCAGCAACTTTTACCTAGATTCAACGCATGTAATCATCCCGGCTACTGCTGCACGATTCTTTGAAAGACCCTTCAAAAGGAGGAGTATCAAACATTTGTCATGCTGACCTACGGAGCTCAATCACCTTTGCGATGACTTCTGAATTGGTTTTACCGAAATAGTAAAGCATCTGCAACTGGTCGTCAGAAGTTGTTGGTCGGCGAACTCTCACGAGGTATCGATGTCACTTACAATACTATCAACCATATGCTTGCTTCGAAACTTCTTGCCTCCAGGAGAAAACTGCAAGCAAGTCCTTAAGGGTTGTTGTGCGTGCAGAAAAGGTACCTCAACAACTCCCTTTGAGACATCTCTTGCACTTGGGTGTACCGTCACTGCATGATACGATGTTCTCCCGAACACATTTCGAACTTCATCAACCGCATTGAGAAAAAACAAGAAGGATATCTCTTGTTGATTATAATGGTCAGAAGCGATCAGCAGTGTGCTAGAAACTCTCTTCATGTCATACATGAGTTGAACGTCCTTCGTCCAAGGATCAAGGGACATACAACTGCAAACTCCTTCTATCGCAGGTAGCGCAACGTAGCCGTTCCATTGTTTTGTGCTCACAGACAGACCTGCACCACTCTTCCTCGAGGAAAGACTGACAGTGAGGACTATGCACGGAGAAATTTGGTCTCCTCCATCAAGAATATCTGACATACCCTCCATCCTCGCCTGGACTTGTGAACAAGAGCCGGCTCAGCGTGTTCTGCTCCCGAGGTTCTTTCTTTTGTCTCTCTGCTTGTGTTATCTCTTGTCTTCCCCTCCTCTGCGGTCTCTTGGTGTCTCTGATCTCGTTCCTGTTTCTCTGTCTCTTGTCTTCCCCTCCGCCTCCTCACTGCATGGCTCTCAGCACAAACCTGTGGTCTCTCCAAGCTCAACAAACCTAAATCAACTCGGCTAGCCGGCCTGTGACAGTTTACTCAAAGTTAAGTTAAAATCAGTACGAGGACAGTACTAACCTTCACTTAACTCCGCGCAGGACCTACCGATGTCGCTGTGGCCGCCGCCGAAGGAATGAGGGCCGAGTTTAAGTTCCTTTAATCGACAAAGGCCTCCCCTGGGAGTCCCGGACTCCCCGGGGAGTCCCTTTTTCGAGCCCTCCGACTCATACAGCCCCCTTGTTCGGAAGGGCATTAAAGGCAGCATAAAGGCGGGCCCGGGGGAAAATGGCAGGGGAAGGAAGAGGGGAGGAAGAACTTTCCAACGCTGAACTTCGCGTTGCAAACGACCAACCCGTTGTCACGGCGAGATAGGACAGGAGATAACTGTGAAAAGTAAAATGTTTGGCCGTCACGGTTTCAGGCCTGCAAAGAGCTGCGTCGCGATAACCGGAACTTGAGGTGATAGCGAATTGTGGGAATGGTAGATGGATGGTTGATTGCCATACTTGCCTGGTGAAAGAATGAAAATTAGCGTCTTGGAGAGTACCTTACGATCCACATTGTTGCCTGGGGAAATGCCAAATTTGCAAAATTCTACCAATGTTTCCGCTGCCCGCGATGTCGCCGCGTCCGATGACGCTGGCTCTAATGATCACGGTAGTGGTGTCTCATCATGACCCTGTCCCTATGCAAGGGGAATCAAATGATGAAAATGATTCCTCTTTGCCTACGACCATCAATTGCAATTTTGGAGAAAATGTCCTCGTTTGGCAGTTATCACCGACTGGTGTTGCGGAAGATCAACGACTGTCAAGTACACTGTGACCAGCTCTGCAGATCCTTGACGAGAAAACTCCACTCGATTGCTGGAAATTTCTGTTTCCGTGGAAGTATTTTTTCGGAGATTGTGACAAAACTGAATGTTGTTTGCTCTGGACGAACAATTCTTTGCCAGCAAATGTCAAACCATTCACTGTACATGAATGGCTTCAGGCGGACGGTTCATGGGTGTGTTGTTCATGAGAACTCTGCATCCACACGGTCCAATAAGGAGTTTATGGGGCAGCGATTACGACTCGGCCAGCCCGCCTGTTGAATTCGAACAATGGAATTGTATCCGACCCCTTATACACGCTTTCAATGCGAACAGATTGCAAACAGTTCGAACAGATTGCAAACAGAAGAAACCGATCCCCATTTGAAAATTCGGTATCGAAGGAAGGGTCAGCGGCCAGGAACAGGCAAGAAAAAGACGTGTGACCAACGCCAAGAACGGCCATGATCAAGTCATATTTCAACGGAGCATCTGTGATCGATGTGCACAATCACCTTAGACAGAGTGGACTGGGACTGGAAGAAAAGGTTGGAACTCATGGCAGGCTGGAGATTCAGAATGTTCTGTACCGGATACTTGGGTTCATTGAAGTGGATGCATACAAGATTTTCCGTATTGGAATGCCACCAAAAGAATTCCGATCACAGCGCCGTGGCCGCGTGAAAGCTTTTGGTGTTCACTGACGCCCTGACCGAAGCATTGATGAGAAATTCGTACGAAGGTTGTCCAGATTCATCGATTCCAAGAAGAGGAGGACAGGATAGCACAGATACCAGCGTGGATGATGACAGTCATGAATCAGAAGCGCCGTTGGATGATCACCAACTGATACTTGTCGAGCTTCACTTGTAGTACTCCTTCCAAGTAGAAGGGGATGTCTTCCATCAGGCGTCGCGCTCAGCGCGGCGTGTGCTTGACGCCTATCCTTCTTGCTAGCTCCAACGCTACTCGCTTGATTTTTGTTGTTGAGGTGCTCGTGCTCATGCTTGACGTCGACTTGATCAGCACTCAGTGACTCTGAAGCTGCCGCGTTGAGCCTGATCCCTGTCTCACAGTACCTTCCTCTGCTTGGCCAGCTTGCCCCTTGGCACGAAGGTGTCGGCTGTCAGCTCGACTGCAAACGTCTCGGCCCCTTGCGACCTCTCTGCCCAGCTCCCTGCACTAGCATGCCCGCAAGCGGTTGTACCTCTGCGGCGGCGAGAGATTGCAAAGCCAGCTGAAATCGATATCCTCGCTTGGCTCGGAGCTTGAACGATCGGTCACGGTCGTGCGCGATGCTGACTTCAGTTGCTCTGAAAACTCGCCCGTCGATGCTGTACTCTCTGCTGCCTTGCCGCAGAGTGCGATGGCTTCGTCATTCCGAAGGAAGGAGATGGTGACTGAGATGTCGTCTGCTCGTGCTATCTCAGGTCTGTAAGTCTCTATCGACTGAGTTTACTATGAGTCCCAGCTCCATCAACTTCATTTTCAATTTGTCTTCTTGTCGCACATACATCGAGGAGATGCCCAGGAGACTCTCATGGAGATGAAGGAGGTCTCCTGACAGGCCCGGCCTCCTAAACCCTAAACCCTAAACCCGCGAAGGTGCTGAAGGTGTCGTGTCCTTGTTTAGGAACTGGGAAACTCGGACACGAGCAATCTGTTTCCTTTCCTCTTTGGATAGATACCACATGATCAAACAACCGTTTCTGCACAGAAAGATCTGCTGTTCAGCACCCTAGGCTCGCAGGGATCCCCTCAAACTGCAGGGGAGGACTGAGCATGTCTGTTACTACTCCGGCGGCCTGTCACTGTTGCTCCGGCGGCCTCTGTCTGTTACTCCGGCGGCCTCCTAAACCCTAAACCCTATTATTATTATTATTATTTGAGTTTATTAGACTCTTAGTCGAGAATTTCATAGCTAAGAACCGTAGGCTATTGCTCTTCGCTCATCTTCTAAAGGGGTTCCCAACCTTGGAGGTTGGCCCTTACTAAACCCTAAACCCGTCTAAAGGGGGTTCCCAACCTTGGGAGGTTGGCCCATTGTCCCAGTATACTACTGCGGCCCGGGCCCCTAACTTGAACTTCGGAAATTAGTACCGGGCACAACTTTCATCATTGCCCTAAAACGCTTATCTGAAGGGTTTAGGTTTAAACCTGATCCAGGTACCATCATGCAAATGCGATCGGTAACGCGGATGAGAAGGATGGCGATGATAATGACGATGACAATGACATCTCCCATATTTTCCTTCTCTCCATCTTCGCATCAGCATCTGTCTTCCACTTCAACTCTTTCTTGTTCTCAAAGATCTTCCTGCTTGCCCGCCATATGCTTCCTAGGTCGGGATGGTAGGACCAGAAGGAGGACGAGACGTGGGACGCGAAACCTCATTTTCGCAACTCTCCGTGAGCCTCCTGAAAGAAGCCTGCATGATGATGGAGGAGTCGTGAAGGCTCTGGCGATGGAAGAGGAGGGAAGGTATGAAGAAGCATTAAATCAGATTGCCAACATTTTGAGAAACGATCCTGAAGACGCGGCGAGTCACTTTCACGCAGCTAGAATCTCCTCCTTGCTCACACAGAGAGATCCAAGCTATCGCCAAAGAGCGCTCCTTCACTTCCGCATAGCCATGTCACTGAGACCGGATTGGGCGCAGTGGGACGGGAAGTTTGTGACTTCCACGGGGATCAACGAAGTTCTTCGAGACTTCTCATCAAATATTGAGAGGAAGGAAGAGAACAATTCAGTAAGAGACGCTCTAGTCCTGCAAAACTTCTTGACAAGTATCGGATACACAGCAGCAAAGGTGCAACAGAGGTTCGGGCTTGCTGGAGCAAAAACAGCGGGGCCTTTTTACGTGCGGCGGAGGTTCGACCACCGACATGCACATCTGCTTGGCATGCAGACATCGCCACGAGACGAGCTAGACGTCGTCATCCGTATGCTCCTCCTTGGCCTCTCTCTTCCAGTGGAGCAGGTGCAAGAGCTTCTTGGCGATCAAGTTCTCTCCGCCATGACGAGGTTGTCGCTCGTCGGCCCCTCTCCCGCCATCCCAGGACTGTTAGTACCTCATGTACAGATTTTTCCCATCGACCCCTCTGCTCTGCTACGAGGGGAGAGCTCAGATGAGAGCATGGGACTGCTGATGGTGACAGATCTCATGCCTCCATGCTCTGCCGCGCTGGAAGAAGAGCCTGTCATGTACATCGGGCCCGACTCCCTCGGTCTAGTTCATCATGCTCCTCGCAAGGAAGAGGAGGCAGTGCTCGATCTGTGCTGCGGGAGTGGGATCCAAGGGATTGCAGCAGCGAAACTGTACGGCAAGCAGGTGACGTGTGTTGACATCAACGAACGGGCCGTTCGGTTTGCGAGGTTCAATGCGATGATCAACGGAGTTACGTCAAGTGTGAAGGTCGTGCAGGGCGATCTCTATGACTTTCATGACGAGATGGGACATGAGATGGGTAAGTGAAGATGCTCAAAAGAATTGTAATGTGACTGATGTGAGGAATGATTCGTCTGGTCTCACCAATCATGATGCAGGCTCTGAAAGTGAAGTTGTGGTGTCGCAGAGGAGGTTTGACGTCATCTTGTCGAATCCTCCCTTCGTTCCTGTTCCGTCTGATCTCAAGAAACGGGTCAAGCGATATGACGTCTTTGCTGATGGTCGGAATGAGAACACGAGAGTCAAACAGATGCGGTTGATTCTTGTTGCAGGAGGAGAAGATGGAGAAGCAGTCCTCAAAAGGATCATTACCGGGGCAAGCCGACACCTGGCTGCTGGAGGGAGAGTAGCGATTGTAACGGAGATCTTTTGTGCTCATCTCCTTCCGGAGAGGATGAGCAGGTGATGGTCGAGTGCGGTAGACATCCACTAAAAGACGAGCAGGTGGCTGATCGAATCGTCTCCCCTTAGCGAAAGCCGTGGAAGACGAAGATGGAGGTGCTTAGTACATGTAGACAAGGAGGAGAATATGTACACGGTGAGAGAGAAGGATGAACCTGAGCGACTTATTGAGGATTTCACTAGCCTGCCACATACAGCGAAGCCCGAGCTGGAAACAAAGTTGAAAGGTGAGCAGGCAAAACTTACAAAGAGACAAAGAACTTAGGAGCAAGAGTAATATGAATCAAAATGCGACGGAGAAGAAGAATTAAGAGGACAAGCAGGAGCAGGAGCAGCAGGAGCAGGAGCAGAAGCAGGAGGAGAAACGGGAAGGGAATGGGCAGAGGCTACGCGAGTGAAGATTAAAATTGTGACGTTCACTTCAGATTAGAATGGGAAGAGCACCTGAAGAAGATGCGAATAGAAACGGTTGGGAGGGGATACATCTTCCTCAAGGTATGCTGCTGCCTGCGACCAGCTGTTTGTGATCTCTTACATACACAGGCTGATCCTGACGAACGCGAGGCGGGGGGGGAGGAAGAGGAGGGAATGGGCGATGAGATCTTTCTCTCGTTCTCAAAAAGCGGGAAAAGCGTCTGGTCTCCAGCAAATTTGCAGTCAGTGATGGAGACTAAAAGGCAGCTGGAGAGTCTGAGAATGATATGAAGGCTAGACATCGCTTTGAGAATATCAAAAGAGGTACGATAACAAAGAACAAGACCAAATGAGAAGTAGATTGTGAACGAGAAGAAGGACAGTGTGAAGACTTTTCTTGCCTTTCATTCATTCATTCTGAATTCATTTCACTTGAAAAAGGTGGAAAGTCGCATTTATGTAGCACACTGAGCACTTGAGACCATCAAGGTAGTGGGCGAGCGAGAGAGGCGAGGAGCTGGAGGAAGGAAGAGGAGAGAGGAATTAGAGCGGAGCCTTCGTCCACTGCTGTATCCTGCTTGCAGCTGTAACCTCGGACCTGCTGTATGCCAGCAGTGGAGCTTTTCCCAAGGTCCGGAGAAGGGACATATGCATGGCTTTCACGTTGATTGAATCTTGTCTGACTCGACGGCAGGAAGCAGTTGCTTTTGACCATGAACCCTGACATTCTCCTCTTCCTCCAGCTTCGCTCGCAGACCTCCAAGCCATGCCATGTTGAAAGTGATGCTGCCATAACAAACTTGACTCCTTCTCCTCCTGGCGGGAAGTCGCATAACCGAGGGGCAGCCGCAAACTCCCTCGTCCCTTCGCTTCCTTGCAGCTCTGACTCTTTCTGTGTCTCCCTCCCTCCCTCCCTCCCTCCCTCCCTCCCTCCTCCCTCCCTCCCTCCCTCCTTCTCTCTGTCTCTGTCTCTGACTCTGACTCTGACTCTCTCATAAACACACTGCTTGCTCTTTCTCTGTCTCTGACTGTCTCTGTCTCTGTCTCTGACTGTCTCTGACTCTGTCTCTCTAGCAATCATCGCAACATACTATTGTTGTGTGGAGTTCTCTGACTCTGCATTTTCTTGGGACCACGGTTCCCGGAGGCTGCTCAGCACGAGGCTGCTGGCCTCGTCCTCTCTCATCATCAGCTGCGGGTTTATGGTTGCACTCGAGAAAACAAAATCCTCTTATCCAACTTCCGAGATCAGCCATCCGTGAGAGTCCGTGACTCGCCTGACGCTGCCGGGCCCGCCACTGACTCTCACCATGCCGCCGTTGCCCTCGTCCTCAGGCCATGGCTTGAGCTGCGGCACTGTACGGGCAAGGAGACGACAAGCGAGACTAAACCTACGACGCTACACAGTGACAGTAACAAGAGTAGGGCAGCTGGACGAGGAGCTGCAGGTGGTAAGAGTGGAGAGAGGTACAGAGAACTTGAGGGAACGAGAAGGCTGCTGCTCCGCCAGCCTGTAAGGAACAGGTAGGAAAGAGAGGAGACCTGTGCAGGCGGGTGAGTCAGCCAGAGAGGAGCTGGGAGACAAGAAGGGAAGAAAGAGAGGAGCTGGGAGACAAGAAGGGAAGAAAGAGAGGAGCTGGGAGACAAGGAGGGAAGAAAGAGAGGAGCTGGGAGACAAGAAGGGAAGAAAGAGAGGAGCTGGGAGACAAGAAGGGAAGAAAGAGAGGAGCTGGGAGACAAGAAGGGAAGAAAGAGAGGAGCTGGGAGACAAGAAGGGAAGAAAGAGAGGAGCTGGGAGACAAGAAGGGAAGAAAGAGAGGAGCTGGGAGACAAGAAGGGAAGAAAGAGAGGAGCTGGGAGAGAAGAAGGGAAGAAAGAGAGGAGCTGGGAGAGAAGAAGGGAAGAAAGAGAGGAGCTGGGAGAGAAGAAGGGAAGAAAGGGAGGCTTGGCAGTGGTGGCTGGAGAAGGAAGACGGGGAGCAGGAGGGCTTGGAGTAGGGTAACGAGGACATTGAACAGTTGATGGCAATGAAGGAATAAGGAGGACGACTGGGACTGAGGAGGAGGGGAGGACGAGGAGAGCAGGAGGAGAAAGAGGAGGAAACGAGGAGGAGCAAATCTTTCACCTCTCCGGCGGTAGCAGAAGGTCATTGTGCTGGTAGAGTTGTCCGTCAGGAGCAGCTGGAAGGTGGAGATCGACGTCGATCCTCGCGAGTATCGCTGGGTGAGGGAGAACCCCCCCGTTTGCACCTCCAGCACCTCCGTGCCGGGCACCATCTGAGAATACTTGCACCGATCGACAGGCTGGGCTGTCCCGTCGTCCACCACCATCTTCAGCTGGTCACCTGTTGAGAGCAAGCCGCGCATGGTAGCGAGCACGGGAGCGCCGAGCGGGAGAGGAGCGACGGGCAGCTCCACCACAGCCTGCGACAGCGGGAAGCTGAGCCCCCTCTCCGGTGCCCAGGGGACGACCCGGAGGGTCCTGTCGAGCAGGCTGCCACTGAGGATGCAGAGCTGGGCTTGCTGCTCGTCGGTGAAGTCAAGGGCGAAGTCTTGGGTGTGGAGCTCTGGAGTTCTGATGAGGAAGGGACCACCTCCGGGCAGCACTGACTGACAGTCTCCAACGCGCGTGATTTGCATGCTGTCGTTCACTCGCACCCCCGAGCCCAGCAGGGTGAGGGAGAAATACACCCCGCGAACAAAGGATCCTGGGCTGATGGGTAGGCTCTCCGGCAGCCCCAGCACGGTGATGTTGTCGTCCCACACTGAGAACTGAACGTCGTCGAACATGTCCACCTTGCGGGCTACCTGGAACGGCACGAGTTCAAGCCAGTGCCAGCTTGTCTGAGGCTGGGGTATCCCCAGGCCCTGAAGGTTGAAGGGGGCGAGGAAGGAGACGGCGCCATCGGTCAGGTCAATGAGGACAAGGCGGGTGCTGTAGAGGAGGAGGTAAAGCTTGTTGTCGCTCAAGCACGAGGGTCCTCCCACCAGGTCTGCCTCCTGCTCCGCCTCCATGACCTTGAGAACCTTGGTTGCCCTCCCGCTGTACGAGTTCAGGCTGAAGAGCGCGACTTCCGTCCCTCCTAGCGTGCTGAGCCCCAGCAGACCATCGTCGCCGCTGGACTTGAGGCTGCTGTTACCCGCAAACTGCAGGGAGAAGAAACCGTCGAACTTTGACACGTCGGGCTGCCAGCTGGCATGGGAGAGAATCTGTCCCGTCGTTGAGTCAAGTGTGAGGAGGGCGAGGAAAGAGGCGCTGAAGTAGAGCCCCAGGGTCGGACTGAAGGCTGAAAGTCCTCGCTGGAGAGAGCATTCGATCGAACCGCAGCTGGGAATGACAGCGAGCCGTGTGACGTTTCCGGAAAACCTGTTGGAAGGAGAGAGCAAGAGGAGATTGAAAGGAAGGAGGAGGAGAAGGGAGCGAGCGAGAGAACAGCAAGAGGAGCAGAACAAAAAGGGAAAGACAGGAGGAGGGAAGATTCGTGAATGGCGAAAAAGTGGAGAAGGAGAGAAAGATAGGTGAATGGGAGGAGGAGGAGGAAGAGGAGGAGAAACAAAAGTCAAACATTCTTAAAACACAACTGGGCATTTGCTGCTCACCTGTCAATCGCGCAGTAGTAGGAGCCGTCGTCCATGATCGCTATCCCCACCAGTCTCTCGCGCTCGACATCCCAGCGCATGGAGACGAGCTCGTTGACGAGAGAAGCACCGCTCTTGAGGAGCACGGAGGTAATCTCATGGGAGTTGAGGTCCAGAGAGACCAGGGATATGCTGTCGATGAACAAGACGGAAGAGAAGGAGGCATCGACCGCTGAGATCTGCTGCGCAACCTCCAGCTGGCTGATGTTGGCAACCTGTACAGCCTGCAGACATCCAAGTCACCGTGCAAGGCATTCGGGAACTCTATGTTGCTGGTGAAATCCGGCAGGTTTTGACAAACCCGTTGTCCTCCTCTCCTCCTCTCCTCCTCTCCTCCTCTCCTTGTCTTCACTTTCCCTCTTCTCTCCATTTGCCTTCCTCTCCTTCTCCTCTCCCCTGCTCCCCTGCTCCCCTCACATTCTCTTCTCTCGTCCTCCCTTTCTTACCTTATCGGGACTTGAAGCGTCAAAGGCCACCAGGATCCCATTGACCAGCGCCAGCGCAAACTGATGAGAGTCACTGCTGGGGCTGGTGAAGTCGCTCTGGTCGATCAGCTGGTTGTCATGACTCGAGATGGTCTGCACGACAAATTCCTGCAGAAGCCCAGCTATAAGACCACGGAAAAAGGTCAAACAGGTCGTCAGGACTTACGGGGAGCATTGGTGTAGTCTGTAGGAACGTCAGGCCGTCCAGTCTCATGGCGGCAGTGAACGGCTGGTCGAGGCCCCTAACGCCTTGTGGCTTGAGCTTGAGGATCTTGTTACCTCCGACCGAGATCGAGGTGCCGGCGATGATAAGGTTGTCAAAGGGCCCGTCGAAGAAGCCGATGCTCGCCTGCTCGAGGTTTGCTGGGGTGCTGTAGAACTCGATGCGGACCTCAGAGTCAGGGACCAGAGGGTTGCTGGAGTTGAAGCTGACGAGCAGGGAGCTGGGCACAGGGGAGATGAAGGAGGGGAGACTGAAGACAACGTTGGACATCGTGCCGGGGAGCAGGTGGACTCCGTTGACCTGCATGTTCATCTCGATCATCTCGTAGCTACTCACGAGGGTTAGCAGCTGGAAGGTGCCGCTGAATCCGCTGAAACGTCTTGACCGCACGCGGGGAATGGTGAGGTCAATGGTGTCAAGCTTGGTGTACTCCTTCCCTCCGTACCTGCTGCGCAGGGAGGCTCGACGGGTCGGGGAGGAAGACGCAGTTGTAGGGGGAGAGGTAACCTTGGGCAAGCCGCTGCGGATCGCATGCTCCTAACTGACTAGGGGAGGAGGAGATCTCGACAGGGTATCCATCCAGCTCGGTGTAACGAGGAAGATCCGGAGATAGGAAACCAGCTGGGAGTCTGACGAACGAGGGCTCCATCAGCGAGCCAGCTATCGCGGAGCTTTCACTGATAGTCAAGTTCCCCCTTGTGGCTGTGATCTGATAATTGCCGGTCAGGCCGTCATGCTGCGGCAACCGGATGTTCGAGACGTAGAGGTTTACCGGCACCCCTCCAGCATAGAGCTCAGCTGAAGTAGATGACACCGACCGCAGCTGGACTGTCTGCCCGTTGATCGACAGCTCCAGGTCCTGCTGAGTTTGGAGGGGCAGGTTCTCAATGATAACTTTCAGTCTGGCTCCAAACGCGTCCGCTTGCCACTTGTTGCGCATTTTGAAGGTGATCCTGAGCTGGGTCCTGGCCATGACGACGTCTGTACACGTCAGCACCAGCCTGCTGTAAATCTCCTGGAAGTCGACGCGTATGTTTCCGACTGTCTCCACCATCTCCAGCGAGTTGTTGGAGGAGGAGAACCCGTCGAAGATCCCGGAGAGAGTGATGGTTGTTGAGTTTGCAATGACAAAGTTGGGTACCATGTCAATGGTGACTGTCGCGATCGCCCCGATGACATCCGAGCTTGAGGAAGCAGAAAAGCTTGTTAGGCCAGGCACGCGGGCTGCATGGAGGAGACAAGGGCCGTTCATACGCTCCTGCTGCTCTTGGTTGACTTGGATGCTCGCAAGCTGCGAGCACTGAGACGCATGGGAGGGGTTGCGGAGGAGGAAAGAAAGGACCGTCTTGTTGCTAGATCTCATCGCCTCTGAGAGAGTGAACAGCATGCAGCCGGAACCTGTCATCTCCTGCTTGACCCACTCAGCACTTGTGACCTCGATGTTCGACCAGAGACGGTACGGGAACGATTGGTCGGCGGAGAACGAGTGGGAGGACGTCTGTGAGAACTGGATGTCGCAGATGGAGATGTTGGACGCTGGTTGGAGGTCCTCTCTTGGCTGGAGGGTAACTGAGATCAAACTGCAAGGATTTCAAATTCCACTTGTTATTTTGGAAATGCTGCTGTATGGACGTTACAGATCGTTTCCGTGTCGTTATTGTGAAGAACCAGCGCAGATGGTTACAAAACGTTATTTTGAAACGTCGTGGCAGGGGTCTCCGTAACGGCTGACTTTTCTATTCCTGGGCGCCACTTCGGAGAAATTCTTTCTCTGGGGTGTTACGATCACAATATTCACAACACAATTCTCAAATATTGATTCCTAAACTTGAAAGTATCATTATATTGATGAAATATTTCCGAACTTATGACCACTGATTTACACCCTTGTTGCCGATGATTCCGTCCTATCAACAGCAGATGATGAACACGGTTTTCGTCGCCTACAAGAATCAGGTACGGCATGTCTCTGAGGCATATGAAAGCACAACTCCTGCAAAAATGACAATCTCCTGTCGAACACGAACATTTCGTCTTATGTTTTATCTTTTCATTCCCTGTATTTCCTGTCGTATGCCCAACCTTGGAACTGTCTTGTCCAGAGGATTACAGCGTGTGGGACTCCAATGAGAATTTCTCTGTCAATGTTGTACATGTATGAAATTGAAACAACCGTTGCTTAATGAACTATCAGTAGAATGTCCTTGTTTCGTTGCAAGTGATCAGGCATGCTGGTTGATGGCTGATTTGTTAAATGTTCCGGCCTCAAGTGAGAATGCTGGATATGACATCGTGCTCCTGTTTCATTTCTAACTCTGTTCGTGGTTTCCAGGCCAACGGTGCTCAGCATCTGCAACAGCTGAAGGAATCCCAGCTTCTCTTCTTTGGTCTCCGTGACCACTTGTGGATGAGGGGTCCTTTTGTGGGCAAGAGAACGATGTAAACTGTGCTTGGGGGGTATTCGCCGATTGTCAATCATCCGGTCAAGTTTCAAGGCCTGGGATTGTATGCTGTGGTGGAAAAATTATTTCTGATCATGCTTGACATGAGCCGGTCAACATCATTGAATCTTGTGTACAAATATTGATTTTAGGGTTCCTTTGATTTTTCAGTAAGGTTGATTGTGTTGTAGTCTCGCGCGTCTGTGCGGGAATGTTTCATGAAGTGAGAGTAAACTTCGTGATGGATTGTGCCCTCCCTCAGAGTTTCAGGAGTAGAGCTGACCAGTCGTTTCAGGAGCAGGTTGGAGCACGAGCAGCATGCTGCTGTGCTTCAGTGCACTTCGAGAACAACACCCACTCCCCGTTCTCTCTCGTATAGAAAATTCCCCAGTCTCTGTCACTCAACACTTTGTGTTTCAGCTGTTCTCTTCACCAGTTCAACAACCCTTTCGTGTTCAGAAGATAACCCTGAGCCTCCACCCCACCCTCTAGATTTTGCGGCATGTCGTACAGCAACCACTGACTTGAAAGCTGTGATGCTGGCTGAACAGGACATTCCTGCAGGAGAGCAGGCGAGCCTTGCTGATCTGCGCGCATGTCGTCGTGTGTACAACGATAGAGCGTGCTGCGTCATTTTCCTACCTACGAGTTGGACGCCGTGCCTCCAAAATCAAGTGATTCATCAGAATGAAATAGTTCATTGAAATTTGAATATAAGAGGAAAGATTACGAGCAAATAAATGAAATTATATGTACCGAAGGCTTTGTGGGTTCCCGCCAATGTTGAAGGGAAGGGGGAGACTCACGCGGGGGTGCTGGAAGGGGCCGAAGATGAGGATAGGAAGTCAAGGGGACGAGAAAATGGTGGATAGCAGTATCAGAAGCAGGGATGCATCAAGAATGCAGGACTTGCGATATGTTATTCCGGCAATATCATGCAGTGCAGGCATGGCCATAGGAGAAGAGTTGTTACTGCTTGACTGAGGGACTGTACCGAGAGTGTGGGATGTTTTTGTGTCTAGATACTGATGTGGGTTCCAGTTGTGTTGGAGATGTCGACATCCACACCTTGTCTTGCTGCCAATGCAACTCCTATGCCTTCCTTGTGCCCTGATTGGAATGCCATCCTGCCGCCGCCTGAGGCTGCAGCTGCACCTCCCAAAGCTGAAGAGGTGCTACAGATTCTAATGCGAGCAGAACCTCTCAAGCTGTAAGTTGCAACTACCATGGTTCACGCGCTGACATTCAGTTTCGTTGTAGGAGGATGAACCAGAGGGGAATGGAGGCTTCTAAAAGGTTCCGTCCTGACTCGAACGAACTCTTGCAGCAGATTGAGAGACAGCAGCCTGGCTTCTTGGACAATCTCTATCTTCACCACATTGATGCAAGAGATTCCTCAAATCAGCCTGTACACTTGCCTGCTCCTGACCAAAGCAAGAGGAATGATAGGCGCTCGTTCACAAGCAAGCCTGTGACAGAGAAGGATTCGAATCAAATTCAACTTTCTAACCTTGGCGAAGTCGAGCTCGATGAGAATCAAGAGCAGAGCAGTCCATCGTTAGAGCTTTTATCTTCTCTCTTGAGTCAGTTGGTCGATGATGTGCAAGGTGTATCTATTTGCTGGGAAGACATCATGGAAAGCATCTGCGAAGAGATTACAAACGCTCAGGTGCAAAACAAGCTAGTTGAAGTTCCGACAGACACTGTACGCGATGTATTTCGTGCCATTGAACCTGCTATCAATCAGTGCAGCAACGAAGGTTTGTGGGAAGGCTCTCTGCCGATGCAATGCATGAGGTGTGCGCAGATGGCGATGCAGTTTCTGTCAGACGAAGTTCTCGGGCCGAAAGTGTACACAGATGAAACGCTTGAGTTTATTGTCAGGTTCTTGGAGGGATATTGCAATCGAATACTTTTGCCAGAATTGGAAAAGGCGCTGAAAGAAGAATTAGCAATTGAGGAAAAGAAGCCAGGGCGAAAACGAAAGTCGAGACAGAGCACGAATGATTTACGTCAAGATTGCTTTCGTCATGCATCTATAATGAGTGAAGCTATACAGTTATTGAACAAGATTGTCAGTATTCCCAACGTCAAGTTTCAAGATTCGGAATTGCTGCGAGTGTCCAACTTGTGCCTAAGCCTCTTCTTTGCAGAGGGTGCCGAGTATTTATATTACAGCCAACAAGCTTGCATCCCGTTGATGCAAAACATTTTTGCATATTATGATGGCCACAGAGAAAATATAATTCACGAATTCCTGGTAAGGTGCAGTACATGGAAACCAGCTACGAAGGATTTTTGCTATCAACTCTCCACGCCAAGACTTGCCTCTATCCAGATGTCTACAGCCCTTCTGTTGTCGTTATTGCAAGCCGTTGTGAAAAGGCCCTTAAACTCGGTTGATCGTGAGGAGACTGAAACCTCAAATACGAATGCTGCTCTTCCCTTGCTGCTTACGTTCATCAGATATCTCATGCAAAAGTTGATTGTGAAAAAAACTGACAAAGTGGAGGCTAGTGGTTACAAATCCTTCTATCAAACTGTAGTAATGGATGTTACAGTCGTTCTAGGGACACCAGAATGGCCGATTGCCTCCCTGGTCTTGAAGGCATTTTGGAAATATTCCTACGAGATGTGTATCAAAGATTTCCCTTTTGCTGTTAAGACGATGGCTGCAGATTTGTTAGGCAGCATTGTCATTCGTATCAAAGACCTAGCCATGCATGCCAACAGACCGGATATCATGCAAGAAGGAGGGCATATGACCATTCCTGATTACAATGATACGTTCAAATCCCTCGTTGGGCAACAGAAAGAGTATCTTCAGAGATGCAGTTGGATGAAAAATTTGGCGAGCTCTACAGAAAGTCCTCTTTTGCAAGACTCTGATGCCCCGGAGGATCTTTTGCACAAGCTTTTTGCTCAACAGTTACTTCTAAATTTCCTTGCAAACAAGCTCACTGAGGATTCCTCCTACCACTACGTGATAAGGACATGGCTTTACATGTGGTGTGAACAGACTGAATCGAACTCGGTTCATGCTTATTATGATCTAGTATCGGAAGATCGCAATTACAGAATACGACCTGATATGCCCTCGCCTAATTCGAATGAAAGTTGGGAATTTTCCAAATACCTGGCAGCAACTTTCGACGTTCAAGACATCCTAAAACCCTTATTGATACTGTTGAAGCATCCCAAAATGCCTCAATTCCGTCAAAAAGCTTTAAAAGCCCTTTCTCAGGTGGTTGAAATGGACCCTAATACTCTGTCAAATGAGAGAGTAAGAGATGTTGTTTGTGGAAGTATGAAAGACGCGTCGAAGGCAGTGAGAGCTGAGGCAGTCCTCCTTGTGGGAAAGTTTATGTGCCAGGAAACGAATCTAACCCTACAGTACCACGAGAGTATTTGTGAAAGATGCAGAGATACAGGCTCAAGTGTCAGAAAAGCTGCTATGAATATCCTGCGAGATTTGCTGGCAAAGGAGGGCCAAGACAAGAATGTTGTTGATAGTGCGTGTGTTGCTATCATTCCCCTTTTGAAGGACGAAAGTGACGATATCAAGAAGAGGACCTTCCAATTCTTGAAGGAGATGTGGTTTCCCGCAAGAAGACCAGGAGTTCCAGATGGGTCTGTGCTAAGCATTGTTTCTCGCTTCGAGCAGATCAAGAGTGTGGTGAACGCTGCCCATCGAAGTACAACAACAATAGGACGAGAATCGATATCTGTTATCGACATCTTACACGATTTTTTTCGAGACACCACCAATGAAGGTGAAAATTTTGTGAAAGAAAGTCTAGAATACTGTCAGCGGGCGCTTCAAGAAATTATCCAATTCAACGAGGAGTCAAACAACACACCAGATAAGCTGTTGTCTGTTTTTCGAACATTAGCTATGTTTGCAAAGGCCCGACCACCTCTGATTGCCAAGGACATGGAGTTGCTTCATCAGCACTTGTCCTCCAAGGGGGAGCAGAAAGATGGCAGTCCTTGGAGCAAGGAGCAGTGTGAGCTCATCGGAACTGTTGCAGCGATCTATGATTGCGTACTTCCATTTCTGAACGATCCTCCGGAACATCTCATCAAGTATCTATCCCAGGATCTTCCACGTCTCATTCAGTTTGCTCCCAGCATGCCACTGCTGACGATTTCAATTCAGTGTCTGTGCACGCTTGTGAAGAGTGTGGGCAGCATACGAAAACACTCTGATCAAATGCACGCACTGCTCACAGCTTGTTTCAACCGCGAGGTTAAACGTCTCAATGATGAAAAATTTGCTGCGAAACCACGATCCTTGTTGATTGCTGGAATTTTCTGCAAGTTTTCAAACTTCGAGATCACGTTGCAAGGAAAGAAGAGAAAAGCCATCGAGGACAAGAATGTCATGGAAATCTATGACACGTGCATTAAGCACTTTGTCAAGCACAAGCTTTTGCCGTTCAAACGTGCCGGCTTTTCATGTCTTGGCAGCATTTTTGTGAGGCAACCGAATTTGATCCTCAAGGACCCTGCAAAGCGCGCATTGGCCTCTGCTTTTGATGCGACCAGCACTGAAGAGGTGCAACTTGTCGCCATTTCTGCTCTCGCAGAATTCATAGAAGAAGACGTCTCTGATCAAGAATCGACTTGCTTACGTAACACAGTAATGCAGCAGTACCTGGAACGGATCCTAGCGTGTTTGTATAGCAAAAAGGAGGAGACTGCTTCTGCAGCTCTCAAATTGGTTTCTACCATTCACGATCGCGGCCAAGTGCATCCTCAGTTGTGCATTCCTGACATGATCTCAGTGCAGCAAAGAAGCCCTCTTTGTGCAAGCGTCGGTTATCAGGTGTTGAGGAACATTTCTGAGAAGTACCCAGACTACTACAGTCCTGAAGTATTCATCCAAGGAGTGATGAAGGGATTCAGCTTGAAGAAGGACTCGGACCTGATTGCCGTAGAGAACTTCTCCAGATGTCTTGAACTTCGGCTTCCCAACAAGAAGTTCCTTCAACGGCTTGTCAAGCATGCCATTGACAAGCTGAAGCACAAGATTGAATCTCACGAGCGGCAGACGATCGCATCAGAGGTCGAAAACCTCAAGTACCTCGTCAGCATTATGGCCTCTCTGCCCTACCCCGACCAGGAGATAGTCCAGTCGCTCGTCGGGCAGGCGAACGACGCAGGGATCATGATCGGAACCGCCTCCATCGCCATGCTCAAGGATGACACTGAGATCCCAGTCAGTTCTCCTCAGGCTCTCGAATTCATGGAGGAAGCTTCTCGCGCTTACCTGCTCGTGGAGTTGAAGAGGTTCCTGCAGGTAGCCTACCATAACAAGACTGTCTTCCCCGTGGAGCTCGTCATCCCCTTCAACGCTGCCAACTTGATTAAGTGCTCGACCGTGGAGGAGTGCGCGAACTTGCTGAACAACGCGCTGAGGCTAGCGAGCGAGGACAAGGTTCAGCCGCAGGCAGAAGGAAGGCGGAGGGGTCGACCGAGCAGGCAGCAGCCACAGCAGCAGCAGCAGCATAGGAGGCAGTTAGAGCAACAGCTGGACATTTCGTTGGACTCGGCGGGGATCTCAGCCTTCATGGAAGAAGATGAGTTCTCAGATGGCTCGGAGTTCAACCTTGAGGATTATGTTGACATGGACTTGTTGTGAGGGAGACGATGAGTATGTTGGAATGTTATTTGTAGATAGGCATCTATGGAGAGAGCTTTGCAAACAATTACGCTAAATGAGCACGGCTGCAGGACTTGTTGAGATTTCTCAACTTCTTTCTCGGTGTCTCAACTTCTTTCCCCTGGCAGTTTCTCCTCTCATGTGCTCGGCATACCGTGTAACTGTGGGAAAGATGTTTTCATCTCAGGTTTCGTGACTTGTGCTTGCAAACGTGCAGGTCGCTATCCTTCCCTTCAGTCGTCGAAGAGTGAACTTTTCCCTCCTAACTCATCGTCAGTTTCCTATCTCAGCCTCCTCAGCCTCCTGAGTTCCCTTACCGTCATCGTCGAACAATCCTTTTGACTTGCCTCTCAGTCCTCCTCCTCCTGCACCTCCTCGTCCCTTGTCAAAGGCGGAGCCGAGGTCCTCCCCCGAGCGGACGTCGGGCGAGGTTGGTTCCAACAGCATACTGAGCGCAACTTTCCTCCTCGCGTTCGTCTCCTCCAACTTCTTCTTGTTGAGGAGCTCCTGCTGCTTCTGCTCCTCATTTTGCACAGCAACCAGAGGCTCCTCCTTCATTTTCATCTCTCGCGCAAGCTCTGGCTGCTGCACGGGCTCCCTCTCGAACGCTTCATAGGAGGAAGAAGCAGCAAACGTGCTGGAGGGTGCAGAGGTCGTGACGGGGCGATCAGGAAGACGGAGGAGGGCAGGAGGATCATTGACAGGAGGAGGGAGAGATGAAGGAGGAGGAGGAGGGAGGGAGGAGAGAGGAGGAGGGAGAGGCTTTGAGGGCACATCTGCAACTAATAGTCAGGATGAGCGATAGGTTTAACGAGGTTTCAAAGTCACTGACCAAGAGGACGCGACGGGTCGGCAAGCGCCTGCTGTACAGCGGCGAGATCAGCAAGAGCTCTTGACAGTTCGGCTGCTCGTTCGTCGGGGAACGACAAACCACGCAGCACCGCCATGGCCTCCTGCATCTTCCGCGCCAGCTCCTGCCTTCCACCTTCCTGCACCTTGCTGGCAGCCATGGCGGCGGCAGAAGGAGGAACAGGAGCTGCTCCGACGATCACTCCGTTGATGAGACTGATCGCGTTCTTCTTCCCTTGCTCCGCTGGAGGAGGGATAGGAGGAGAGGAGGCGCGTTGCCTGCTCCCTTCGAAGCTCTCGGTGAAGAAGAAGGTAGTGGTAGGAGGAGCAGGAGCAGGAGCAGGAGCAGGAGCAGGAACACAAGCAGGAGGTTCTGTGTTTTCTGTGCGCTGGAGGTGTGCTGGTCGGGCAGGTCGGGGGACGGCTGGACTCTTACCCTCCCTCAAGTTACGAGCAGCTGAGATGAAGACCTGAGAGGAAGTTCAGGGAAGGAGGTCGAGTGACTTAGTAGGATAAGAAGACCGGACCTTGACATCCTCGACAGGAGGATACCGCATCAGACGCTGTAAGCAGCCCATGTTGTCCTGCAAGATTCATAAGAAGACACAGAGAGCAGAGGAAACGAGAGTGCGTAATGACAAGGAGTAGAGAGGGAGAGGGAGAGGAGGAGGGAGGGAAAGAGACAGGGAGGGAGAGGGAGAGGGAAAAAGGGTGACAAGGAAGAAATTAGCATGTGCGGTAGATTCGAACCTTCATCAGCAAGTCCGACCTGACGTAGGTCAACATAGAGAGACAGATGTAGTCCAGCAGTTCAATGTCTTGCCCCTTTGACTTGTTCAGCTGCAAATCACAGAACATCATTACATATCATAACTGTCTCCTCCTCCTCCTCCTCCTCCTCCTCCACATCCTCATAACCTCCACCTCGTCTTCACCTGATCTGCGAACATCGCGTCCCACAGGTATAGCACATCTTCGAGGTGAAACTCACGTCCCAGCAGGAGGCGGATCCATCTGAGTGCGTAAAGTTGAGGCTCAACCTGCAGCGACTGAAGATGAAGGAAGAGCTCGTGGTCCTTGTCTCGCAAAAGAACGTTCTGAACTCTTTCACATCTGCATGACAATCATCATCCTCCCCTCCTCTCGTGTTCTCCCCGTCCGTCTCCCGATCTCTCCTTGCATCCTACTCCCCCTCCTTTCCTCTCCCCTCCTCTCCTCTCCCCTCCTCTCTCCTCTCTCTCTCCAGTCTCCCCGTCTTTCTTACCTTGCGACCGCCTTGTTCGGCTTTGGCGTTTGTCCTTTAGGTACTTTCTGCGGAGGTTCGAAGGAACTTTTGCTGCTCAACATGAGAGCTTCAAAGAGACTGAAAGCATCGTGCTCGAGGTGCTGCGGGGAGAAAGTGAGAGAAGAAGAGCAATCATGAGCGAGGAAACCGCACGCCAAATCCTCCTCCTTCTTGTCAACTTCCACAACCAAAACCACCACCACCGCTGCTACTGCCGACTGTCCTCCTCCTCCTCCTCTCCTTCTCCTCCCTCTCCTCCTCCTCCTCCTCCTCCTCCTCCTCCTCCTCCTTATCATCGTCATCATTAACAACATAATCACCTCCGGGTCCATCAGCGTCTTGATAACCGAGCATCTCTCATCTGAATCCTGCTGCATGCCAGCAACGCTGTCCCGGCATGCCGACATGTCTCGATGAAGCACGGCGACTATGGGGGCAAGGAGCTCGTGCATGCCTTGCCTGTATGAGAGCTGCACAACCATCGCCATGAGCTACTCAGCGCCGGCAGGTCAAGTCAAGTCACAACCTCGCTATGAAGGTTCGACCAGACTGTCAGGACGCGGAGCATGGCTTTCTGCGCCTCCTCTTGCTTCAGAAACTCGTCCTCCACGTTGAGCCTCTCGATATCAATCATGATCGACTTCTGCAGCTCCTGCACGAGCAAGCAACTTCAACATGCAGCACAGCCCATGGCCCGGCACACACCTGCAGCTCGAAATATTTCTTCCACACGCTCCCCTCCGCCTGCCAACCCCCGTCAGACACGTCGGCAAGAGTGAGGAGGCGCAACCTGAGCGAGAGGGTTGTCATGGAGAGGATCCTTCTGGCCCCCGTCCTTGTAGGGGTCAATGAGGAATTCCTCCTTGAGCTCCTGGTATCGCTTCCGCCTCTCCTTCATGATGGTAACCCAAGAGAGGAAGCTCGCGCTGTCTGTGGGTAGAACGCCTGTGGGAGCGAACAAGACGCCAGCAAATGAGAAAAAGAGCATGCAAATCATCGCAGTGATCAGCATACCGAGGAAAACCCTCCAACAGACGCTCCTCATCGGCGAATCCTTCAGGTCTGGAATGCAGCTTGTTACTATCGAGATGTTGCCATGAAGGCAGTCTTACATCCTTCAAACACTTGGTCCCTCAACTTCACCCATGACTGTGAAGAAGAATCCCCCAAACCACCCGCTATCCTCTCTGAAAGCTCCTCAACCAGGTTAAATTGCGGCATCCTATATGCTCCCGAAAGTTTCTTGGGCTCAAGTTTCAGGCCTCCCCGTGCTCCTCTCAATGAACGCACTAGAGGAGCTTTCTTGGCTCAGATCTTTGCTGCCTCACCTCAGCCTCGTCCTCATCGGAGCTGCTCCTCCTCCAACCCGCTCGCCATTCCCATGCTGCCATGCTCTGCCATGATGATGCGGCGTAAGGAACCGAAAAGTCAGAAGGAACCGCTACCAACTACAAGGAACTGGGAATTGTTCCTCCTAAAGAACTTCATATTTGTTCTGTGACAGGAACGGAACGTATTTCTATTTTATGTCAGCAGGGATTGACCACCCTACCCCACCACTTAGGGTTTTCCGGTACCAGGGCTCATCATCAACTTGTACCACCTCTCAATTTTCCCCTACCCGTGTCTGCTCCTCAAGTTTTCAGGATAAGGACCCGTGTCCTTCGCGACTTCTTCCCTACAGTCTCTACTACCCCACCCACCCGTGTAGCCAACACCATCCCGGCCCCACCCACCACCACCACCCCACGGGATGTGCGGAACGCAAAAAGTGTTTTTGTAGCAGGGAAAGCTGTCTTTCACTACCATGATCATACAATTAATATAGACTTTATAACGTTTTTAAAAGTTTATGCGCCACGGAGCCATGGAGGGGGTGGACCGGAAGGGCGCAGGAGAAGGCGGAGACAGAGACGGATAGGATAGATAGATCTCGCAGTAGATGTGTGCATGATAATGATAAGGAGAGCTCAGTATCCTCAAGTCCCTTTCCCGTCACAGGCGCCAGGTCTGCACTGAGGGGAAGGCGGGGTAGTAAAATTTTGATCAGTAGCCGCGGTCGGAAGGAAATGTATTGTGGTTTCGGTAGGATTGTTTGTATGGACGCAGTTTTTTCAAAGTTATGACGATGATCATGACAATGATGCATACACCCTCTGGAGGATACATGAAAGAGTGGACGAAGCAGATGTAGTTACTAGATTCATTCGTTCAGATGACTGAGATATCCAGCGGGCTCGTGTGCTTTTCGGAATAGAGAGCGAAATGACAATGTGCACTCAGGCGATCCGAAGTCGATTTGCTTCTTAGTTGGTAGAGGCAGACGAGCATGGGCTGCATCTGTTCTTCGGAGGAGGATCCGGATGTGCCCACGCACCCGGTTCCTGGCAAGGGCTCGTCCCAGGCTCAACCCCACAAGAGTTCTCAAGACATGAGCATCTTGGATTTGAGCAAATCGAACGATGTGATTGACTTTGAATCCATGGTGATGATTGTTTGATGTAGCTGCCATGCCTCTAAACCCTTGCACAGAATCCTCGGAGGTTCAAGGAAACCACCATTCTGATTATCAAGGAGAACATGCTGGCTGTATTTCCAGCTGGGATAAGGAATTTTACCTCCCTGACAACATTCGACTGTAGCATGAACAGGCTGGACGAGCTTCCTGCGGGTATGTGACCATGCTCTGTTATCTCGTTGCGGTGATAGCTGCCTTGTAGAGATTGGCCTCCTAGTCTCCCTGACAACGTTGGATGCGAACGATAATTCTCTCACGAAGCTGCCAGAGGAGATTGGAAATCTCTCCAAGTGTGTGTCCGTTCGAGTGTGCTGTGCTGTCATTTGACCTGGAGCCAGGCTTGAGAAGCTCTTCCTGTACAAGAACAACATCACTGTCCTCCCGGATACAATCTGCAACCTGGCGGCCTTGAAGGAATTGAATCTTTTCAACAACAAAATCATCAAGTTGCCCACAAAGTTTTCCTCACTGCACAACATGGTGGAGCTGAACCTGGCGGACAACAAGCTGAAGACTACCCCTGACTTGAGCGGATTCACCTCCCTGAACCGCCTTGCCCTCTTCAACAACAACCTGGTTCTGCTACCTCCGCTCTCGGGCTTGGGGAGTCTGGAGAAGCTCGAGATCTACCGCAACAAGCTGGAGACGTTGCCAGACATGAAACAGCTTGACAACTTGCAGGAGTTTCAAGTGACCAACAACCTTGTGAAGGAGCTTCCTGTCAACATCGGGAGTTTTCAGGCCCTGACGACCATTGAGGCATCGCGCAATCAGCTCACTTCGGTATCGTGCTCTCGCACTCTCCACCTCCATGACATGTCGTGTTCGTTAAAAGATTCCGGACTCGGTTCTTGACTTGAAGGAGCTGGTCAAGCTCATGCTGTCTGAGAATCAGGTGCTTGTTTCATTCTGTTATGCAATCTGTCCAATGAGCTCCTCCTCTTATGCTCGTCTTTCAGATTGCAGTCCTCCCGACCGGCTTGTCTAAGTTGCCCCTCAAGACTCTAGACGTCTCCTCAAACCTGCTTGAGAGGTAGCATTGTCCCAGAGAGTTTCTGCCGACCTCTATCTTGTTCTTCCACCCGCTTCCCATCCTCCGCCTGCAGCTTCTCATTTTGACTGTGCAGTTTTCCTGACGTTGAGGGCTGCACGTCACTTACCAACTTGATGGTGGCAAAGAACAAGGTCAGTCTCTTTCCTCCTCTCTGTCTGCTGCACCTGCTCAGAGGACTTCCAGTTGTCGTCCCTCCCCACGTTCCTTGTCTCCGATTTCCCTTACATCAAACGCCTGACCTTTGACGGAAATCCTATCGATATGGAAGACGCCAGTAACCAGGTTGAGGAAGGGAGGGAGGAGAGGGGTCGGGGGGAGAAGGAAGGGAGGGAGGAGAGGGGTCGGGGGGAGAAGGGAGGGAGGGAGGGAGGGAGGGAGGAGAGGACCGAGAGGAGGGAGGGAAGAGGGAGTGGGGGGGGCAGGGGGGCGGCCGCAGATCTGAGGGCATAGATGGTAGTGCAAGGACGTGGGGAGTGAGCAGAAATGCAGCTGACCTTGGAGATGCAGGAGGTGGTGGAGAGCCTCAAGAATCGATTCAAGAGCATCCCTAACTCCAAGTTGAGCGTCATCGTCTGAGCGTCCCCGTTCTCAGCTCAAATCTCCATGTTGGCGATCACCTCGACTTCATGGGCAGGGGCTTTACTGAGGCTTCGGCTTGATTCTCACAAGTTATTCTTGCCCCGCGGAGCCTCCTTCGACTCTCTCCAACCCATCTCTGAGATCTATGATCCGAATATTTACTTGAAGTCAAGTTTTGACAATACATACATTGAAGTAATGATGTTCCCCACTGAACTGTGTTTCTCGGAGTCGGGGTAGCCCGGTGAACTGTTGTCCAATCGGGCCCGGTGACGCCGGCCGCGTGATGCAGGGTGACTCACGGTGAACCGGCCCGGCCGGGCGTTGCCCGACCAACCGGCGCTCTGATCCGGCGCCCAGGCTCTGAGTCTGCAAGTATGATTTGTCTGACTGCCGCAGTGACCGGGTGCCAGTGGCGGGGGCCTTGCGGCCTCCCTGGTCCGCCGGACTCAAGCCGCCGGACTCGAACGAGCCTCAGTCCGGGCCCCGGGCGGGTCCGATCCCGGAGTCCGATCCGAATCGGCCGCCCCGGCATATTTGACCGGCCCCCGCCTGCGGCCGGCACTGCGGCAGGCTGCCGGGCCGCGCACTGCATAGCGGTCCGGCGGGACGGTGACTCCGGGAGTTGCCGGGATCGGACGGTCGGTCACCATGGCACGGGTTTCTGCCGGGACTCCGGGAAGAGTCCGGGCCCGGCCTGTTGTCTTGACTCCCATTTAGACTCTGGGGCAGAGTGGATATTGTTGGGCTAAAGTCGCCATGGTCGTTCGGGCAGCAAAGGGCGTATGGGTGGCGATGGCAGGTAAGACGAACAGCAGCAGGAGCAGCAGGAGCAGCGGCAGGAGAGGGAGCAGGAGCAGGAGGATTTCATGTCTCTACTGTGATATGTGACGTATGCTAAAAGGTATAATGGTCAGTCAGAGCCTTGCCTTCATTACTTGTCCTACTCCAGTCACAAGGGACAACGCCTTGCAATGTACCAAGGTTCCCTGCACTCGCTTGTCGAATATCATACACACTTACCTGTCTGCAGGAAAACTACGAGGAGCTCAACTATCACTCCCCCAGCGTCTGGTACACTCTATCGTCAAACTCGTCCGGACAAGGTATGCGTAGTAGCCGCGTCAAGGAATGCAGGAGAGGAAGGGCTTACACGATGGTGCTAGTTTATCCTTTCTGGTGGATCCGTGAGTCTGCCCCATGCTGCCGTCATTGCGTGTGGGACCTTGGCTATCCGTTCATCGACCCAATCATTCTCGCGTCCGATAGAGCTTCGTCCAACACTACTGACGTCCTTGACTGCTCCAGATTCAAGGTGATGGGAAGGGAGAGGGGAACGAGGGTGTACGTAGATGAGGGAACAAGAAAATGGTGTAGAGCGAATGGGAATGGGAGAGAGGAGGGGACATGAAAATTGGGGGAGCAGGTATGCTTTTGTCTTGCACTGATAATGCAGCAGGTTCAATTTGATTCTTTGGATACAAGTGGAGATGGATATCTTTCTTCGAGCGAGATGGAAACTTTTCTCAGTGTCGATTTGAATGGATGGCTTGTTGCGCGTGATCGCCTCAACAAGGTGAGAACATGCTTTCCGTGGGATGGGTTGTCAACCGCATGGTGAATGGCAGACTGTTTTCTTTGAGTACACGGATTTGAACAAGGACTATAAAATTTCTCTGAATGTAAGTTGAACACGACGAGATTCATCATAACAGCGATGGATACTTCTGCATCTGCAGCTACTGGTGGTGGTGGTGGTGGTGGTGGTGGTGGTGGTGGTGGTGGTGGTGGTGGTGGTGATGATGATAATGATGACGATGACATATCCGATGATGATCGAGATGACGACAACAGTGGTGGTGGTGGTGATGAGATCAACAGTGAAGACTATAGAACGACACTCTGTTCCATCTTTATTCTCATGGTGTGAGGGCGTCACCTCCATTCTGACTGCTGCTTCTAGGAATGGCTTGTGATGAGGCACTTTTGGTCTCTGGTGCAACTTGCAGAGACAGGGCCTAAGGTTTCTCTCTTGGACTCCCCACCTTGTTCTTGTTCTTGTCACTTCTTCCTTCTCTGTGCTCGCTTCCCCTCTCCCCTCTCCCCTCTCCCCTCTCCCCTCTCCCCTCTCCCCTCTCCCCTCTCCCTTCTCCCTTCTATTTCATTTGCCTCCTGTCTATCTTTCGTTCCTTCCTGTGGTCCCCTGCTTGCTCTCCTCTTCCTCCCTCTTGCTCCAACTGATAGCTTGTTTACTTGCAGGTCATGATGGATGAAAACCTACCTTCTGGTCCGCTGGGAGGGTTTTACATGACAGAAGAGATCATTGACATCGTCGTCACCAACATTGTGAACCTCCTCCTCGAACAAGTAGGCCAATGTGGCAAGTGACTTCATGAGCTGACGACCTCCTCCCAAGATCTCTAGCTCGAAATGCACCTACTGCTCCTGCTGCCCACAGACAATCACTCCCTGCCCTTCATCGTGCCCATGGAGCAGTACGTGAGTCTGGCGCCCTCAAGGTTGAAATCTTCCGGCTGTGCATGACTTTCTGCGCAGGGGGATCAGAGTCTTCAATGCAGAGGAGAAGAAGTTCGTCCTGATAGCATGGGACTTGGATGGGAGCACGAGAATCTCGCTGGAAGAGGTAGAGGAGGATGAAACATGTCAAAGATTACTTGACTTGTTCTCTTCAGCATTATTTCCGCGTTTTTGCAGACAGGGACAGGAATGGAGTGATTGATGTTGAAGAATTCTACCTCTCTCTGTGATTCTGCGCCCTGTTGCATAGTGGAGAAACTGATGCTTGATTTCCAGGTACCAGAACACTCTCCCCGATGGGTCGCTCGACTCTTCTTCCATCAAGTACAACTTCAACAAACATGACCTGTAAGTTTCCAGAGCGACTTGTGACATGTGACTGCTGTGACTTGTGTTGACAAATGACTAAGTTTGTCGATTGAAGATGTTACTGTTCTGTTCAGTTGGAGAAGATGATCACGTTGCAGGAACAATGATGGAAAAGTTTCATTCCTGGAACGGAAATTCATCATCGCTGACAACAATCCCACTGACGGCGCACTCTCAGCGCAGGAATGGATCAAGGCAGGCAAGGGATACGCTGAAATTCGCTCTTCACCGCCTTATTTCATTTCGCTTCTGTTCCCTTTTTAATTTTTCATGCTCGATTTCTCACATTTCCTGATCTTTCATTTTCCTAACCCTCTTTGATCAGACTTGCCTTCCATCTTTGGCCCTTTCGATGGCCATAAGAGTCAAATCACAAACGTCGTCGACGAACTCCATTACACCTATTACACTGTCTTGCATGAATGTGCACTGCAAGGTATCAAGGGCGGACTCGCATCTCCTGCAGGGTTGTGAATGGTATTCAGGTGTACAAGCATATCAGAGATTGTTGGTAAGGTTTCCGCTGGCGGCCTGGTAGATTGAAGAACATGTTCGCTCACTGATGTTTTGCTCACAATGTCGTTGAAGGTGCAACATTGTTGTCTCAGCTCAACTCATCCAACCATGGATCACATTCAACGACACGCAGCCAAAGTCAGTCACTTCATTGAGTGCTCCATGCTCCCCTCCTCTCTATTCATAAGTGCAAGGGTTACCTCTGATTTCTTCCATCTAATTTCCTCATTTTTGCTTTCTTGTCATGCTCGCCTTGTCTGACTTGTTTGTCTTGCTCAACTCGGACATGTTTTCCCAATTGTGTTTCGTCGCCTCAAACGCATACCTGCAGCCTGATGATCGCAACGTGGAATGAAGTTACATCTCAACTGCTATGGTCGTCAACTGTCGTTCAAAAGGTTCCTGCTCCCCCTCGTGCTGCGTCTCTAATTCCGACTTGCTTTCTTCCCAGCCCTCGGTCGAGTACTCTTCCTTGAAACCACCCATCACTGGAGCAACGGACTACGGGACGATGCAGGGGGCGCTCTTTGCATCGTGGAAGGTGTGGAGGAACATGTCAAATATGACGCGCGTTCTTGACAACCTCGTCTGTCCACAGGGGAAAGTGCAGCTGGACAATGACTACACCTGCTCTGATTCCTTCGGCATCTCAACTCTGTTGTCCCCGCATGTCTATGACTGCAGTGACAGCTCCCAGCCTCGATGGCTTCATCGTTGTCGTCAGGTCGACCGCTGACACGATCTCCCTTGCGTCTGCTGTCATCTTCATGTAAGACACGTCAGAGAGTTTGGACGCAGTCTGACAAGAGACGGTCGTCAGGGTCTATTCATCCGCATTCGTCAACTTCGTTTGCTTCCTCTTCCTCCTCCTCATTGGCGTCGGGCATCTGCTGTGGCTGGTGGAGAGGAAAGAGAATCCAGAGCAGTTCAATCCGTTGTACGCCAGAGTAAGAAGAACCTGTTACTGCGTTCATGTTGCTGGCGGCCCTGCAGCTCCTCCTCGTGTCTGTATCCTCATTTCCTCTCGCCCCGGCTTGCATGCTGTGATGTAACCTCTCCCATCTTCCCCTCTCCTCTCTCCTCCCTTGCCTCTTTCACTATCTCTCACATCGCCCTCGCTCCTCCTCTTCTCAGGGAGTCCTCGACGGCGCTTGGTTCTGCATCGTCACGATGACAACTGTCGGTTATGGAGACAAAGTTCCTGTGACCGGGCTAGGTGACGTGGACATCGAGCCTCCTTTCAGCTGATCAAACTCGTACTGCAGGAAAAGCCATAACAGCCGTCTGGATGCTCTTTGGCATTATCGTCTTTGGGGTGTTTGCGGGTCAAATCTCCTCCAACGTCAACGTCTTGAGTGCAGAGGCTTCAATCAGTGACGTGACCACCATCGGGGGCTTCACGGTGAGAGCGATGGAGACACTCGTAGTAACATTTGAATTGACTCCTTTTGACCTCTCGTTCCTTGTCCGTACGTGATCTGAAATGCTCGATGACAAAACCTTGAGCCGAATGATCCTTTTGACTTGCTCTCCTTGCAGGTTGGAGTCCTCCAGTCCACAGATTTTGTGGAGCTCGATCAGATTTATCAGTTCACAGCGTCATACTGCCCGGATCTGAAGAGCTGCTTCGACAAGCTGGACAAGAAAACTGTGACACTGTGTGTGAGACGGAAGGAGCTGACGAGGTCGCAGGTCTCTGCCCTCCTGCTCCCTCAGGTCGACGTCCTGACGGTGAGCCGTTTTGCTCTCCTGCCAGCCCTGCTGACACAAGCTTGCTATCTAGTACTTCATCGAGAACAAACTGGCGCAGTCCAACTGTGGGAATCCCTATAGAATCACCGGCTCCCCTGTTCTCCAGGACAAGTACTTCTCGGCAAGGTTCTGCTCGTATGGAAGGGTGAGATCCCAGCAAGACTTCACCTCGACTCATGTCAACTACCCAGGAAATCTTTGCGGCGACTTACCTGGTAAATGGTGTCAACTCGATCCTGGCGACATTGAGAGAAAATGGCTTCACCGACGAACTTGCCCAGGCAGTTATGAGCGCTGCCGAAGACACGTGAGTAGCTCTGAGTATGTCGACATGTGCTCATGACAAGTCACGTTGCTGCAGGTCGTCTGCTAGCTCCTGCAGCCCCCCCAACCCCTTCAACCTCTCCGTTATCATCCCGGCAGCCGCCATTCTCATCTTGTACTACACCATCATCTACTACATCAACTTCATAAGGAGGAAGATTCAGAAGCAAACCATGGATGCTCTGTTCAGGTTCGTCCTGTCTTCGAGGTTGTAATTCTCTGATGCGTGTGATTGCAGCAAGACGTCAAACAAGACATCAGCTCAGATTGCTCTCTACTACGGGAGAAAGTGGAAAGAGCTTGCGAGACACAAAGCAGAGATCCGAAGAGTAGGAGGTGTTGTCGAGTTTCGACGTTCATTGCTTTATATATGAGTTGGAGTCTGCAGGCGAGATTTTACCTCCTTCCGTCCCCAACGCCTATTCCCAAGACGATCGCCTACTCCACTTCCTCCGGCGAGCAAAGATTCTCACCTCCGGCCAGACAAGAGACTTGCAGAGGCTGCAGGATGAGATGAAATCTTTTGTCGCCTCGACAAGACGGACGTGTAAGATCGTCGTCTTTGCGATCCTCGTAAGCATCTTGGATTATTTCACCCTGACCTTGACGGGTTGTTTGCAGCTCCTGGTGTGTGCAGTTACCTCCGTGGTGTACTCTATTGTAATCGTATCGAAAACCCGACAAGTTTATGTCCAAGTTGGCTCGCAATGAGCTGATCTACAGCTAGAAGATCTCATCACCTCAGCCCGTCGGTTTTGCCATCTTCCATATTCTTTCGTCGACCTACCATGTAATGATAAATCCTCGCTCGCTCTGCGAATCCTCGCTCGTCCAGCTCTCGAGCTAGATCTTGAAATGCCTTGGCTTCTATCTTTGCAATCTCCTGCACGTCGGACGTCGAGGTCTTTGGCATGCTCTTACGATGAGAGCTGTCTTCCTTCCGGCGATGGCCGGGCAGGTTCGTGGCTGTGGAGGATGAGGAGTTGAATGTAGAGCCCGAAGGCTCTGAGTTGCCGCAGTATTCCTTCACTGGCCCCGAGTGATCTCTCACCCTCTTCTTGGCTTCTCCCAAGAATTTCAGCTTTTGGAAGGATCGATACCAATCCAACACCAGCTGTCGGCGAACGCAGGCCTGTAGGGTCTGTATCGTTTGGTCGTCGCTGTTGCTTACCACCGGGACATCATTGTCCAAGACGTGACTCGCTTGCCTGACCGAAGGGTCCAGCGCTTCCGCTGCAAACATGACCTTGGCGTGTATGCTCACCGATCTTCCCTGAGGATCCTTGACAAGTCTTCCCTCCCTCGTACGCAAAGAAAATGATTCGCAGATCGTTTGCCCGCGAGTTATGGGAACCATGACGTAACCGATGGCGTCTTTCCATCGAGATGTGTTGTCGTGCACACTAAATAACACCCCAACCTTGTCATCATCATCCAGATCTTCCTCGTCGACGTGTTCCACCTCATGCTCTCCTTCTTGTACTATCTTACATGCATAAGCCTTCCAGACATAGAATCTCTCCCACCACGATGGGTTGCAGTCATTGTACACTACCTCACTCGTAATCTGCGGCCTCAAGTCGTGAATGCGCAGGGCTGAACTCTTTTGTTTGTTTTCCTCCATCTCTGAACCTGCAAGATTGTGAAGAGAAATCCTACAAAACGAACTAGGCGTCCGTCCAACTTCTGGGGAGGACAAATTCTTTCCGAATCTCAACTCGATCTTCACACCTGAATCAAGATCAGCACACAAGATCGAGCAGACGGCAAAGAGATTACATGGAACTTGATGCGAAATGAGAGGTTTCACGACTGAAGTGTACGAAGACTGCAGGTTGCCCATGTTTGTGCTGATCTGCTCTGTGATGAAGTTGGGAGGATCTACATTCAGCAATGTGAAATGATGCGCCTTGTCGTTGTAGGCGCGCAAGCTTTCATCATAGCTGATGGAGCTGGCAAAAGATTGTTCGACAGAAGTCACGATGTTTTCATCCGATGTGATCCTAGGGACATACTGCGGAGACCATCGGCAGAACAAGGTGTCTGGGGAGTTGAAGCTGTAAAGACAGGTCAAGTCACGACCCCAGATGAGAGTGACATCCAAGAAGAAGCACGCACACAGAGAGTATTCAAGTTATCATGCATGAAGGAAAACACATCGTCCGCGTTCTCTCACCTTCTTGACTCAGCTCCCTTGATCTTGCGCGATTGAGGGGAAAGGAAGCCCGGTGCAGCCTCGTCGGGGGCTGTGAAGATATCTTCACATGTAAATGGCGACTTTGGCCAGTATGATTCTCCATCAGGTACGATTTTATCATGCATGATCCTCAGTGATCAGCCGCCGCTGCTTATCACAGTGTGCAAGACTTCCGAATCGAAGAAAATTCAAACTTGTTTCTCGGGTAAAGTGCCAGGACCAGTCCGGGTCATTTTCGCCTGCTCTAAGATCTGCATGTGCATCTGTCGTCTCTCGTTTCTATCAACTCTCCTTTTCTCCTCCTCCAACTCCTTTTCTCCTCCTCAGCATCCCTCGCAGCATCGCCGTGTGTCCCAGCTACAGTAGCGCCATACCGGCCCTAGTCTTGGCGCCTTGCCTGCCCGAACGCCAACACCGGTGCCATTTAGGAGGATACGAGGGGTAGTAGTGCGACCGGTACTTGGATAGCGAACAATCCGGTCAACGAGGGGTATGACTCACCCTACCCCAGGACTTCCACTTCAACGGGTGATCTCGAGATGGGGATCGTCCGATAGTATAAAGTACGGGTAGGTATTACAACGATCACAGGGGTACCTCAGTGTAGTATGTCAAAATGGGGGGTGCATTTGTACCTCGGGGGTGGACAGAAGTGGGGTGGGGTACGTTTACACTGGGTGACTCTTATTAGGAGTTTGGGAGGTGGGGTAGGGTAGAAGGAAAAAAGGGAAGGCAGAAGGCGCAACCGCGTGCAATGGTGATGCGGGTGTGCGTCACGGGAGCGGCAGGCCAGATCGGCTATGCTCTCCTCCCCCACATCTGCTCTGGGAGAACGTTCGGACCGTCTACGAAGATCATTCTCCACCTCCTGGACATCCCAAGAGCTCAACAGGTGAGCGCCAATGTTTGCAGAACGAGGCTAAGGAGAAAAGGAGGCTGGGAGACGGGAGGGGTGATTTTGTGGATTGAGTTGAGGATACACGAGATCTGGTGGCGATGGGAGAATGAAGTTAAGGCTACGAAGTGAGATGCATGGCAGGCGCTCATGGGTGTGAAGATGGAGCTTGAAGATTGCGGGTTTGACTTGCTAGAGGAAGTGGTGGTAACCTCCGATGCGAACGTGGCCTTCACTGGGATCGATGCCTGTATCATGCTCGGTGCATTTCCCCGTGGACCAGGGATGGAAAGAAAGGATCTCCTGGCAAAGAACTGCAACATCTTCAAGGAACAAGGCAGATTGTTGAACGAGGTTGCCTCAAAGAACGTCAAGGTGGTTGTGGTATGAAACGTCGTTCCTGAAACGGATGTGTTGCTGACATTATTTTTGCTGTCTTCAGGTCGGAAATCCTGCAAACACGAATGCACTTGTTGCCCAGCAGTGCGCTCCCTCCATTCCTAAGGAAAACTTCACGGCCCTGACCCGTCTGGACCATAACAGAGCACAGTCTCAGATTGCTATGAGGCTCAAGGTTCCAAGCTCTGCGGTAGAGAACTGCACCATCTGGGGGAATCACTCCTCCACTCAGTATCCCGACGTCTCCAACTCGGTCGTCGCGACTGCGCAAGGCAAACAGAAGGTTGGTGACGTGATCCAAAACCCCGGGTACCTCCACGGAGAGTTCATCAAGGTTGTGCAGCAGAGGGGAGCTGCGATCATCAACGCCCGCAAGCTGTCGTCTGCCATGTCTGCCGCAAAGGCGATCTCAGATCATATGCACGACTGGGTCGTGGGATCGAACGGCAAGACTGTCTCCATGGCGGTGCCCTCTGACGGGAGCTACGGGATCGAGAAAGGGTTGATCTACTCCTTTCCTGTCGTCTGCTCAGCGGGCAAGTACACCATCGTGCAGAACTTGAAGGTCGATCAGTTCTCGAGAAAGATGATGGATGAGACGATGAACGAGCTGAAGCAAGAGCGCGACACTGCCCTCGCTTTCCTCAACAAGGACGCCGACACCATTGCGCGGTCGAAGCTCTGAAGGGCTTGCTGCTGCTGCTGCTACTCTCCTCCCGTTGCTCTTCCTCGTTGTGAGCTCGCTGTGTAATACATCACATGACACTCTAGACTTCATCCTCCCCTCCTCCTCTTGCTGCCTCGTTCTGAAGTTCCTCCGGGAAAGCTTCTTCGCCCGGTGCTCTAGTATTATCCTCTGAAAGAAATTTCCTCTGAGGCGGTGCAAGGCATGGTCGGAGCATGGTGAGCCGGGAGAGCTGGAGACTGCAGGAGGGGGAAGGAGGTAGGGAGGAGGGGGAGAGTAAGACCAAAGACGGAAGGACGAGGTCAGGAATAAGCTACTCGAGCAAGAGAGGAAGGAAGGGTCAGGCCAGGGAGACAGGGATGAAGAACGTTGGGATCTGACTTCAAGTTCAGGTGGTTGTACTTGTCCTTGCCACTGAGGTGGATCATCGTTTGCTTCCTCCTGTGCATTTTCCTCATGATCCTGAGCTACGTGGCTGCCTTGATGGTCCTGGAGGGTAACGGGAGTCGCTCTGATCGACGAAGAATCGCGGGGAGGGGAGGCAGGAAAACGAAGAGGATGCCAGTCGAAGAGAACATGCTGGAAGAGCAATCCAAGAACTTCGAGGTACCTCTTAAGGGCTCGCTGTCGTGCTTCACTGCTCACCTTGACTGCCCAGAACTTGCAAGATTGGGATGATGTGCAGCAGCAGCTTGCTGCAGAGAAACGATACGCGTACAAGGAACAGGGGGAGAATGTTCGACCGTCCAGGGAGCTCCAAGTGAACAAGTCCAAGGTAACGATGCTGCGCATTGAAACAGTGTTTCCAACTCATTGCTTCATATTGCCCAGATTTCATGACAGAATATCTCACTATTTCTGTTACTACCTCCTAAAATTTCTGCTTCTCGCCTCCATCCTTCCATCGCTCCTTGCGTCTCCCTCTCTTTCCTCTTTGTCGCTGACTATCCCTGTCTCGCTCTTTCCATATCTTCCTACCTCCCGTGCAGTTAGGGAGGATGTACAGCGGTCACGAAGACCGAAAAGATACAAAGTAGGCTGTACAGATCCCTCAGTGAATACTAAGTTTACCAAAGAAGATGTAGCATCTTGTAAATGTAGGACTCGAAGAAAGAACCTCGTCCCTATGCATCCCCAGCTTGCACGCAAATCAATCGTAGCGGCTGAGAATGGTAACCCACGACACATCTACACACGCCGTCCACAAGGCCCTTAATCTCAGAGGGATCACGGAGTAGCAGATGATGTCCATCGGAAGCATCTGCGACACCATGACGAGAATCATGTCACCATTCTAGAGTTTCTCACCTTGAGCCCCTGTTGGAGCAACTCAACATGAACTTTCCAGTAGATCGCTTTCTTGAAAGCCGATGTAAATCCCTACAACATTCCTGGTAAGCTGCCAAGTTCCTTCTGCATTGATGATGACCTTAGCAAGATCGTGGTGCAAGTCCATGCCCAACCCTTCCCCAATGTATCCAAAGCCTATGCAGACTGTAAGGCTTTCCGATTTAGCAGTCTTTCTTACCAGGGCTGTCTGTCGCCAAATTCATGAGGAAGATGTAAGAGAAGTTCCAAAGGCAACCCCACACCACCTACAAGGATTCAAGTCAGGAAATCCAATGCTTCTGAAAAGAAGAAACCTGATCCAAGAAAACTTTACAAACGATGTTCGCTAGATTTGATTCAAAACATACAAGATAGTCTACAACCTGTAAGCAGTAAAAGTTAATATTGTAAAACTGCAAGAGAGATCATTACTTCAAAGAACATGTGCAGGAGCGGGCCGTTGGCAAACATTCCCACCAACGTGGAATGTAATACCTTCATTAGATTAGAATGAGTGTCTAGAAATCCTCGCCTAGCGTTACCGAGTAATGGAAGAAGGCGTCTAAGTATATGCCCCTCCCTAATTGAGGGTGGTAGAACAACCCACATGATATTGCCTAAATCCAAACATGAATTGTCTGGTCAAGTGGAATGACTTGGTGGAAACCTCTCCCAACATGTAGATCGTCCCGCTCATGAGACCCTGGAATTGAATGCACAGGGTGAGGCTAAACAGAGGGAGATCGAAATACTGTCTACCTTCTCCACGTATGGCCTTGCTATGTCACGCTTTCTCCTCCTTGGACCCTGAAAACCCTTCAGCATAGCGACACATCATTGATTTTCTCTAACAGGAGAAGCGAGAGGTCGTGTCGCCGCCTCCTGAGGCTCCATGTCGAGTATGCAATGCATCGCCTTCAGGCGCTGCGTCTCCAGGATTAGTCGATTCGTCGGCTAACATCCGCTACTCACTTGTCGTAGATGTCTGTTCTTGTGCTTAAGAGCCTGAAAGACAGAAGATAAGACTTGTTGCGAGCACAAGGACAAACCAGCACCTGAATCTCAGACCTCAGCACCTGGTTCGTTGCTCTTTCGTATTCCAACTTCTCCCGTAGAGTGTCGGGATGGAATTGCTGCTCTTCTTCGGTCTGTATTCTCGACCGAGTCCTTGATGCCCTAGCACAGCCGCTCACTCACATCACAGAAAGTTCCCGAATGCAACTTACGGGGGAGATAATGCTCGAGGAGAAGGCGAGGACCTCGGTGTCCTCTTCCGGGGAACTGGACTCTTCCCACGGGTTTTTCTTGGAGACATCAACACACTGCCTCCCCTTGCCATCTTGGAGGCAATCTTCTGGTACCAATAGACTGCCCAGCCCGGTATCCTATCTAGCTCATTCAACGTCACAGGAGTTCAACAGAGAGGGCCAAACACCAAAAATCGTGAAACCTCGCAAAATTCAACAATCAACGACCTGAATCATGATGATAGGAATCAACAGGAGTTGAACATGATGTAGGAAAGCATCACAACAACAGTGTAAGAGAATGACGATCTTTGCAGTAGAAATTTGTTTGAGGTAGACAGAGATAAACAAGGCTGTTCAAATCAGCGGAATCAAACTGGAGAAACAGGGGGAAAAATCGGGGACGTCAATAATACCAGCACCATGAAGTAAGTGGAAATGGGCATGGCATTGAGCGAAGTATAACTTGATGAGAGTGAGGGAGAGAGAGAGAGAGCCAGGGCGAGAAAGGAAAGGTGACAATAACGCTCAAATCGTGCCATCATTGCCATCGCAGGAGATGCAAAGGAGGCTCTGGAGGAAAAGGTTTGGGATTGGCAAGTCAGACACCTATGGAAAACCCCTGCTTTAACACCCCCCAACACCTATAGAAATAAATTCATCAGCGCCAATAGGTAATAGTCTATATGGTGTGTCCTCAGAAGGGTCAACCTCCTAGGAAAGGGGGCTGCTTGCCAACTTGTAATAGAATAAGGGGCCGATTGAACCGGGTCGAACGGCCATGCCAACAGAGTTTTCCTCAACTCTAACTTCTAACAATAATCCTTCCGATTTTATTGTCGGTTATCAATTTAACTTGCAGAAAACAATTGGTTCACGTGACATCTTCTTGTTGAAATTTATGACTCGTAGTAAAAGTTCATTTTTAGTACGACAGTTGGCAGTAAACATACCATTAGAAAATCAGTTTTTCTCCCACAAAATATTGTCCTCAGCTAATGGAGTGAGGCACTTGACCGAATTTTACTGTGATTTCTATTGTAATATATTTTGTTTTTTTGGGTTCTACTTTCTAGTCGTCGGACCAACAATACATAAACAATAAAAATATGCATCGAACAATAAATTTCACTGAATACCAGTACAAGCAATATGAGTTATTGTTTTATTATGTTTTAGAATAATGATTCTCGTAGAATGTTTATTTAGAGGGGTTTGCTGGCGGAGGAAAAAATTGCCTTAAAAGTGGTTTTAGACTTCAATAAGTATTTTCAAAGGTACTCCGATGACTTGTTGGAGAAATTCTCGTTGACTGTCACAAAACAGTCAAGAAATAATTATTTCAAAACACCCAAATATGAGACCGCTGAAATAATTAGAACATTATTGAAATAGTCCAACATGACTCACCAAATAATGAAAATAGACACCCATCTTGATATCACATATTGCCACGTGGAAAGGATCCCAAAAAGAAGTTTTTCAATGAATGACATTGTTTTTAAAAATAAAAGTAAATTGTATTTCATACATTTAATTACTTAAATTGAAAAGGCAAGCGGAGCAAACGAAGGATGGGGGAAAAGGTGAAGAAACAAACCCGCCTCACCAAATAACTATGAAAAGGAAAAGGCAGCAACACCTCTAACCCTACTTCAAAGTTGGCCGTCACGCCGCGCCGCTCCTCCCGGGCCGGCCGGGCCGGGCAGTCCGGCGAATCAGTGCGGCAGAAATCCGAAGTGGCCCAGATAGAAAGGAAGATGTTCCTCGACTTACAAGCGAGCTCGAGGTTGCAAGGTATCAGTGCTCTGATCTCACACGCCGCTTGAAGGTGATGGCGCAGGCACTGCCGGCGAGTCTGGCACCCGGCCCGGCCCCGCGGGCCGCCCGGCCCACTGCCGCAACTCAGTGCCGCGCCCGGCCTGGCCGCGGGCACTTGAGAATCAGTGATTTGAAACCAATTTGAAGCTTGCTCTGGGAGTGGAAAGCCTTTTTGCGCTGCCGATACTGCAGGGTCCTGGCCCCGGGCCCGGGTTGCCAGCCGCCGCGGCGCGCCGCAGCCGCGCCCGGCCCGGTACGACGGTCACCGTGCCAGGACTGCCGTAACTTAAAACCGGAGGCTGGGCACCAACGGGGGCACCAACAAAGGGACTGGTCAGATGGGGGACGGGGGACAGCCTGAACTGCGAGAAGAGGCATGAGCAACAATGGTGCGAGGAGAAGAAGGGGAAACTGGAGGGAGAGACATCGAAGATGTGTCAAGCAGGGAGATCAGAAGGAGAGGGACAGAAGGAGAGGATGGATTGCGGATAGGGGTTGGGGTGAAAGGAGGGGGAGCAAGGAGGGTGGTTCATAGAAATCGAAAACTTACCAAAATCTATGGACACAGGGTGGAACCATGAGCATGATGTCCACTCAAGCGTTGAGAAAGGCGTTGTTTGCTGGTGTGCTTCTACTCGGAGTCGCACTCGTAGGCATCAACCATTTGGGACAAAGGAGTTCGTCGCTTCTGGATGTTGATGCTCCTGGAGCAGTAGACACCAAGAACAACTGGCAGGTAACGAGGGTGGTTTATTTCTTCATCCTCTTTTGATCTTCAGAGCATGCTGGTTCATGTCTTTCAGACTAAATGTTCCATCCTTTTGTAGCAATGGTATAATGCTGGAGCTGGGTTTGACCCCGCAGCAAAACCGGTCACTACATGGCAGATCATTCGCTCGAACTACCCAAGAGAACCTTACTATGATCAAGGTCAAGACACGTGTGTGTATATTTTTCCTTGTGACGGCATCGATTTCTTTGTCTGTATGCGCAGATGCCAAAGACTTATACGAAATACACCCTGAATACTTCGAAACGGCGAAGCCATTGAGGGGTATGAGTGTGAAACAAAAGATTCCTGACAGGAACTTACATCGGCTGCAGACTATCGATACCAGCAGCGAGAATGGAATTAAATTTATTCGTTACTGGCGCCCGTTGGTGACACGTCAATCGCTCTGAATTTTGGAATTCTGAGCAGCTTGTAATCAGCCTGATCTGTAATATTGTCCTATATCATTTTGAACTTAAAGTACACAGTGTACCAGAGCAAATGCATAATGTTTGTTGCATATCTATGAGGGGAGCTTTGGGTATTCTCACGAAACCTTCAACATGGTTGGAATTTGTATATTCCCAGAAAAACGATTTCTGAAAGCCCATATTCTATCCTCTTGATCCATTGTGATGTCCTTCACAATCAATCGGAATGAATTATCTGAGAAACGAATGCGCAGCTCTCACATTGAAAGCAAAACTGCATCACAAGAAACAACAGTTTAATTCGTCCAAGTTTAATCCTCACAAGACCAAATTTACAATTCAAGGCTGCAGTGTGCAAGGTAGCCATAGCAAACGCGCGCAAACAGAGAAATCTGCAGTATGTGGTCTTGAGGATTAAAATAGGACCGCAAGCGGGGCTACCTTCTACAACAACATTACATGAAATGAGGAGGGTCGTTGAGGGCCTGTACTGCTAGCTGGTATTGAAGCTTCTCCATCTGCAGGCTCGACTTCCATCATATTTTCATCCTCCAATTCACTCGTTGTGATGTACCATGCAATCCACTTTGGATCAAGCGGAACGTGGCCTTCCACCTTATCCAGCCTAGTATCTTTAGCCTCGACGTTTTCCCTCACAAGTTGCCGTCCGCCATCAACCACAGCCGCCATGTCGCAACCTCCCCCAAGAACCCGATCTCGTGCATATGGCCATCTATCGATCCCGAGTCTTCGGCAGACAGACTTCAGTCCCGTCAACGACAGTCCCTGTAGAAGAGGATAAGGTCAGGCGTATGCGAGCACTTCTGCTAGTTGAGAGTTTTTACCAGTTTTTGTGCCGCATCAGCTTGACGAAGGTGAAACAAGCTTGCGACAGCATCTCTTGTGAAATGGAGCTGCCTTTCTTTTGGACGGGCTTCCTGGCCCATCTTTCGTCTGGGACGAATGACTGCTGTTGTCGTAGCTGTCGATGTTACGCAAGGAAGATCAGAGACGCAGTGAGACATGCTAAGAGGCGGAAGCAAGAGGTAGAGATGGTACTGAACGTGCTATAGAAGACGAGGGAGAGGATGCAGTGAAGTTCGAGTTGGTCGCCAGAGGAAGAGCGGGATGCGAGGATTTCTAGTGGGTTTCGCAGACCAGGGCAGGGAACCAAAATTGCAATGAGAGGGGTAGGATAACCTTCGGATTCGGGAAAGAGGGTTCATTCCGAGTAAAAGAAGTGGGTGGGGTCGTCAAACTTTGCCGACTCCGGCGACCTCTGATTTACTACACTACCCCTACTCTCTATGTTTCAGACCCCCCGATTGTCATCATTGATCAGTCATACAGGCATAAGGCGGGAGGTAGATGGAACTCCGGAGCTCCTGTGCCTGTAGTAAAAGTCGAAACTCCATTCGCAGGCGTCCTAACGGTTGACTGCTTGGTGGCTTCAATCCAAAAGGCGCGATATCGTGCGGCATCACAGATGTTTCCACGCGACCTTTCATCCGAAAAGCCAGGCAAGATAATTCCTAGTAAATTTCACGTATTGTACTGGAGTGATTCGATTAAATTTCAAAATTCTCTACAAGTTCCAAATTGAAACTACGTGACAACTTTTCAAACGCGATCCCCACCAACTGCTAGCTTTGTTGACAAGATTTTTCGGCTAGCAGCTCCTTCAGCTTCGCAATGGTAGCTTCCTGCGCCAGCAGCAACTTGTCCTTGTCTGCTCAAGCCGAACCGTGAGTCATGACCCACAGTCCGCCCAAGCTGGCGTCTCCTCACCTGCGATCTCCGACCGGAGCGAGGCGATCAAGGACGCGTTCGACTTGATCGTCTCGTCTCGTTCCTGGCATCAACTCAGAGGAGCTTCTCTCTTGCCAGCAGCTGATGACTGTGCTCACCTCAAGCAGCTGCGTCAGCTCCGATATCGTTCGATCAGCCAGCTCGAGAAGAGGAGGGAGCGAAGCTTGCTGTCCCATGGCTGACAGCTCCTCCAGGAGCATCTGAGCTGAGGGTCTGTCCTCAGGGTCCCTGTAGGCGTGCAGTTTCATCAGCCGCATCCTCATCAACTCCTCCCTCACTTGGCAAGGCACTTGACGGCAAGTCCGGCGATGATCGGATACTCTTCCGTCATTCCTTGATTGAGATGTCAGGCTGTCGCCTCTAGCTGCACTGACATCGGACCTTGAGGGAGCTTGCCTTCCCTGGCTGCAGTCAGCACGAGGATCCTCTCCATTCCAGACCCTGCAGCACAGCGGGTGACGAGGTGAGGCGGTTGGTAGCGATGGTACCGAAGATGCTGAACAGCTCAACGAGAAGAACCCCCAGGGAGTAGATGTCTGACTTCTCGTCGCATGACTCGCCTGCTAGTCGTCATTAACTCTCCTTCATCACACACGCGCTGCTCGCCTGAAATCTGTTCCGGAGCCGCATAGAGAGCCGTTCCTACCCCCCGAGTGTGCATTGAGCCCACGACTTTAGGACGGCTCTGATGAGTATACGAGTGAGATACAAGTAGGTAGGCAGGAAGGAGGCAGGCAGGCAGGCAGGCAGGCAGGCAGGCAGGCAGGCAGGCAGGCAGGCAGGCAGGCAGGCAAATCGTCAGGTTATACCATCGGCCATTCTGCTCCTTGCGAGCTGCTGTTTGGAGGAACTCCGGGAGCTGAAGGTGTGAAAACATTAGACACCTCTGAGGTACTGCGAGACAGGAAGAGACAAGCAGGAGAAACACTCTTGGCCAAGCCGAAGTCTGCGAGTTTGATCACGCCATCCTTTGAGATGAGGAGGTTGGCTGGCTGCAGGGGCGAGTGAATCCTGCGCATTCTTGTTTCGATGGTCCGCACCTTGAGATCTCGATGGCACAGCCCGAGTTCATGGATGTGCTTCAAACCTCGCAGGATGTGGATGAGAATCTTGAGGAATAGCAAGAGTCAGATGGGTGATCCTCTCCTTCTCGCACCTGACCTGCAAGTTTCGATCGACGACGATCTCGCGAGATGGCTCGTCCTGCACTCAGCCAATGACAAGAGGCAACTGCTAACGATCAAGTACAAGCCAATGTGAGAGTGTTCGATTGTGACAGAGCTCCATCTGAATGTAGAGAACAACATCTCTCTGAACCAGATCGGCCTGAATCTCAGCAACTTGATGAGGGAGTGTCAATTAACGCAGTTTGTCGAGTCAACTTGCAACTCAATGACTTGCCTGCCTTTCCCACGCAGCGATTCATCACGATATCATCATGCTCGATCTTCTCAATCACCAGCTGTGATGATGCCATTAATATCCAGCGAGACCATGCGATGCAATAACTGACCTCTAGCGTACGAGATATCAAGCTCTTAACGATCTTTCTTCGTTGATCAGCACTCATTTCATCCCACGCTTGGTTAGCGCTGAAGTAGGAGCTCCCGCTTGACCTCTGCGATCTGACTTCTGGATCTTGAACGTTCATCGCATCTGACGAGGATATTTCGTTTTGAGTTCGTGAGCTACATTGAGTGGCTATCAGTCACAATCATCTGCATTTTGAGCAAACAAGACCTATGAGTAAATGTATTCCAGCTGGAGTCGGACACAGGGCTAGCCCTGCGCTTTTGCTCTTTATCCACTTTGTTTCTGCTCAAGTGTGAGGAATCTTGGCCTCCTTCTCTTGCTGCGTCATTGTCCAGAAGCTCTTCGTCATCGTCCTCGTCCTCGTCACCCCCACTTCAAACAAAGTAAGTGTTCTGGAATCAGACCTCGGTTGCACCTCAATTGCGTGTTTTCGTCATCGGCATCCAATCCCGCGACATCCTTCAATGACAAGTCATCCACCATCTCCACATATTGAGGAGCAAGTCACTTTCTGGGGCCCTGATCTCTCGGTCTCAAGCTCAGCCCATGCTGCGTTGTACTGGACAAAGAGGCGTCGTCAGCTCATGTATCTTCCCTTCTCAAGTGGTCAACCTTGACGACGTTAGCATGCTGCTCGATGTGCGAGAGCGTTGAAACTTCTCTGAGCACTCCTCTTGCAAACTGAACCATCTTCTTCACTGACCCCTGCGAATCTCGTGACTGGACACGCTTGCTCGACACGGGGCTACCGCAAACTTGGATGCGCTGAGGTGAAGCTCCTTCACGCAGTAGTCATGCTCGTCAACTTGAGACACTCACGTCAATTTCACTCGCTGCCAGCAGGCGGGTCACTCACCCAGGTTATGGCATCGCCATGCAGACCCAAACCCTCCTCTACCCAGCAAGTCGTATCGGATGAATTCACAGTTGAACCGTCCTGCCAGCATGATTCAAAACAAGCGCACGGACGCACGGAAGCATAGGGAGCAAAGGTGATTGAGAGATCGTGACCGATGTTCTTGATGGCTGATGAGTTGAAGACTTCCATCTGAAAAGGCACAAGTCCGAATCACTCTGGGTCCCTCAGAGGACAATTCACATGCCTGTAGAAAATCCGACGAGTCTCCATCTATGATCGTATCCGACTGTTTGGTTCAAAGTACATCAGTTGCAGGATTGCAGCAAGAAAGACATACAAGATCCTCTTGAAGATCCAAAGCCTCATCCAGCGGACCATCCAGCTCGTCCATTTCCTCTGAGATTTGCCTTTGCTGATACAACCAGATTCATGAGCATTCAGGAAGAATTGCATCGCAATCATCGTGTCAGAATTGTCAGAATATCTCGTTATCGTGTTCAGAAAGGTTGAAGTACCAGGCTGGCATGCTTTGTCCATGATTCTGCTATGATGCCCTCGCCGCAGAGTTTCTCGCTGTCATGACCTCTCAATGCAAGCCAAACGACGCCTGCCGGCGTGGAGCTCACCAAACACTCTTCCTGACGGAGTTCGAGTGGCATGTTCGCTCTAGAAGCTCAAGAAACGAGGACGTGCGACGGTGTTCATCCTTGAGCAACATGAGCACCTCGTCGTCGGAGAATCCATCCAACCAGTCCTGCAACGAAGGGAAGTTTGTTCTTATTGAAGAGAAGAGCAAAGTCAGCAAATACCTTGACGATCTCTCTCTTCTCCACATTTGTACTTGCAGCATTGCCCTCGGTGCCTCGCTCTCCTTCCCCTCCTCCCTTCCTTCCCTCCATCCCTCACTCCCTTCTATCCTCCACCATGGCCATTGTCTCCCCGATTTTGCGACGAGGGCAGCAAACTAATAAGCTAGTCTCATAGCCTATGAGCTCATTATGGGCCGGGGGCAGCACTGGCTACTAGCCCTGCAGTGCTCCGATCACAGTTGACCGTCCGACGGACCGTCGGGCCAAGTCCTTCCAAGTTGGCGGCGCGGCGAGCCGCTGAGCCGGCACGCCCGGCCGGGTACTGGCTCGCCCGGGTTCGGACAGCACTGAACTGAGCAGGTCTCAATTGGGCGGGGGAAGTTTCAAGGTTTAGTTTTACAGAGTTAACTTGGCACGTTGTGGCGGCAATCAGTCACGACTGTGGCAGTGCGACAGACAAAGAGGTCCTGAATCCGCTCGAAAATCCAGTCCGTTGATCGAAAAATCTTAACGCCGCATCCTTTAGCCGCTGAGGCTACTACCGTTGAATCAGGCCGATCGACCGAAACTGTTACTATCAGGTAGTCTGACTCGTAAGATGCCAGGGCCAAAACTGATGCCCTCGTTCTCTCTGAATCAGCTGGTCTATCCTTTAATGACGGCGATCTTCCATGACAACTGTCAGTGTTTGCCCAATGAAGGCAAGATACTCTCACTGGTCTCAGCTTCACAACTTTGTTGGATATGCCTGCAGCCTGGCACGTATCCACCACCTGTGATACGAAGAAGTTACGGAGCAGAAGGCAGTGGAGGAGGAAGAGTAGATTTAACATGCAAGATGAGCGGGGGGCATTGCGACCTGTGTAACGTCCTTGTACGACTCAGGGGCTTCTTCCATGACCAACTTGGGAGAAGCGACGCGGATCGCAATCCCTTTGTCTTGTAGAACTTGCAGCACGTCCTGTTTGCTTCTTGTCAATCTTTCCGTTGACAGAAAAATTGACCTTGTAATCTAAATTGTTTCTGCTCTTGTTCCTTGAGAGCGCTCTCCCAGCTCCGTGGCAGGTGCTTCCGAAAGTTTCTTCCATTCCTGCGCTGACGAATCACAATAACGAGGGAGAAGGCAAAACAGCAAGAATCTGAATTTCCTTTCTCGGTTCCTGTCAGCACATAGCTGCAAGTTCCCATGCTGCCCCCTGCACCTCATGTCAACCTGGCACATGTTTATCTGCAGGACTGGGACGGACCGATGAGCACAGGCTGTCCTGTGAACTGATAATCGACCGGGATCAAGGGATGATGAGGAGGAAATGCACGCGTCGAGCCCTTACGATGAACAAGAAGTCTGAGAAGTAAGGTGAGGCATTAAGAAGGAAGAAAAGCAACCCATTTCACTTCTTGATATTGCCGTCCACCATGTGCTCTTCTACTTTTGCAATGTTGTGAGAAACGTCGTAGATGAGGTGCATGTCTAGATCGTCTGGTCGTGTGCACCATCTGATCAGTCTTTTTCCATCACGTCTCCACATGGCAACAAACCGGGGGTACTCTGAAAGACTTTTGCGAACGCCTGCAAACGACGTGAGGCATTAATCGAGACTTTCAGGTTGCAAGGGACCTGACGAACTAGAAACGTCATGGAAGAGCGATTGACCCAGGCGTAATTCGCTGCTGCTGCCTGCAACTGTGTGAGGCTCCCCGTGAACGAGCTCCTCCAGCACGCACCATGGCCGCCAGGTAGTCTTGCCCTTCTTGCGAGTCGATCCTTGCGCATGACAACTGACTGAGAGGAGCATCAACGTGCAGGAGCGCCATGTCATTCCTTACGATACATACCGATCATTGGTCCTGATATTGTCGCGATCCATCGCTTTGTCCATAGCAGTCAGAGCGTCTGTCGCAACCTGACACCAAGAGATCATCGGTCGTATGCGATATTTTTGTCGTCGCATGCACCTGATGGCCAAGACCTCTACTTCCTGAGTGAATCATCACTACTACCTGCCCCTTCTCTTCGATTCCCATCTGCGATGCCGCTCTTGCATCAAAAATCTCATCCACGACTTGGATTTCCGCATAGTGGTTCCCTGCTCCCAACGTACCAAGCTGCGGCAGTCCTCGCTTCTTTGCCCTAGAGGAGACTTTTCTCGGATCTGCCTGAAGCATTCTGCCATATTCTTCGCAATGTTCTTTATCCTCCGGCCAGGAGTATCCTTCCCTCAAGCTCCAGTCTATCCCCATCTCCAGAGCCTCCTCCAAATCGTTGCTGTTTGTAGGAATAATCCCCTGTGAACCAACCCCGACAGGGATGTGATCGAATACTGCCTGCGCAAGTTTCTCCTTGACAGGCTCGACGTCCTTCTCGAACAAGTTGGTTCTGATCAGCCTGACTCCGCAGTTGATATCGAACCCAACACCTCCAGGTGATACCACTGCCTCGGGATCGCTCATGTCGAACGCTGCAACATTACCAATCGCAAACCCGTAACCTGCATGCACATCTGGTAGAGCGATGGATTTGCCGACAATGCCAGGAAGTGCTGCAACATTGGCTAGCTGCTTCATGGCCGGAAGGAAGCCGCCCATCCCCGCTGCAGCGCCGGATGTCTTTGAAAACTGCTTCAGCTCGTCGAAGAGGAGCTCCTTGATCTGCTGGTTGACGTAGAAGACACCAGGGACTCTCATGTTGTCTACGAATCCTTTGTCGATCCTGTAGCATGTCCCGTCCACCTGCTTCACATACTTACACTCCTCCTCGTAAGTTCTCACTACCATGGCAGGACAGCGGGAATGTTTACATAGCCTGCCTCAGAACATAGCGGGCCCGGCCTGCCGAGTCGAGCAATCCTCAAAGTCAGTGTTTTGAGAAGAACAGTTCTAAAATTAAAAAGTAATGTCCTTTCAGTACAGATTAAAATATTTTAAGATATTGTCAAAGGACTGCATTTTTTGGTAGAAATGTAATGTATTCAAACAAGAAGAATGCTTTTTAAAAACCTCTCAATGCGGAAAAGTACGGGTGATAAAGAACGTAAAAGTACGGGTGATCAAATTATTTGACCCAATTTCAATATAAACGATGACAATTTTCTCCACTCCACCTGTACAGCAACAGCCACGTGGATGTGGGTAAGGCATCAAAAATGATTTAAATGTTTTAAAAAGTGTCTCCTTTGTGAAGATTTGTAATGAAATCTAAAAATGTTGATCTGATGATGGTGGAAATAAAAACATTGTATAATTTTTAAACAATACAAAATAATGTATCTATTACATAGATAAATAATAGTTATAAACTTAGTTTTAAATCCGAAGGGTCAACCCCGACGGCTGAACCGCAGCAGGTGACTCTCCATGGCAGCCGCAGACGTTTAGCACATAGCGCTTCGCCTACATCTTTCCCTCGATCTTTGTGGTCACTTTAGTTCCACTCTTGTTCAGTCGACATCCCCTTGACGCTCGATTCTTAGAGCCACCTTTGCTGTTTGCCTTGAGAAAAACACTTTTCAACAGTTAGCTGTGTGTGAATATCTGATGCTTTTCGTATGCAAAGAATGCTGGCCGCAAAACTGTGTTAATGTACTTTCTGTTTACTTCAAATGTTGTGATTATGTTTTCGTTCATTAGCACATTGTCTTGATTCTTGACAAGAATATGTTTGTGATTGCTGGATACGATTTGCAGTGTAACTCTCCTGATATTTTTCCTGCGCAGCTATGTTCGGAAAGAAGGTTTCTGGCCAATCTACCCAAAAGCTCTTCATGACCCCAGCGATCACCTCCGCGGTGACCCCCACTGGACGCTCTTTCCAGAGCATTCAGCAGGAGGTTGTTTCTCTCCTGTGCGATTGTTTCAGATCTAAGAAATTGTTTAGGTTAACCGCTCCGTGGGTTTGAGGGGAGTCAACAGCTCCGCCTTCGGTGAGCCTTTGTAAATGGGTGGATCAGTGAAGGAGATGTTCTTTGAATAAATCTAGACGACTCGATCTCTGAGTGGAAAAATATCATGTTCACTCAAGAAAGGAGCTTGTTATGACTATTATCAACTATTAGTTTCATCTTCTGGATTTCTGCACGTAGTGACATTCAGATATGTCAATTCAATCAGATAGGTAGGTACCTTGGCCAATTTAGAGCTAGCGGCTTTGGGTCTGGTCCGATGGATTAGATGTTACAGATCCAAACAATTTTGCTCACCGTTTCTTGCTTTCTGGCTCGTTTTTCTCTTCATCATCCAGCACCTAGAAGAAATATGAGCATCAACATGGCGACTTGCATGCCACTCTGTACGTCCGCCGCCTCCTCAGCTCCTGCAACGTTGATCAACTTGAAGGACACGAACAGTTCATTCATGGAAACCTTCAGTGATCGCAGAGCAAGCACATGTGATTCTTGCCCGAGTGCTTTCCTGATGATGGCAATCATGTTGTCCCCAAGGTTCAACTCTGACCTTTACCTTCCACAGAACCTTGTCGCTGTTCGACCATGAGTTCATCTGGATGTCTCCATCTGAGCATGCAGTGATCACACTGTTTGTCAGTGACTCAATCGAGATTGATCGAATCCTGCAAGTCCATTGACATCCTGTTTACGAAACATTGCATGTGCAAACCTGCTCGACATTTGGGGCAGTTGATTGACTGTCTTCCCGTTTCGCACATCCCACACACGGACAATCTTGTCTTCTCCACCAGTGAGCAGAGTGTTGGCCTGAAAACTAGTAAAAACAGACATCAATGAGGCACAGCTTACATCATAAAATGTTGCTGTTAAGGGTGTCCGACTATGCGCAAGATTTGAAGTCGGGGTATCAGACTAAAGCGGCAACAGTGAGTAATTTTTTCAAGCGTATTGACGACATGAGTACATTGGCGTCGTATATTTCCACAGAGTTTCCGATGATGGAGCAAAACCCCTCACTCTTGGGTATCCATCTAATACATTGAAACGAACCGTACCCTTTGGACTGCATGAAGATGTGATTAGCAAAGTTGTAAAGAGTGCTTGGTTACCTCTCTTTTCCTTGTGTGCAACAAAGAGCCTTTGACTAGATCCCACAACCTTTTATCGAATGAATCAAGCTTCGAATGGCAACAATATAAGAAGAGCTTGAACCTGATCGTGTTATCTCGCCCACAAGAGATCAAAACTTTTCCGCTGTCGTGTATGTCGTGGTCTATCACTCCGCCCCTATTGTAATGATTAGAGTAGAGCATTTGCAGCAATCATGGTTTACTTGTGTCCTCGTAGAGTAGACAGACACTCCCAGTCCTGCAGGTCACCTTGAGAAAGGAGCGCAGGGCAAATGAAAAGTCATTTTACCTTGCACCGCCAAATCAACATAGTCCCATCGTCTGACGAGCTCACCAGATTGAATGACCCGAAAAATTTGAGAGAAGTGATAGGACCTGCCAGGCTGAAGTCAGAGGTTGAGAAACATTCATGAGGACAGTTTTTACCCTGGTGTCTCATGAGGTTGCCTACCTCTACAAGTTTTCGAGTATTGAAAATTCTGTACAAGGGATCAACAAAAATGTTCCGAGGCCCACGCCACCTAGTACCTAATTTCTTCATCGTTCCCTCCTGATACCAAATATTTTCCGGAAATTGCTACTGCTTTAATGGGTCCAAGATGAGCAGGGTGGTTGAATACAGGTGTTGCCGCCTCATCGCCCTCTACCCTCCAGCCGCAACTAACAAAGCGTGAGCTCGCTTGTTGCAAAGCTTCATCAATTGTTTCACGTACAGCGTTCTCTCGTAGGTCCCTGCTACAATGAGAGCTTTTTGTTTATCTTTGGTATTCGACATCTGCACTCACAAACGTCAGATCTGTGTTGATAGTCTAGAAACAGTTCGAGTTCCAGCTTGGAAGCCAAGAGAAACAAAGCATCGCTGCCATACAAGACTATGTCTATCTCATCATCAGTCCTCACTGCAGTTCACCATACTTGCAACTTGATCCTCCTACATGCCGCTCATTCTTTCATATCTCCGTCCGGCCCTCCCATCGACCATCTTCCCGATCCATCTTCACGTGCGAAAATCGGCATTGCCCACTAGTCGCGGCCGGGCGGGCAGTGAACGGCCGGCCGGGAAACTTGTGATCGGGCCGGGCCGTACTTCACTCCGATGACGCGGGTCACCGGGTCAGGCTAGGCTACCCGGCGGCGGGTGTGACCGGCGGCGGAACTAGCCTATCTCAGGCCGGGGGCCAGCCTGATTGTGACTCAGCGGCGGGCGCTGCGGCTGCAGTGGCAATCATTCAAAGCCAGTGGCACGACCGTACGGTCAGACACGGTACGGTCCCGGAGTCCGATCCGAGGTTCAAGTAACTTATTCCGACTGAGTTCTGAGTACTAATGATCCTAATCACCGATCAGGCCGCCGCTTGCCCCGGCGGGAGTCCGATCACCGGCGGCGGTGGATTTTACTAAACTTGGTCAACTTAAAAGCAAGAACTTTTGAGTCCAACCGCGGCATGGAAGGCCCATGCCCAGGACCGGAGAGGAGGGAGGTGGAGCAAGAGGGGAACGCGGAAGAAAACAAGGAGGAAGATTATGATGCAGTTTCAAACCCAGTCAATCCTCCTGATGAGGTGTATCCTATTGCCTGGTTTTTGTCCGGCTAAATGGGGTGTGACGATACAGGAGGTTGATGTAGCGACCCGCGAACGATTCATACAACGAGCTCTATCTGAATCTGCTCGGCTGCGCAAAGAAACAGGCAAATCGTGAGCAGAGAACTGTTCCTCTTCCATGGTCTGATTCTCTTGCAGTGAACAAAAGCGTGACGAAGTGAGGTCTACCATGGAGGGCGGCGCAGCGCGGATGGCTGAACTAACGTCAGAACACAACGAAGAACATTTCTCATCATTCGCATGCGCAAATCCAGTGAGACGAAGACTTCTTGTCAGTCAGTATCACAAGTTTTGAATGAGATGGCAGGCGCCAGGAGCTGGTGCTGAGAATGCTTGAATCCGATACAAGCTACTGTGACTTTTGGGTTGAGCTCTGTCTAGCCTTGAACTTGATGAATTTTGTATGAATTTATTCTTAACTGGATGATGACTACTGATCTAATAAACTTGAAGAAAACTTAGTTTGGCAGCCTGCTGAGACATTCTGTTGCTGTTGGATTCGACTAGATGGTTACTGTACAGGAAAGCAAGACATGGTTGGTCCAACGTAGCAAATACGCAGGAAATATGCAAGAAACCCGATGAGATACGTGTCAAAGCATGACATGAGAATGTGAGGCGATGAAACAGGCTCATTCTTGTTGTATCCCAGAGCCTTTTCGTAGAATGCCAGACACCTTCTGATGATTGTACAGGAGCGACCCTGCCGTTGTGAAGACAAGCCCTCCAACGAATATCCAGCTGAATCTTGAAGCACCAAGCAGAGGGATGTTAAGACAAAATACAAGACTTGTGATTGGAACCAAAACTGTACCAATGACGAAAGTTCCCACTGCTCCGCCCCTCTTTGTAAGGGCAATCCCAGATAGATTCAGGCTCAAGTTTGCGATCATATACGCGAAGAATAGCCAGGGCATGCAGGAATGTGTTGCTCCACTGAAGGCAGCAAGACCTTTTTGGAAGTAAACCTGTGGAGGCAAGCTGGTCGCAATCGCTAGAGTCAAGGGGAGCAGCAGAAACGTGAATATGCACTGTGCCAACGAACCAAAGCAGCTGACGATGATGATGTCCAATTCACCCTCCTTGAGGCATTTCTCCTTGAGCGTGAAAGAAATAGCGGAGAATGCAGAGGAGAGAAGGTATAATCCTGAGTATGCCCAGAGCTCTATACGATGCTGCTGTGTGACAAGGGCTCCTGCTGGCAGCTGTGGGACAGTACAAGTGAGCACACCGATCAGAACCACGAAAACGCCGAGAAGCTGCAGCTTGTCAAAAGACTTCTTGAGAAGAAGACGAGCAAACAGCACAGACCACAGAATTCCTCCTTGGCCGATGACACTGATGAGACTGCCAGGGAGGCGAGCGGCGGAGTACAATGCAAGGAGAAAAGTCAAGGCTTCAAGTGCACCTATGATGGCGAAGATGTTCCAATTGTTTCTGGCGTATTGGATCATTGAGTCATTCACCTTTCCTATTGACTTCCGTTGAACCAACAAGATGCTGTAAGCAAGCACATAGCTGAGAGTTGCAAACTGGGAAATGAAGTAGGTGTACTCTTTCATGGGCACCAGTTGCACACGGTACAGAATCCTGTTGACAACTGCAGTGCATAAGAATATTGGAAACAAGACACTAGGATCTCTCGAAGACAAACGCGATTCTTGCGAGCTCATTGAAATTCTATTGCTCAAAACTTCACTCCTTTTCATCATTGCTAGGCCAGGTGACAACAAGGTGGCGGGACGCAGCTTCAAGGAAGAAGTGTGCAGGCGCAGATGAGATATAGAGAGCATAAAGCCTGTGACATAAGCAAAGTCTGTCGATAACAACGACATCACTATCAACAGCCCCTTGCTTGACTGCATTGCTCCCCCCCCCCCCGACCCAGAACTTTGTTACGGATCTGATACAAATTGGGATCCGAGGAGGCCGTGAAAATGGTGAGGGAAAAGAGGGGAGGAGGGAGGGAAGGAGGGAGGGAAGAACATTCCATGCAAGACAAGTTCAGTTGGAGCTTGTGGTCTCAGTCCTGATACGAGCGAGGCGAGCGGCGGTGTGTATACCTCATACATGACTCCTCGTCTCAGGGCAGACTGCTTTCGTTGGAGCTCGTTTTCCTTACAGAGCTTGCGCTCTGTCCTTTCTTGGTCAGCGGGAAAGGTATGGATCATGGTTCACGTGATCGTGATGTTTGACATCCCACACTGGTAGATCTCTTCGGATTTGTAACGGGAACAGGAAGATGTCTCGACCGCAGCGCCGCAAACGGGTGACAGATTTCAATTACTGTGAAGGCGAAAGAATGACTCCTTCCAGGCTCTACAACTCGAGGTGGATGTGCCCAGCGATTCAGATGATGGCAAAACCTTCGACATACTTCAGGTGACGATGTCTAACCACCATGATCGGTCAATGACACGCCTTCTCAGCCCGGCAAAGACAAACATCTTCCTGCGTATCACCAAGAAGCGAGATGATGGTTTCCATGAGCTGGCGTCAGTGTTCCAGGCTCTCAGCCTTGGAGATACTTTGAAAGTCTCAGTCTTGGAGGTGCCTGTCATGCCTACTTCCACGTCTGAGGTAGACCTCGGGTGACGTCTCGCCCAGGAGTCGGGGGGGAAAGATGTACTGCGGTGCAACGTGGACAGTGTTCCCCTGGACGAGTCGAACTTGATCGTGAAGGCATTTAACTTGTGAGGAACCACAGTCAGTGCAAGCTCTGCTCTGAGCTGCTCCGTGTGCAGGTTCAGGAGACGAACGGGTCAAAACAAGTTCTTTGACTGTGAGATCGACAAACGAACGCCCTTGGAAGGCGGTATGGGAGGGGGCAGCAGCAACTGCGCTACAGCATTATGGTGATGCCCCTTCCTTCAGTCTTGTTCTTAGCATGAAACCAGGGCTGCAAACGAGCTGTGCGGCAGTCCGGCTTCAACAAACCAGCTCATCGAATGGGGAGGCGAGCTCGGGAGGTATACGTTTCAAACTCCTTACAGGTTATCAATAACTCCTTGGAAGCGACGTGGGATTTTTCCTTTCAGAAGGCACAGCCTACTGCACTGGACGCGGAGAGATTGTGGAGAACGTCTCGCCTCCTCTTCAAACGCCTCAAGGAGCTTTCTGGGTCGTCAAACCCCAAGAGGTTACCTCGTGGTGGATGGTATGATCGCTAGCAGCTGAGATTGCTTCAGGGTTGCCCCACTCCCCTGGTCTATAAGACTCTGGGATTGAAGCCTGGAGAAGCTCTTAATGGTCCAGACCCAGTCGCACTGCGGTAGAGTGATGTAGATTACGGTCGCACTTTCCACTTACATGCTCCCATGGAACCACAGCGAGCGACTCGTCAGGGAAGGGCTCAGTCAGGAGGTTTGTGTCAACGATCTTGAGCCACCCGCACAAAAGGTCGTAGGACCAATCGAATTTCCGAACGCGAGTGACGCTCACAGCAGATCCTCCCCAAGCTGAGTCAGATAAAGGATGCACTGAAGAAAGACGGTTTCCACACTGTCTTGTTATCTGGCAGCGGGGCGACGACTTATGCCTTGCACTCGGTATGTAGCTGCTGTTGAGGATTTTTGATCCTTGATACCTGACTTTCTGTCCATCTCAATCTCTTGCAGGACCCAAAAGCAGATCCAAGAAAATCTCTGGAGGCCGCGGGATTGTGGGACAATGCGATGTTCGTCGCAGGGCCCTTGAAGTTTGTCAGCAGGACAAAATCAGAATGGTACCAACTGTGAGCTCAAAATTATTCATGGACGAATCAAGTTCTTGACATGCACTCTATTGAATTATCACCATGAAAAAAAACAGAATGAGATTAGCAAAAATATCTATGTAAACAACTTTGAAAACTAACTGAGCAACCAGAGATAACATGAATGTCTTTGGGGTAACAAATCCACAATGGAAAAATAGTGACAATTTTCTGCCGGTCTTCACGCTCCCACAAATCCAATCGGAACAATTCGATTCGTACAATCTTGCAATGGTGAAAGGCGAGAATTTCGTATATTGTTTGAGAAGCCTTAAACCAAAGTATCAGGCAAGAAAGAAGGCAAAGACAAAGGAATGCAGAGAGGTGAGAGTCATCACCATCAGACTGGTTGTTTGAATTGTTCACTGGTGATCTCTTCAAATTCACATATACGATGTCTTCGGAGCCCTGGTTCTCAATAGTGACAATCCTGCGCTCTCCTCCATCTCCTTGACCTGTAGAGAAAAGCCGAGCCTGACAGAGGTCCCTTCACGACCGACGACTAGTTTCTGAACGAATTCAGGTGACTTGCACCAAACATCCAGGTCGTTCACTCTGTGAAGAATGCTGGACAAAACATCAGCTCACAGCAAGCATCAGCTCCAGCACTCACTCTCCCCTCTGAATCAGCCCACACTCGTCCGCTGGTCCACCTGGAATGACAGAAGCCACTTCCAGCGCACCCTCAATATCAACAGCAAACACGATCCCCACCCCACACAACCTGCAGACTCCATGAGAGATCGGTATGCTGGGGTCGGGCGCCCAATCTTACCTTGCAGAAGGAACGGCTATCATGGGCGGTTGGCATCCCTGCTGCGTTAGGACAACATTTTGGCTGTTTGCATTTGAGTTTCCACCGCAGCACCGAGAATCGCAGCACGCCAAAACGTTTTCCATCTGCAGCGCATAGGAGGGTCAGCAAGGAATAATTCTCCTCTCTCTCTCTCCTCTCCTCTCCTCTCCTCTCCTCTCCTCTCCTCTCCTATTCGGCATCATCTTCATGTTGAAACTTTCATCCCTGGAAGGCATTTTCGAATCATCTGACCCGCCTCTCAAAGTGTTTTACAGCCCAAAAAAAACTTTTCCTGCTTAAAACAAAAAGTCAAACCCGGGTGCGTTGTGAAACCTGTGATCTTGGGCAGGAAAGAGAAGGCGAGGGCGATTGAGCGGGAGTAAAGGCAATGGCGGGGAGGTTGATATGGCTGATGCTGATCCTGGTCACGTGCTTGGAAGGCAGTGAAGACATGACTACTTCTGGCTTCACAAGCTTCGTGCACTCTTCCTCTGATTGCTCCATGGCCAGTGTCGTACGAATGAGCTCCTTCCTTCGTTCTCGATGCTATCAGTCGAGGGAGGCAAGATGGCTACTCGAGACATGTCAGCAGGGAGTGGTGATACGACGATTCTGCAACGAGTCGTGCAAGTCATGTGAAACCGAGCAAACTGTCATCAGTTCGTGTACGCCTACCCAGGAAGGGTACTTCTCTTCTGCTAGCTGCCAATCCACTTGGACCGCGAGACCGGACACCAACTTCTACGTACGGAAGACTTTCTTGAATGATGCAAAGAATTTGAGTGAGTCGTGCTCTTCGACGCCAATCTCTGTACTGTATCAGAAGGAACAAGAATGTATCCCTGACTCAAGTGGCTATTATACGGTTTACCGCATGTGCCGCAACCAGGCATACTTACTGCAGCAGTGTCAGGATTCAAGATGTAATTTCTGCTTGGATGTCTTCTCAAGAATTTTAGAAGTCTGCGAGTTATCCAGTGCCAACTATTCTACGATACATTCGAAGGCAGGGCAAGGCCAGACAATCATGTCAAGTAACAACATTTCGATTGCGGAAATGCCTTGCATGGGTTTTGTGAGCGACGTTTTGGTCCCTCAGCCAGCTATTTCCCTGTCTGGTAGTAACAGCAAGACCAGCATGGGAATCGCTGACGTTGCCATTAATTTGGAATCGGTAGGAAACCAATCAGAATCTGTCACCTTGCAAGGGAATCTCATGGCAAAGACAAGGTGCGGAGTCCTTTATTACACGGACTTGCGCATTGACCGTATTGGGACATATCTTTTGAAAGTCGAAATAGCGTTCTATCCTTCTCAAAGCACATTGAAGGACATAAGGCTTACCTCTCAAACGTTCCATGTTTCATACGGCAAACCTCAGAGTATTGTGATAAAGAGCCCAGCCAGAGGTTTGAGGATTGGCTATCCATTCAAACTTCAACCTGTAGTACATGTAGTAGATGTTGGACAAAATCTTGTACTGAATGCTGCCCTTGAAGTTACGGCAGTTTGCTTTCCAAGAGATGTTTGCAGGCTCGGATCGTGGTTCTCAAATGGGACATTAACTCAGATCTATCAAGACGTTTTGAGATTCCGACTGATACAGGGATCATCCGCGTTTCAAAACTCAAACTTGGGAATATACACAGCTGATAGATCAGCAAACATGCTTTTTACGTCATACCCGTTAGCGACGGCACAAATGCGAATGGTCTTGGGATATAATCCGTACAGAATCAATATGGTGAAAGCTTTGCCTTTCCCCTTGTATGCTGGCATTCCCATTCAGCTCCTGATTCAACTGTCAGCTAGGTATGATGAGCCGTTCGGTTGGTTTGATCGCCGTCCGGCTGTTGTCCAGGCAACACTCTTCAGAATCAAGTTCACAACTCACACAGAAGCGCCTTTCGAAGGCAACAAGAACGCAACAGTCGATTATGATGGCCTTGCCTCCAACGAAGTGTCACTAATGGAGGTAGACTACGTGTATTACTTCCGCTTTACTCTTGCTTTCAACCTGGATGGAATAGATATCTCACTTCCAACTGTCCTCACGGGGACTTTTAACGTTCTTCCTGGTCCAGCATATGCGATTTCTCCTTCAAACTTTATCCCACCACGGGTCTCGAAGGCGGGTATTGCAATGGCTCCTCAACCGACATTCATCTTAGTGGACAAATATGGCAACCAGAACAAATCATGGCCTCCTCCTGTTGTGGCGTATGCAGAAATATTAAATCAGTCAGCTTTCAATCCTTTGAGAGATGGAGATACGTTGCTCTTTGGAAACAGCAGGATCAGTTTCGTCGCTGGAGTTGCTTCCTTCACAGACTTGTTGTTCAAGAGAATCGGTAATTTTCGCCTCATCTTTGCGTCTCAAAACCTCTTGGGCTTCAACTTTACGCTGGAGGTGATGTATGGAGATCCCTCATCGCTCCTCCTCTTCCAGGAGCCTAGTGGACTTCTATACTCCAAGGAGTTCGATGTTCCGCCGATTGTTCACGTTGTCGATACCGGCAACAATGTGGTGGACAATCAGATTTTTACTATCACTGCAGAGCTCATCACCAATGGAACTTCCTTCTACTTCTGGCTACAACCGCAGATCTCTTGGATCCTCCAGAACCTTGAATTCCAGCCTCTAGTCGACAACAACGATCTGACGTATTATGAGCCTGCCTTGTTCTCGACGTGGGACCTTAAGTTCAATCTGGGGGCTCTTTATCACATCCGAAAGGTGATGATCAAGTACATGCTGACGGCAAACGGTCGGGATATCACTTTGACGAGCGTCCAACTGCTTTCAAACGATGGTACTGCCCCCGTTGCCATTTCAACCTTGTCAAACTCGCCTACGTTGATGGATCAGAAATCGAACGTTTCGGCCGTTTCCATCTTCACCATCGGCACAGGCTCTCCGGCGGTCCAAAAGGTCATTGTGCGAGTGCTGGGTACCAGCTCGGGCAGTGCGCCGAGAGTATCAGGGATCAATTTCTTTGCTGGATCAGTGCCGACTTTGACGACGACGACTGGATTTCTCTTGCGGAACACAACGATGGGAAGGCTACAGTTCTCAGGTCTGATGATAGAGGCCCAGCACAAGGGGTTCTTTGATCCCCAAAGTCTCGAGGACTCGAATGTTTCTCTAGCTCAGCCTTGCAAGATGTCCCTGAGATTTTCCGTTATGAGTGCAACACAATCCATACGATCCGTCACTTCCCGATGGTTTCAGATGTCCCACGGGCCTGTAGAGATAAGGCCCCTCACTTATCCTACAAGCCTTGCCTTCAATGAGACGATGACCCCTTCTCTTGTTGTCGAGCTGCTGGATCAGTACGGGGTCGTTGCCACGTCCGGAAGTTACGCAATCAGTGCCGTTCTCATCCGCCAGTCTCGAGAACAAGCAGTGGAGGTCAACAGGTTTGACAACGTGTCTGTCAACGGAAAAGCTTCCTTCCGCATCACGTCACTAGCTGCTGGTAACTTCATCATCCGCGTGACATGTGGGTGGATCGTGTCTGACGTCGGTCAGTTGGTTGTCTCGCCCGGTCTTGCTTCAAACCTCCTCCTTGTTCAAGAGCCGCTAGACTGGGTCGCCGGCTATCCTCTCAACTCCCAACCCCTTCTACAAGTTGTGGATGCAGCCAACAATCTCGTTGAAGACGACTTCTACACAACTGTCTCTGCAAATCTGTATATGAATGGTACCAGTATCTCAGATGGAGATTTTCCTTACCTTACCAAATCTATTCAAGGCATTGCAAAGTTTTCAAACATCAAAATCAACATTGCTGCTGACAACCTAGTCATAGCTTTTGGAATTAACAATTCCAAAGTACTCATTGCCTTCTCCAAACCTTTTCAGATTCGCAAGGGAAATGCTCAACAACTCCTATTGCGTCGTATGATCGGTCGATGCGTAGCCCAACAAAAATGTCTAGAGCAGCCGATAGTGGATGTCAGTGACGCAGGTGGGAATAAGATTCAAACGTCGGGAAACTTGAGAGTCACAGTCTTTTCATCTTCAAATGTTGACGTCACGTCCGATGTTCTCCCCAGAACCAATCTGTTTCCCTTCTTCGCCGGAAGTCTCGAATTCTCAGATCTGATGTTTTCCAAGAACGGGACCTTTGCGCTAAGCTTTTTGGCAGTTGAGCTCGAGCTGGGGATTACGAGCGACTTCTTCGACGTCACCATGGACGCGTCTAGCCTCGAGGTCATCGTTCAACCCTCATCATTCCTACTGTCTGGCGAGGCAGGAGTAGCCCTTGTCCAACAGCCCCAGCTCGCCATGTTGGACGAGGCAAGGAAGGTCGTCAGCACCAACGCCTTACTGCAAGCGATTGTCTATGAGAACAATGAAACTCAAGGAGTCAGTCGCTTCTTCCCTTCATCTCAGGACGGCATCTTTCGCTTCACAGACCTTGTAGTGTACAAGGCGAGCAAGTGCGTTCTGATCAAGTTCGTCGCTATGGGGTTACCTCAGTCGGTTTCAATGGAGGCTCTTTCACTACCTTTCGAGATCCGATACGGTCAATCAAGTCGGTTGCAGGTCCTGCAACAGCCAGCAAGATGCTCAGTGGGAGCTGAGTGCCAAGTTCCCCCGAAAGTTGCCGTCATGGACAAGTTTGCGAACCTCATCGAGTCGAGCGATTCGATCGTGGTGACAGCTTCAGTGATCAGCGCTGAGAACGACAACCTCATCGACCTTCTTGCTGACTTCACTCAGAGCGGAGTTGTCTTTTTCTCTCGTCTGGTACTTACGATAGCAGGGGAATGCTTGTTCCTGCGATTCAGTAGCTTTCCACTCGCGTCCGCTGACTCAGATCATTTCCTTGTGAAACCTGCGGCCCCTTCCTCCCTCCTCCTTGTCCAACAGCCAGCTGCTCCTGCACCAGGGGAGCCGCTAGGGACTCAACCTAGAGTAGCATTGAAGGACAAGTTTGGGAATCTATGCGTGGATGCGCAAGTCAAAGTGACTGCGACCATCGATCACTCGTCCAGAAGCATCTCGATCAAGGGGCAAGAGACTGCTGGCTTTCAAGACGGATACGCAGCTTTTACTGACTTGCGAGTTGACACCGCCGGAAGTTTTCGACTGAATTTCACGGTGGATGAGGACGAGGCCATTTCCGTCGCTTCAAACCTGTTGACTCTCACTCCCTCCACCGCATGGGACATTAGCATGCTCAGACAACCTGACGGAATCATGTCCATGGCAAGGCTGCAGAGGAGTCCTGCCGTGGCCATTCGAGACAAAGGAGGAAACCTGGTAGCATTGTCAGGAGTTCCGATAACAGTCGCACTGAGATCGACACTTGTATCATTGTCACTTTCAAATCGAACAGTTCTTACTGAGGCTGGTGTGGCTGTGTTCACTGATATAGTGATCATGGGGAAGGAGAAACATGTCTCGCTATCCTTCACCACTCAGAAGGGATTGTTAGACTCTTCATGGGCGTATGATGAGATTGTTTCCGTCTTCTCAGATCAGTTCGACGTGGCTGGTGCTCCTTACAATCTCTCTGTGGAGATGAATGTAGAGAGGTATGTGAGAGCAGGAGCACCGTTTGTGAGGCAGCCAGTCATCAGAGTCATCGACACAAACAATCTCACAGCTTCTTGGTGTCCATTTCAAACTTGTTCTGTCAATGCTTCCTTGACATGCAAGCTTCCTGAGTCCTGTCCGGTATTGCAGGGCACAACCCAAGTGGTTGTTGTGAAGGGACTGGCGATCTTCACGGACTTGTCTTTGCTCAACACAAACAATGGACAAACATTCAGGATCATGTTCACTTTGAATGAGACGATTTCCGCTCTCTCGTCAAATTTCACCGTATTGCCTTCAGATCCACATCGAATCTCTGTAGAGTCCATGCCTTCACAGAATGACATTCTATCGGGAATTTCCTTCAAAGTTCAGCCTCGACTTTCACTTGTAGATTCATATAATAACCTCGTTCCTGTCTCAACCTGGATGTCGTGTAAGCTCCTACAAGCAGGGACAGCTCGGTCACAGTTTCTGATCTATGGGAATTCGAACATCTCGGTTGTCAATGGATATGCTCAGTTCACTGACTTGTACTGCAAGGCTGCGGGAGACGGATTTACCCTGCTGTTCTCGACTCCTCTCCTTGAGCCTGTACAATCAGGTGTGTTCAGAGTGACTGCTGCTTCAGAGCCAAGCTCCCTCGCCTTCCTGCAGTCAGCTCAAGGGTTCCGATCCTCCGCTCCCTTCCGCATCCAACCGTCCTTGACGGCCGTTGACGCGGGAGGGAACCTGGTGCCGGTGAATGAAGGGAGGGTAACGGCTCAGTTGCTCTTAACTCAACCCGCTGCGGATGTGACACTTGTGGGCACCAGCTCAGCAACTTTCTTGAAAGGAGTCGCTGCATTCACAGACTTGGCGGTAAGTTCTGCCTCGAGTGTGGTGAAAGCACAACTTCTGTTTGCCTCCAGCAATTACGATGCACAACTCAAGTCTGACTACTTCAATGTTTCCGACTCGGCTGGAGCCCGTAGCCTGACTTTAGTGCAACTCGTCTCAAATGAAAATCTTGCCAATGCAAGTTTTGCTATCCAGCCCAAGGTTGCCAGTATGGACATCAACGATGTTATCGTAGACGTGGAGAACACCATCCCTGTCAATGTCTCGATACTTTCATCACAAAGCTGTTGTGGATACGTAGGTTACGACTACGCGGATGCAAAGATCTATGGAACAACCTCAATTCTACTTGAAAAGGGAATTGGAACATACACGGACTTGAGAATCGACAAGGTTGGAAGACATTTACTGCAGTTTTTTTGCAGGCTACGTGATGGCTCGATAGTTCAAAGGACACAGTGGATATACATCCTGATCAACACACCCTCGCGCATTGATCTCTATCAGATCACTGCAGCCGCGAGCACTGGAGAGCCTTTGTCAATTCAGCCGGCAGTGATTGTGGTGGATGCAGGAGGCAATCGAATCCGGGATCAGCGACAAGAAGCCTCGGTAGCTACAGTGACAGCAGCGCTCTTCATGCCCGACATCTGCCGGTCGATGCCTCAATGCTGCAGCACCAGCGCCAGCACTTGCATCAGTCTTCAGCTCAACGGCTTGCTGGGGCAGACAGTCCAACAGTTCGATCAAGGTGCGGTGAGGTTCACAGACCTTCACATCGACAACCCGGGCCTGTGGTCCATCGTCTTCATCACCGATGGGATCTTGCCTGCAGTTGTCGCCATCACAGTCCAACAGGTCAAACTCTGAGGTGTCTCTTGTTGCTCTGAACGCCTGGCAGGGATCTGCTGTTCAGCTCATCGTTTCTTCTCAACCGATTTCAGTTGCGGCAGGCAAGACGTTCTCGTGCGCTGCAGGTGGACATTGAGGAGGTTGTGAAGATGTTGACAGCAAGAAGGTGTCGCCGATGCCGGAGGAAATATTATCAAAACTCTTAGCGGGAATTCATACCCAGTGAGAATCAATCTGAACTCAAGCAACCAAGCGTTGATGGAGACACAAGACATCGGTACTTCAATCTTGCAAGAGGAAAGAAAAACGATTGACTCTGCGATGTAGCTTTACCAGTAGCAGGTGTCGCCACCTTCTCCCAAGTCAGAATCTGGACTGTTGGGTCTTGTTATCGGATTGTTTGGTCTTGTGATGGATTGAAAGAAGCAGTTTCCGACATCTTTTCAGGTTTCGAATCTTTGAATTCATCGAGATCTTTCCTCATATTTGTAACAGTTTATCCTGGCATACCATATGGTTTAAAATTCCTGCAAGAACCGCTGCCTTGCTCGCTCCAGGGATTTGTTGCAGGAACAACAGTATGCAAGCAGGTAGACCTACTTCAACTTAACAAACTCCTTTCATAGTGACATTGTTAGCCAATCTTGCATATTGTGGACGAGGGAGGGAACAACGTCATTTCATCATCATCTTACTTCCATGTTTCATTGTCGGATTCCAAAGGCAAGGATGTCACCGCAGCCTTATCAGGGAATCTCATGGTAGCTGCCGCTACTTGCTGTTTCATCCTCATGATTTCTGCAGGTGGAGTACGTCAACGGGCAAGCGTCTTTCAAGGATTTGCGTGTTATGTCTGTTGGAACATTCTATTTCAACTTTTTCACTACCAACGGAGCTGGGTTTCAAATGTCCTCCACAGCTTTCTCGGTATTGCGGCGTGAATAATTCGGTCAAGCGGGGATGATGCATAATACTGAGCAGGTAATCACTGGATTGGCAAAAGCTCTACTTGTCATCGTTCAACCCAATTTGGGTTCACCTGGCTATCCGTTTTCTCAACAGCCTGAGGTTGCTGTTATTGGATCATTGATTTTCAAATGGAGTCATACTCTCTATAAACAGATTCAAGTAGTTGATGACGGCTACAACGTGGTTGCAAACTGGACAGATCACATAAGAGCTGAGTTACTCAAAGGAAGCAAAACGTCATTTCTCATGGTATCATGTCGTTGAAAAGTACCTGTGTATGAATGATCTTGTCAAAGTTCTTCAACAGCAGCAGACCCGATTGTCGAGTCGATGTTGACGGCCAACTTTGCGAGAAGCAGCCAGGCGAGGTTTTGACTGCAGAGGTGAATATGCATCACGACCAACCACTTGAAAGACATTGAAAATCTCTCAGGTCAAAGATGGCCATGCTTCCTTTGCAGGGCTACGCATCGATAGAGCAGGGCAAGACTACACCATTCGCTTCTCAAGTCTGAACCTCAAGTCTGTCGATTCCTTGCCTGTTATTATCACCACAGGTCTGCTTGGAAGTGAAGGGATAGTTTGATGCTCAAAGCTTGTCAATCAGGCCGTCCGTCAAGGTTAGCTATTCTCATCGAACCCTACGGGGCGATGGCAGGAGAGTACATCTACTCGAGGCCATCTGTACTGGTAATTCGATTCTATCGAGTGATCGTTAATTTCATTCAGCTATTTGAATTAGGTCGTGGACGAGGGGGGAAATCGAATTTGGAACATAAGTTATTCTGCCACTTCTGAATTTTTAAGGCCAAGGAAAGATACTCTAGTCAAGGTCGAAGTTTTCAAGCAAAACGCGAATCTGATCGAAAAAGTAATTTTACTTGATTGTTATTTTTCTTCAACGAATGTGTAATCTTTGCTTAGTCAGAAGCTTCAAACTCCAGCATTTTGGTTGCATCAGTTCAAAGCGGACTGGCTGAGTTCACACGAATTCAAATCAACACGTACAATCAATTTTCCACTTTATTACATCTACCTAATATCAATCCTTTTGACTAGCCCAGGAAATTTTTATTTCCTCCGATTTTCGTCGGCAGACTTGCAGATGGCAGAATCAAGGAGGTTTTCTGTCACCAGTATTGCGCAAAAGCTCTACCTGCAATTTACCAATGGAACTTTTTTCATCGACAAAGCAATTTATCCTCCCCCCATCGTCTTCATACATGATTCTGATGCGAGAGTAAGAGAAGGGTGGCAAGCGATCTGAACTAACCAGACATCAATGCGCAGGTCGTTGAACGAGCCAACGATGTCATCGTTCAACTGGCGATTATCTATGACGGCTATGGGGCTTCTGAGATAATGGTATAAGGGACTCTGGACGACTTGACGTAATCTTATCGCCTTGGATTAGGAGTTGTCGTCAAAGAGTTCAATCACAAGGAATGGGATAGCAGTCTTCACAGATATAGTCTTTTCACAGCCTAGAATGACATACAAGATCCGTTTCACGGCTCCGTCCCTCTTCTCTGCAGACAGCGAGACCTTCGAAGGTACTTTGGAACCCTTTCAGAGACTTGCTGAATGCTCCTGCAGTTTTAGGACCGACTAAGATCAAGGTGATCTGGTCGAATGATCTTGTTATCAAATCTGGGGTGATGTCTCATGCACTATAGCGAGATTGCTGAACGTGTCAACGATTTTAGGTTGCTTTCAGCGTTCAACCCCAAGTTGTATTTCTTGACTCGCATAACAACTCTATCCCAACGCATCAAACTGCAAAGGTGTTTGTTCTTTATGAATGTCAGGCGGGCAGGGTGATTGATGTTGCAAGGTACTTGCTGAGATCAAAATCGGTAGCGGTTCAAGAAATGGAATGATTTTTGGAAATAAGTTTGCTGTTGTGCAATCGTATGCCGAGAATAATCTTCCAAAGTTGTATACTTTCACTGATTTAGGGATAGCCGGCCCGTTCCAAGGTTACATTATCAATTTTTCTTGTGAAAGCTTTGCTTGGTCGGTGGAATCTGCAGACAGCGCAACTTTTGATGTTGTGTAATAAATGATAAAAGAATCATAATGACATGATCTCATGTGACAAATCCACCACAAAATTCAAAACACCTTTGTTCACACCAAATCGTCTTCAATTCTCTATTCAGGCTCTTAAACGGAACAGGCAAAGGTGAGACTGGACATGTTGATATGCAGCAAAGATAGCACTCTTGATAGTCGAGGATAACATTGCTGATCGCACATATCTGCAAATATGTTGTCACCTGGGAGGATGCTGCTGCATTGCTTAACTGATTCAACAGAGTAGGGTCTGATGTGACGATATTGCTTGAATTTGCTGAATTCAAAAAGCTGCCTCCAGCCTGAGGCTGATTTTGAAGGATATTGATGAACTGTTGGATGACAGCAGCTGGGGAAGCAAGCGTCGTCGTTGGTGACCCCCATGATATCTCGTAGGTCACGATTATGCTGCCGGGTCTGATTGAAACTACTCTCACTCTTGTAACAGGTATCCCGACCAAGTGAGCAAACTCAACTTCAAGCTGCTTGACTAAGACTGCCAGACCGTATTTCGACACACTTGCATTGAAGTCAAGTTGTAAATTCACGGTCAGTTGGGAAGGAGGGCCGATTATGGCCAGGCCGGCTGCTTGTGACTTGGCAGTCACTTGCCCGCCACCACTCCAGATAGATCCAACTGTGAGTCGCACGTATGAATCTTGAGACACATTCCTGCTACTTGAAACTTTGCAGTACAGCAAAGAATTTGAAACCAGTGTAATCGGGTTGCAAGGCAATGAGCTTCCATCGTTGAGAATCAGCGCTCCGGCAACATCGGAAGCGTTTGGACCGAAGCTGTTTCCAATCACTGTCAAAGTAAGGGAAGTAAACGGTTCAACGTATGATGGCACTATTTGTGTTATAACTGGTGCCTGAAACGAAATCGAACTTTTACCAGCTGATATTCGTGAAATCATTCCACTCTCATAAATTGCTATAACCAAATGCTTTCTCCCAACCCATGGGCGATAGGTACAAGTGACTTTAGTTCCTGCGTCGTCCAAAGTGACAACATTGTTGCACATTTTAGATTTTGACAGATCAATACTGTTTGCAGTAGCCAAAGAGCCAATCCAGATGGTCAACCCTGTGGCAGTGAATCCACCACCTAACATTTCAATGTACATTATTCCTCCAGTCGTGCTTAAAACTGTGGGAGAAATTGAAAGGACTTGGAAGTCAAAGTAAAGATAGTTGCTGATGCCAGCACTGTTGTAAGCTGCGATTCTAAAGAAATATTGTAAAGACTGGCGAAACACAGAGAAGACGAAGAAGACGTTTGATCCGTTTGCATGTACGGCACCCACGGTGCCTAGCTGACCTCTATTACATTCCAATACATTGTTAAGCAATACTGCCCTCAGAGCATAACTCGAACAACTTGGGTCGGACGTTCCTATATCTGGCCGTGTGTTGAAGTTATACCCAGGGTGAATTATGTGAATTGAAGATATTTGACCTGCAGTTGTGAAATACTGCGCAAAGAAGTCATTTGATTGTTGATTCAAGACGACAAGGGTCCCGTTAGGTTGCAAACAACCAGATCCAGGGGCTACGATCTGAATATTGAAAATCGACGATGAGATGGAACTTACCAGCATAACCTCTTGATCAATTTTGACGTAACTTAAATAAGTTGATACAGATTGATTCAGGAAAATATAATTCTGATCTGCAGACGAGACCGCAAAAATCAAATTTCCTATCTGAATGGAAGGATAGTCTAGTGGGTACCCGGAAGGATTTATCTTGATGTCCTGATACTTGCGAAGAAGTTGCAAGTAGTCCAGGCTTCCAACGAAAGGGGCTTGACACGTGCATGCGCTCAAGCCAAGGTCACACTGATCGTAATGTGCTGACCCACTGCAAGGTGAGATGAACGTGACCAGATTTGTGAAGCCACTGAGGAGTTGGGCACTTTGATAAGTCCTGATGTCTTCCGTGAATGACTTTCCAAGGGGATTGCACCAAGAATTCAGAGAAGATGACTTTAAATCGCAACCTGATCCCCATCCTTTCTGAATGACTACACCAGACGATGGTTTTTCAAAGTCCGTTGCCAATATTTGAATCAATTTCACAGCTTGGCATACACAAGCATCGTAACCTGCCCCAGGGATTCCACTGTGAGTCCCATTTGTGAAGCAACTACAGGTACCACCTCCCAGGACAGAGCTGTGATTTGCAGCTTTTGTGTTCAACACTCCACGTTCAACAACCCATCCCTCAACAGTAATGTTCTTGATTCTCATTATTTCGCTCTCAATTCTGACATATCTATCAAGCAATGCAGGAATATTCAAAGTCGTCTTCAACATTGTCGAAGTTGAAGACAAATCTGCATCTAGCCAGAACAGACTATTCCCAACTCCAGGGAATTGGCTGAGGTCATCTGGGATGCTAACAGTTTGGATGTCATATCTCCAGTACTGATCTGACGACATTTGCAGCAGAAATCCCTTCCTGGGCGTATCCGCAAAAGGAAACTGTGAAACCCACTGCAACTTGAATGAAGACAATGAAGCCAATACAAGATACCTGGATGTTGTAGCGTCAAAGACAAGATTGTTGAAACTTGGATAAAGAATTCCTGATTGATCAGAGATGACAACCTGTATTTGAGACCCAAATAACAAAGAAAAGTTGGGATTGGTAAATAAAATCAATTCTTCGGAGAAGGAGTTGAAAATTGCAGAGCTGATCTCGTTGCTAAATGTTGTATAGTTTATATCCGCGTAAAGTTTATGCAGACAATCATTCCTATTACAAAAGGACAAGGCGCTTCCATCTGCGCTTTTGAATTGATTTAACTTTAGACTTATCCAAGATGCTGGAGGCAAATCAAACGATGGAGAAAAGCTTATGCTGATTTGAGTTGGTTGCAATGGGATTTGAGAAGAAAATTTCACGGAGACATTCAAAGTGTCCTGACTGACCGAAGAAAATATTGTTGGAGATGCTGGAATATTAATTGCTCTTGCACTTGAGTCAACCTCAACAGCACTGCTTCTGAACCGCCCATTGAAGGCAGTTACACGTAATTTATAAATCTTTCCTGATTGCAGATCGAGCTGACCCGACTGTGAATAATCGGCAACAGGAATGCCATAACGCTGAGTCAAGCTACTTGCGACTGATCCATCCTTGAAGAGAAGAGTCGTGCGATTCGAATCAAATGAGAGGTAACAGGGCAGTACTGTGGAAATGTTTGTTGACTGCGACGAGATGAGTCTGGATGTGTATGTCACCATGACGACACTTTGATGAGCAAAGACATTATCATTGACTTTGATGATAAGCTCGCCAGCCGAACTGTATGAGGATTTCCAGTATCCGACCAAATGGTCATCTACATACACGTCGAAGTTGATCGTTTCCAACAAGATCTGGCCATCCAAGAGACCATTAAGGGGAACCTTGAGAGTATCTGTGGTTCCAAGCGAGACTGATGGTACCAATTTTAACTCTACAAGTGAAGAGTTTGATAGGTTTGACGATTTTTGGTACTGTATTTCTATGGTTTGCATCGGTCCCATGCCGACACTCAGCGCACACAGTTTTGTTGGTCTTTGCGTGCTCAAGCAGTCTGCGGTGCTAGTCTGAAATATAGTGTTGGTGTGCGAGGAACCTCCATAATCTCCAACAGGCGCACCATTTTGACCGCTATCTCCGACAATTCCAGATGGAATTCGTTGCGCGGAGGCTTCAAAAATTGAGCATATGTCATTGGTTGGGAACTGACCTGACCCCAGCAAATCCACTGATTCTGAGCAGACAGTCCCTACACCTCCATACTGCAACGGGCCCGACCAAGTCAAGTCCATGGAGTTGGAGTCTTGCAGGATGGGCAGGAAAGAAGAAGATACTGCAACACACCCATTCCCTTTGCAGTTATCAAACCTTCCACTATTCTGGGATCCTATCACTTGTCCCACCACTTTTCTGGGCGGATACCAGCTCGACACGTTTGCGTCCGGAATCACAAATCCTGCAAAGGAAGGAACAACCAACGAGACAGGAATCGACTCGACCAACAACAACGAGTCTGGGACGGTTAAGGTCATTGTTGAGGACGTTTGGTTGAAAACGGTCACAAATAAGCCTGACCCCTCGCTGGAGACCTCAAATTGAGCAGATACATTGTCATTGAGAGATCCAAAAAGGCCGAGATCTATCTTTATTTTGTCTCCTGGATGAATGCTTCGATCTGGAATGAAATCGATCTTGATTGAAGTCCTTGATCCTATTGATACATTGTCGTATGACATGAAAACCTGTATGGAAAATCCACCGCCATCAAAATAGTCGGTGCCAAGCTCTGTAGCCAGAGGAAATGCTTCTGAGTATACATCTTTTGCTTTGGGACAAGATCCATTGAAATCCTGGAGATTCAAGAGTCCAGGCTGAGACTGATTGCACAAAATAACCTCGATAATAAATCCAGACAAAGGATTTTGTCTCAAAATTACAGGCGGATCAAACTCTAATCTGAATGAATTGGAATCATAATTTACAAACTTGACATTGGTTGGAGGATAAGGATTTGAGAAAATGTCAAAGAACGTGGAATCAACAATCGTAAAAAGCCCTCCATTTCCGTTGTCTGCTGCGGAAACAACTTCGGTGTTGATACCACATAGAAAAGATAGTTGAACATTTTCCACTCCAAGCATAGAGTTCATGGTAGCAATTTTAAGGTCAACAAAGGTGAAGGCAACAGCTGAAATACTGATATTGTAATCAAATGCCGTATCATTGACTGTTACCGACCACACGTGATTGAAACCAAATGACACCGTCGATGACGCAGCTGGAAATCCGCCGAAATAAGCCGTCCTGTTGCCTTGCGAGGAAGGCATCGATCGATACTGCGAGTGGAAAGTTGAAACCGGAGTCACATTTCCAGATAGTACAAGCCCAAACAAACTGCAACTTCCCCCACAAGAGGAATCCTTAATCACTGCAACGAGAGGGGTATAGCCGTGAGTGTTCCAAGCGACACTGAACAAGTACCCATCTCCACTGATGGCCACGGCTGGTTGCACACGAAAGACATGATTGTTCCCTACCCCATCAGGAGTGCCTTGTATACCATCTCCACCTTCCAATCCAACATCGACTCCGTCACCGCCCGGTTGTTGAATCATAACCATCTTATATGGTCTGATGAAGAAGTTAGAATTTGGAGAGAATCTGGGATCAGGGAGGAGGACGTTGCCATATTCAGCTGCAAAGCTTGACCTAACATTAAAGGAATTCGCACTTTCAGTGGTTGGACTGAAAACAAAGCGCAAGATATAGCCAGCGCCAACAACAAAATGGACCTGGAGGTCATAAAAACTGGCAATACCTTGAGAGACACTCGAGACGGTTCCATTGATGTGTCCTAATGAGTTGGACAAGGTGTATTGGAACTGTTCAGAGCTCTCACTTGCGCTCACACAAGCATTTTTCTGAGAATTCGAGGTAGCACATTTGGCTTGAGCTGCTCCAAGAACTTGATCAGGCTCAGAGTCCGTCAGGGATATTTGACACTGCGGCAAACTTCCAGAGAAATCGTTGGCCGTCGAGAAGGGGGTGCTATTATCACATTTCATCAGTCGTGCAATGACACAAGCTGAGCAAGACGCATGTTGGATCGTTTGATCTTCACTATCCAACAAGCTCACATGCAGGCTTGAAGGCAGCCCATTGACATTGAATGTGTCATTGCTTGTGCCATCAAGTTTTACAACCGAAAGCAAAGAGTCCGCTGCAATTTTCGAAAAGTTTGAACCTATCGATATTCCGAGTTTTGCAGGGACAATAGAAAATGAGTTTGAGAAGGCAGAAATGTTGGGATATTCACGGATTAGAAAGAGCAGTCGAAAATATTTTCCCGCTTGATGCTGAATTTTCAAGGACAAACTTCCATTGAAGATCGCTAATCCGTTCTGAATCAAGGTACCGTTCACTCTGGCTGATGTGGGCAACATATCATCCGGATAAATGACTTCCGCCAGTGAGTTGTTTGAATTCGAGTCTGTACCATTTTGTCCTGTCACAAGCTTTACAACCAAGTGCAACCCATCAAAACTGCCTGAGCTGCTAATATTCTCCTGCAGGCCTTGCATTGACACGACCAATGGATCAGGCAGCAACACAGTCTGGTTGCTCTGCACTATCAATTGAGAAGGTATTGCAGTGAGAATTGCTAGTCCCTTGGGATAAATTGAAAATTCATTGGAAATTACAGTAGCTCCAGGGGTACTGAACAAAAGCTGGAAACCGTTGCCCCCAGTATGCTGTACATTGATGGATGGAAACAAACAAATTTGGTTGCATGAAAGAGTCTTGAAGACATCTTCGTTTGAATTGTAATTGCCATACAAAAAAGTCCCCAAATCTGTTTGACCATCCTTAATCAAAGTGACATATACCAAGGTATCAAAACAACACGACTGGAAGCTACTTCCCACAAGAATTGAAATCTGTGGAAAAAATTTTCCATCGACATTGCTGATGATGGAGGAATTAGGCTTCAGACTCAACTGCATTTGAGTGATTCGAACAGAAATTCCCGTCTCATTCGTAGAGATAGAGTTACTTGAAAAGCAAAGACGGTAGAACCCTTCGATCGGGCATGCTCCGGAGAAAATCTTAGGGGTGCCTTGAGGACTGCAACCTTTCCAGTCGAAGTATGCTGAGAGCGATGAGGACACAACGCTAAACCCTGGGAAAAGAGCGCCTTGGACCAGTAGAGGAGTGTCTTGGCAGGTATAATTCGCATGCACCAGCGTCACAAAATGATTTTCAACTTTCACAACTGCACCAGAGTTGATGGTTACCGTGAATGAATTTCTCGGAGCAAAGGCCTCAACAAAAGAAGTGCTGTTGGAGAAGGAGAGACTAGATATGATGCCTTGAATGTATACGAGAAGTCCTGTATCCGTAAATAAATCTGGAAAAAACAAATTCTTGAGAAATGGACACAACAAAAAATGTAGAAATACCTGTTGAGTTTTGAAATCGATTCCTATAACAAAGTCTATAATTTCCGGTCAACATGGAACTTGAATCCAAGTGAAATGACAAGTTCGAATCTATTGCCAACGATTGCAGTGACGCAGCAGTCGAACAAGCTAAATACTCAGTGACCAGCTGGATTTCGTCACTAGTGGACGCGATTTCAGTGACAGATTTCAAAGTCAATTGATTTTCGCTGAATTGTGGGACATAAGCCTGAACGGCAAAAGACAATGCATTGACGTAAAGCGCTTCGAAGAGAGGTGCAACGAATGGAGAGATTGAAACAGGAAACGGGGTCGTTGACTGAGAGAAAATAAACATCTTGAAATCAGAATTGTTCGCGGGAATGCCGGATGCAGGGATCCAAAAGTTCGACTCCAGTGTAATCGATTGTGTTACAGAGGAAGGGAACGGAGTATTCAGACCTAATTCAAATCTTAGATAACTTTTTGATGACTCTGAGATCCAGAGAATCTCAGTAACATTAAGGCTATTGGCATTAGCTTTGATGTACACTGGATAATACACATGCTGGTTTGCTGTGAATGGAAGTGAGAAATAAATGTATGATCCATATTCAATTTCGATTCCAACTGTAAACTCCATCGTGATATTGCTCTTTGCACCAGCTCTCGGATTTCCAAATGAAAGAGAATGGAATGTCGGTATGCCATAGACAGATAAAGGTGCAGTTGCGTTGGAAAAACTCATTGTCAGTGATGAAACGTTGGCTACACTTGACACAGCATAGATTGTCAAATGAGTTTGTTGAAGAAATAACGGATTTTTCAATTGAAAATAGAAGGAGTACAGATGATTTCCATCCATAAGATGGTTGACAATAAGTCGAAGTGTGCCTGTGGTTCCATCATAGACAGCACTGTTTCCGAATGCAGAAGTCGAGCCAGAGTTTGCCTCATCGAAGATCGGAATCGTTTCAGTGGTGACAATTCCAGCTCCATAAAGTCCGGAGATGTAGATTGAGTCCTGTACTGCAAAGTTGATCTTGGTTTGAAGCATAACGCTGATATTATTGAGCCCTCCGGCTAAATTGCTTGACCCATAAATTTGCCGAACTTGAAATGGTTGAACGACATACAGAGGCTGAGCACCAGTTGTCACACCCAAAACATCATTTAGTTTCTTGGTGACGCTGTAACATACAAAAACAACGTTTTTCACGCACATACTAATGTTAGGCGATTGTTGAGGAGAATTTGGATTGTAGGCTTGAAAGGTAAAATGGTACAAATCCACATACCATGTCTCGACAAGTTCCCACGAAATGGTTGAATCAGCTTGGCTGTAAAGTGCTGTAACTTGAGCGACAGCATTCGTGCTATTGAAAGCAGAGATCGTCAAGTTAGAAGACGATTCACTCTTCAAAGATCCTAAATTCATCCCGGTAATCTTCAGAGACGTGTTCTCTAGCAATGGAAGGCTGGGCTCAAAAGAAAAATGAAATGTATTCAATCGCCCCACAAAAGGATTCTCTTGAAATGCGCTCAGGTTTTTCAATCTCACAATCAAGATGAAGAAGGGAGCTTGATTCTCATTCAATCCAGAAAGCGAGAAATTTGACGGCAGAAGAAGCGAAGTCTTGATGAGAGCCACATAAATCCCTTCTCCTGCGACCGAGCCTGACACAAAGATGTCCGGAGGGGCCTGCGCTGAGGAAGGGTTCACGAGGCTGAAAGAGAAAATTATTGACTCCGAGTTGAGAGTACCGTTGAGTAGAGTAAGCCGCAGAGACCCTTGAGCTTGGTTCCAGATGCCGCATGAGGCTTGGGTACCGTTGGACAGCAGTGAGGCACTAGGTCCATACAAGGACAAGCAAGCGCTATCTGCTGACTGACTGTTGACAAGCCCTGAGATCGTGATGGTGCTGGCGGCTTGAAGGTCACAATTCGTCCTGAGCGTGACCGACAGCGTGTTGTCAGCGTTTGCAAGCGGGCTGCTCTGTACCACCACTGCCTCCTGGAAGTAGGCGAGCACCGTCCTGAAAGCACCAGCGCCCTGGGACACACCGAGACGGCTGCTGTTGGAGGTTGTCATAAGCACCTGCGACAAGGGAGCAACACTGCTGCCTTCTCCTGCGACCGAGCCTGACACAAAGATGTCCGGAGGGGCCTGCGCTGAGGAAGGGTTCACGAGGCTGAAAGAGAAAATTATTGACTCCGAGTTGAGAGTACCGTTGAGTAGAGTAAGCCGCAGAGACCCTTGAGCTTGGTTCCAGATGCCGCATGAGGCTTGGGTACCGTTGGACAGCAGTGAGGCACTAGGTCCATACAAGGACAAGCAAGCGCTATCTGCTGACTGACTGTTGACAAGCCCTGAGATCGTGATGGTGCTGGCGGCTTGAAGGTCACAATTCGTCCTGAGCGTGACCGACAGCGTGTTGTCAGCGTTTGCAAGCGGGCTGCTCTGTACCACCACTGCCTCCTGGAAGTAGGCGAGCACCGTCCTGAAAGCACCAGCGCCCTGGGACACACCGAGACGGCTGCTGTTGGAGGTTGTCATAAGCACCTGCGACAAGGGAGCAACACTGCTGCCTTCTCCTGCGACCGAGCCTGACACAAAGATGTCCGGAGGGGCCTGCGCTGAGGAAGGGTTCACGAGGCTGAAAGAGAAAATTATTGACTCCGAGTTGAGAGTACCGTTGAGTAGAGTAAGCCGCAGAGACCCTTGAGCTTGGTTCCAGATGCCGCATGAGGCTTGGGTACCGTTGGACAGCAGTGAGGCACTAGGTCCATACAAGGACAAGCAAGCGCTATCTGCTGACTGACTGTTGACAAGCCCTGAGATCGTGATGGTGCTGGCGGCTTGAAGGTCACAATTCGTCCTGAGCGTGACCGACAGCGTGTTGTCAGCGTTTGCAAGCGGGTTGCTCTGAACAATCTGAGATAGAACAGTAGTGGCTGCAACAATGTACACTGGCAGAGATCCCGCAAGGATACCTATTTTAGAGACATTCACAGGATTGAGCTGTGTTGAAGGAATGCTGGAAAAGTGTGTAAAGGAAAAGCCGGATACCGTCCCTGAACGAATAAACACTCGTACAGCTATGGAAGGTGAAATCTGAGGTGTGAGTGAATTTGTCAGATAGAAAAAGATTCTGAGAACTGATTCGGAAGCTACTGTGTTCCCGTAAGGATCAAGAAGAAGAATGAGACTGCCGGTAACCTGATCCCACCCTGCTCTTCCGATTTGATTCTGAGAATCCACAAAGAGAGAGGAATTGGGACCCCCAAGTTCAAAACCAGATCCTGTCCAATGAAAGTCAGACTGAGCCAGGGTCAGGTCATAGAAGAATACCAACTGTCAAAGTCGCTGAACCAGTGATTCCAGAAATTGTGAGAGAAGATCCAGGCGCAAGGTCACAAGACATCGAGATGTTAACCTAAGCAAAAACATAGGATTACGAACTAAAGTATCATATATGCTTGCGCCATCATACCGATATCTTGTTCAAGGCTCCAGCAAGAGGATCGCTTTGTTCAATGGCGCTAAAGCTGATGTAAGGCTGTGTGATAAACAATGCCGCTGAAGCATATGGCACGCCTTGCAGACTTGTGTTTGTGGATTTGACTGGAACGGATCTTGAACTTGAAACAAATGTCCCGAAATTCAAATTGGCATACATGTTGATTTGAGGCGAAGCTGATGAGAAGACAATTAGAAATTGAACGCTTTCGCATTCGAAGTTCTTACCTTGGGGTTCTTGTGAATTCTGCACCAAAAAAGATATTTGATAAGTGCGACCTGTCAAGAACACAGAACCAGAGGTAGTCTGCAAAAGAAATACTCCGAAGGATTGAACGAACAACGTTGATGTCCATGAATTGGATGGGCTTTGTAAAATGCTGAGGCCTGAAACACTGCTTCGGGTCAAAGTCCCAGTAAGACCCATAATCGATATTGTAGTGTAAGTCGTCAGTGTATTGACACTTTGCGAAGGAAAGCGAACCGTCAACGCGTAAGCAGACGAGCCTGTCCACACTCCAAGCGAATTCTGAGCGGAGTAAGCAAGGAGATTGAAAACAAATGATACACCCAAAACGTTATCAGCAAATGTCAATGGCGTGAATTGGGTTATGTTTGCGCTCGAAGAGATTTCTACAATTTCAAGCGGGCGTTCAATGGGATATGCTTGCGAATATCCAAACCAATTGGAGAATACAGACGACAAGCTCGTCTTCGCAGACAGATTTTGGAATTGAAAAGCAGAGAAGTATGCGCCTGCAGCTATTTGCCCGGAAACAGAAATTGTGGGAGATGTCTGTCCATTACTTGGGTTGGTTACCGTGAAATGTATCTCATAACTCTGATTGGCAAAGAGATCTTGGATGCATTGAATCTTCAGGGTACCATTGTTTTGAAACCACCTGGCAGATGATGGAAATGTCCCATCCGAAAATAGGTATGCATGAAGTCCGCCGATTGGAAAGGAGAGATTGGTCAAAGTTTGGGTTTGCAAAAATCCGCTGAACTCGAGCCAGGAGCCATTCGCTATGGTGCAGTTGGGAACAATGCTCAGACTAAGATTGTTCGATTGATTGATGAATGGCCACGTCTGAGAGACCAAGGAGGAGAACCATTTCGAGCTTGTCTTCGAGTAGTCTAACAAGACCTCCTCACCATCATATACTCGTGAGGGCCATGAGAAAGGGCTGATACATGGTTCGCTGTATCCTCGACCATAGTCTGCAAGTAATCCAGAAAAGTACCTACTGCAGGTCAGAGTTGTGTCCAAATTGAGACCTGGTGGTATTATGAATAGAGGCAATCTTCCGCCTACTATTTCCAATACTGTAGCATTGTCCTTTTCGATGTCCGCTACATGAATGAAGGAATCATGAGCTCCAAAAAATATCGTTGCAGATACTGAAATCGAAGGAGACATTTGCCAAGTCTGTGAATTCTGAACATGGAATGAAAAGGAGAGATAGTTATCGGATGTAAGAAGTGAATTGAATTTGATCTCAAGAATTCCAGGGCTCTGAATCCACGACCCCGTAATATTTGCAGTCGATTCATCAAAGAACAGTGTAAAGTTAGCTGAATCGAAAGTTTGTGTGGTATTCAGGCCAACCAGTGTTACTGTCGAACCCGAGGTTATATCACAATTTGCTTTGAGAGTTGCTGATAGAACATTTTCTGCAGACGTAAGAGGGTTACTCTGACTCAGCAGGGCAGTAAGGAAACGTGGGATGATAACGTACATTGGGCTCCTCCCTTGATACACGCCTTGCACAGGCTCAGTAGAAGAATTCATCAGACCAAGATCGGTATATTGGCTGCTAGGAATTCCAACACCAGGAATTCCAATGAGGAAGTATGAATCATACTTCCCAGACTCGATCTGCCCATGTACAAATATTTGCTGGCCTGCCTGTGCAATGTCAATATTCTGCACAGAGAAACTTATTGTGTAAATAGAATAAGAAGTGAGCCCAGTGTTGTTTAAAGACATAGCGACAGTGCCAGTATTTGCTATCCATGATCCAAGCGAATTGATCGATTGACCACCTACTATTTGAAATGCAGAATTGTCCGGAGTTGAAGTGTTCTTCAATCCAGATATGGTCAAATTTGAACCAAACGGTACATCACAGTTTGTAGAAAGTGTCAGAGTGATGTTGTTTGAAGCTCCAGCAAGAGGATTGCTTTGGCCAATGTTCCGCACAACAAATTCTGGAACAATGATGTAAAGTGCCTGGGACCCATTTCTAACTCCCAGGGCGTTTTGATTCGAAGTGTTGAGTAGAACACTGGGAAAGAAGGGAGCGCCGGGCGGGAAAGAATTTAGAGTACCTTGAGCTTCAACAAAGATGTCGGGAGGATGTAGAGTACTGTTCCATGAGATCGAAATATTGTATTGCAGTGACAAAGTTGTCGAAAAATTTCCTGGCATCTTGATTTGGACAAATCCAGTTGGAGAGCTAATCGAAAATGATATGTGAGGAGTAAGTTGCACAATGGACTTGACAATAACTGCTTGATTGCAAGATACATCATAGCACTGATATACAATCAGAAATGGAGTGGAAAGCGTGATAGAGGAATACTGCAAATTTAAAAAACTGATGTCAACATATACATTCAGCGACCCGGGGATTGGAAGATTAATCTTCCAGAGGCAAATCAAATCATTGTGGAGAAAAATGTCAGCAAATTGCAAGAGCCCATCAAAACTCTGATATTGGTTGCATCCGCACAAGCTGCTGCACGTACAGCTCGAGGCATCCGCACATGCAGATTCGTTTGAATGGATGTCAAGGTATGAGATACTGGGATTTCGGATATCGAATGAAAAGTGTATCTGTTCAAATGAAAGTATTGCAGTCTCGACTGTCAAAAGAATGGTGTTGTACAGTCCGGGTTGGACTGAGCCATACCCCCCTGTAGAATTCGCCACAAAATGAAAATCCTGCTGAAAAGTAGAGTTGTATATCTCAATGAAAGCTTTATCGAAGCTTGCATAAATGAGGTTCGACAGCGTAATGATTGAGCCTCTTTCAAGGTTGACGTTGGTTTCGAAACTAACAAACATAGAATTCGAGGCAGATGGCAAAGGAGAATTTTGGAAAATGTACCCAAAGGAAAAAACTGGCGTAACCAGTTGTAAAGGATCGGAGCCATTCGTCACCCCAAGGATGCTCTCGTGCAGTTTGTTCAAATCAAACATAGACTGGCCGTACATTCCTAGCTGAACATATCCACTTGCATACTGCGAAGGCGATGTCTGATCGATCCCCCCGTTGGTCAGGTTGAAAATGATCGTGTAACTAGTAAGTGAGTATGCCCCTGCGCTTGTCATCACCAGAGTACCATTCGCTCGGCTCCACACCCCCACTTGCTGGAAGTGACTCGGACTTGATGAGATGGCCAGGGAAGAGTTCTCTGTGCTTGCGCCATACAGTCCAGAGATCGTTACTTCAGAGCCAGCAGGAAGGTTGCAGTTCATCTGCAAGGTCAAAGTCAAGGAGTTCAAGACTCCGGCTACAGGTGTGGCTTGTGTCATCAGAGCTTGTACAAAGCTCGGCTGGATGATCTCCAGTACATTTCCTCCGTTGCTCACGCCAAATATCGTGAGATTCTGATTGTAGATCCGCTGCAACCCAAAAGTGATTGACCCATTCACCGATATGTACACCGCGGGAGCTGACTGCGGCGCAGACGGGTTATGGAACTGGAAATTGAAAGAATACAAGGTGTTGACGTAGAGACTCTTCACCACAGTCAAGGTAAGGGCACTCGCTGTAAACAGACCGAATGACTGCGTTGTGCCATTCGAAAAGTAGTCGACTGCATCGGTAGTAGCGTTCGCCATGCACCCGCACTGGCAAAGGGGATTCCCAGAAGGGTTCCCGTTCTCATCACAGCTGCAGCTGCCGCAGGAGGGCCTCACACACTGACAGCCGCACTGTGCAGGACCGCTCGGCGACCCAGAGAGAGAGCAAGAGCAGATGTCGCTCGAACACACCGCAACACATTGACACCCGCAGGAGGCAGGGCCAGCAGGTATACCATCGGTGCAGGAGCAGTTCGAGAGGGTGCAATCAAGACTGGAAGAGTTGTAGGACACGGTATAGTTTGAGGCAACCGGGGCATAGGTAACATTGGAGTATGGGAGATATCCAGCTGTGTAAGACAAGGGGGCGGAAGAGGAATCAGCGTAAGCGCCGTCGAGACCACTTATTTGTAATTGGGAGCCAGCAGGGATTTGTATGTTCGCTCGGATCGACACTGTCACTACATTGATTGAATCAACAAACGGAGACCTCTGAACCATCACCACAGTCTCAAACGTGGGGGTGATGACAAAGAAAGGAAGGTAACCATATTGCAAGCCAAGATAAAAGTTATAGTTGAACTCAAATGATCGAACATCGAAGGTGCAAATCAAACTTCCGTTCAATAGCGAAGTACCCGACAAAGAAACATTATCTGCAGAGTGATCGAAAGCAGGATTCAACAACTGAAACGAGAAAGAAACATTGGAGTTCGAAGAAATCAATGAAACCAAGGAAATAACAAGCTTCCCAGAGTAGGAATTCCATTCACCAGTGGAACTGAAATAAATCGAAGATGAGCTCACCGCCAGGCTGCTGCTGTCGCCCGTCTGCGACCCCGTGAGCCCGAGGATCGTCACGGTGGAGCCTGCGGCCAGATCGTAGTTTGCTGCCAGCGTCACCGTCAGCGTGTTTGTCGCCCCGGTCACCGGCGTGCTCTGCTGGATAGACCTCGTGCTGAAGCTAGGCAGCAGTACCTCAAGCGGCAAGTACCCGCTCGACACCCCATACAGTGAGGTAGACCCCCTCGTGTCCATCACCTCCCCGCTGATCGACCCCACCGCGGACCCTCCGGACTCGATGACCCCGCTCACGTTCGCCCCCGGCGACGACTGGCTTGACGAGGGGTTGGTGAGGTTGAACGTCACCTCGTACGACGCTCCCGACACCATGCCTCCCCCCGAGCTGGTAAGCACCAGAGTCCCGCTCGCCTGTACCCACGCCCCGCTCGTCCCCAGCACTCCGCTCGTAGAGCTCACCGCCAGGCTGCTGCTGTCGCCCGTCTGCGACCCCGTGAGCCCGAGGATCGTCACGGTGGAGCCTGCGGCCAGGTCGTAGTTTGCTGCAACGTCACCGTCAGCGTGGGAAACGTGACTATAGATGGCAGTGCTCTGCTGGATAGACCTCGTGCTGAAGCTAGGCAGCAGTACCTCAAGCGGCAAGTACCCGCTCGACACCCCATACAGTGAGGTAGACCCCCTCGTGTCCATCACCTCCCCGCTGATCGACCCCACCGCGGACCCTCCGGACTCGATGACCCCGCTCACGTTCGCCCCCGGCGACGACTGGCTTGACGAGGGGTTGGTGAGGTTGAACGTCACCTCGTACGACGCTCCCGACACCATGCCTCCCCCCGAGCTGGTAAGCACCAGAGTCCCGCTCGCCTGTACCCACGCCCCGCTCGTCCCCAGCACTCCGCTCGTAGAGCTCACCGCCAGGCTGCTGCTGTCGCCCGTCTGCGACCCCGTGAGCCCGAGGATCGTCACGGTGGAGCCTGCGGCCAGATCGTAGTTTGCTGCCAGCATCACCGTCAGCGTGTTTGTCGCCCCGGTCACCGGCGTGCTCTGCTGGATAGACCTCGTGCTGAAGCTAGGCAGCAGTACCTCAAGCGGCAAGTACCCGCTCGACACCCCATACAGTGAGGTAGACCCCCTCGTGTCCATCACCTCCCCGCTGATCGACCCCACCGCGGACCCTCCGGACTCGATGACCCCGCTCACGTTCGCCCCCGGCGACGACTGGCTTGACGAGGGGTTGGTGAGGTTGAACGTCACCTCGTACGACGCTCCCGACACCATGCCTCCCCCCGAGCTGGTAAGCACCAGAGTCCCGCTCGCCTGTACCCACGCCCCGCTCGTCCCCAGCACTCCGCTCGTAGAGCTCACCGCCAGGCTGCTGCTGTCGCCCGTCTGCGACCCCGTGAGCCCGAGGATCGTCATTTATTAGCGTTAATATTATAACCCTGGTGCTGCCAGCGTCACCGTCAGCGTGTTTGTCGCCCCGGTCACCGGCGTGCTCTGCTGGATAGACCTCGTGCTGAAGCTAGGCAGCAGTACCTCAAGCGGCAAGTACCCGCTCGACACCCCATACAGTGAGGTAGACCCCCTCGTGTCCATCACCTCCCCGCTGATCGACCCCACCGCGGACCCTCCGGACTCGATGACCCCGCTCACGTTCGCCCCCGGCGACGACTGGCTTGACGAGGGGTTGGTGAGGTTGAACGTCACCTCGTACGACGCTCCCGACACCATGCCTCCCCCCGAGCTGGTAAGCACCAGAGTCCCGCTCGCCTGTACCCACGCCCCGCTCGTCCCCAGCACTCCGCTCGTAGAGCTCACCGCCAGGCTGCTGCTGTCGCCCGTCTGCGACCCCGTGAGCCCGAGGATCGTCACGGTGGAGCCTGCGGCCAGGTCGTAGTTTGCTGCCAGCGTCACCGTCAGCGTGTTTGTCGCCCCGGTCACCGGCGTGGTCTGCTGGATAGACCTTGTTGCGAATATAGGGGTTACTATGTATCCTGGCTTTTGTCCGTCCTGAACTCCCAAGGAGCTTGCGTTGCTGGGGCTGAGCGTTTGTGTTGTGGTGTAGATCGGGTTGTTTCTATTCGGAATCTCGGCTTGAATTTGGATGTCATTTGCCAACTGTGAAGAGCTCGGACTCTGTAAATTGAAACTTATGTAGTAGTTTGTGTATGAGGTAGTTTGACCTTGGATTTTGAATTGGAAGCTTTGGCTTGTCAAATTCCAAATCGCTGTGTCGGCATATATGTTGAAGTTGCTGGAGTAAGTTATGTTTCCTGTCTGAGTCTGAAAGTTCTTGAAGCCCGTCAAAGATATGATAGTTCCCTGGATGAAATCCACATTACTTTGTACCGTCAACGTTATGGTGTTTTCAATGTCTGGCAGAGAATATTTTTGCTGTACATAAGTGAACTCAAATGTTGGTTGCACTACTAGTAAGGGAGAAGCACCGGATGATACACCAAGAGCTGTTGAATTGTCCGATGTCATTTGACTGGCAGGAATGCTCACGTTTCCGCTTGATGAGATGTGTATTGAGGTTGCGTCCTGAGGTTTTGTAGGATTTTGTAATACAAAAGAAAAAGAATAAGTGTCTCCATTTACAAGTGTCTTCCCATCATACAAGTTTAGGATAAGGTTACCATTGCTCCATAGTCCTGTATTTGGTGTTGTGCCATTCGAAAAAAGATTTACAGCATTTGCGTCCAGTGCTGTGAGATCAGCCGGATTCGAAACAGTTGCGTTCTGAAATCCAGATATAGTCAATACGGAGTTGTCTGTATATGACAGATTGATTGTTGTTTGCAGAGTGACAGTGATTGTGTTATATGCTCCGATCAAAGGATTGGATTGTGAAATTGTTTTGATCGAAAATTCGCCAGCTACTGTCCTGTAGGCTGCCATCATCAAACATGCCAGACAACAAAAGCGTTTGTTCATCTTAAGCCTTCTCATGTCTAGTCGAAGCGCTGGAGAACGTCATCGTACATCAAGATGACCGATTTGTGCATCCCCCGGTGATCTGAATTCCTTTCGATCCCCTGTCACCATATCGCTAGCGGCTTTGCTATCAGGACCTACCATACAAGCATACTACTAGTAAGCTTTACTCAAGTTGACCCCCACAACAGACGATAAACTTGATCCACTGATCGTGCCGGATCCCGGAGATCACAGCCGCGATCCTGTGGCCGGAGAATCATACTCTCAGGGCCGGGGCCGGCCGGGCGGCCCCGCCGGGGGCCCCGGCTGCAGCCTCTGGCCCTGACAGGGCCCCCTCTTCTTTACTCGGCTGACGAAAGATCCTGGACTGGATGCGTTTGCAAGTCGAATCACCGTCTGTGACGTCTTGCTGCCGCCCGGGTTTGGCAACTCACTGGCAGGCTCGGAGCCCTTGTTTCGGCGGCCCGGCCCCGCGGGCCAGTGCGTATTGCACTGCGAGCTTTAACTTAACTTTGAGTAAAGGCTTTGAGTAGAAAACACGTGGATCACTGTATTCACTCAGGTATTCGGATCACTGACGGAATACAAGTTTGTTAGACTTGTACTAGTCCAAAGTCACGCAGACGTCACATCGACCTTAGTTGTAACACGACAGTTTTTGCTCAAGACCGAGTTTAATGTACACAAAACCAGAGTTGAGGAGCACATGAGAGATAGACTGTATGCAGGGATGTGAAACCCAAGCATCCAGACATGAGAGGACCTTAGCAAGACGGCTAGGAAAGCCCCCCTCTTCGTCCCACACGCTACATCGTCCGCCTTGCCAAACACGTAAGTCGTCTTGGTTTACAGGAGAGTTTTTGTTAACTCGGCGCTATCTGACTGGCACGGCTGGCATACGTTCCATCCTCCCCCCGAGTTTCTGAAATAGTACGTTACATCGGACGTCAGAAAGTCACACAAACAAGCTTGAAGAGAATGTCAGCAGAGTTCCAAGTCAAGATACGATGATACAACGTCAAGTTCACAGTCATGCTGAGTGGGCAATAACCATTCAAGGATTGTCCATTCTGAAGAAGAATTTCATGCAGGGCTATTAGATGATTATGTGACGTCTGCGTGACTTTGGACTAGTACAAGTCTAACAAACTAGTATTCCGTCGGTTATGGGCCCCGATTACATGCTCAATCATGTTGATCTTATATTTGGTTAGTTGAATTGTTTACTGGAGTTTTTTCTTTCTTGGCATCGTTTCGTTACTGTCGAAAATTCATGCAATTCAAGCCTTACAAATTCGGATGACTCCTCTCTTCAATCAGGCTCTCTCTCTAGCCGCAAGTTGTTTAGGCCTCTCATCTCAGCCTCAATTTGTTTGATTGATCTTCGAATTGGAAAAACAAGCCTTCCCCAGCCAGATTGGTCGGTCGAATATCTGCTTAACCGTGTGGAAACGCACTTGAAGCTGATTCGATTTTAATCTTCTTGATCTTTGAGTAGGATCAAATGGAACTACCAGGAGATCTGGCGGAAGTTTCATGTCATGGAGCTAGGCTGTGGCATGCATAACTGGAGCTACTTCTGGATCGGCGAACAAGGTACTACTGCACAACAATCTTCAGATGCCTTGAAACGGATGTTCCAATCTCGCGGCAGCAATCTCTGGTCACAAGTTCTTTACGGTTCAAAACATTTATCTTTTGGTCTTCAAATGCCGGCGGGCACGCTCTCTCTCTCTCTCTCTCTATCTCTCTTATCTTCT